CAAACTGATAACTACACTCGCTTGAACGGATTGGTAAATACCAACCCAAAACGGTAAATACCATTTCCATTTGGTTATCCGCTTGAATTTGATTTTAGTTTCTGCAGTTGGACATTTTGTATTTTTTTTAAAAACGTACTTGTACACGATGCTTGTCGAAAAATGTGTCCAGATCACCTGTTTGTGCAAAGCGTGAAACTCTGCATGGTTTAGTTAAAGAAGGAAAAGTCATCTTACTGGATAAAAATACAGAACCACAGTATGTTGTAGTCTAATCCTTCTGACTGAAAAAATAATATTGTAACTAAAATTCAACTTTTCCTAACCAGTCACGTGTCAGTCATCTTTGGGTTAAAAGAATGGAATTCTAGAAACCTCAATGATGGCAAATAGCACAAAAATATTTGAACTCTAATTTGGGCACTTGACAAACTTAAATATAATAATTTTAATTAGATCCCTGATCATCTTTCCAAAAGACATTTCTTTTACTCGAAAACAATCAACTTTAGAATCAAATAATAATAATATTTATTACCCATTAGACATGTATAAAACATGTATAGGGTTCGTCAACAAACAATTTACAGTATGTATATACATAAAAAAACAAACAGTAAAATGACAAGCAACAACAAACAATAGCTTAAATTAAATATTTTTAAATGGACACCATAGGCTAACAACAGCAGATAAAATAGATTAGCTTTCCAGCAGTTAAAATTAATAAATTAACAGAAATACAATACAAAAATATATAAAAAGACAAACAATACAAAAAATAACATCTAAATATCCACAAACTCACTGATGGCGTAACAAGTCTTATTAATAAAATAGGTTCTTAACTCAGCTTTAAAATTATTCAAGGAGCTAATTGTCTTAATATACTCAGGCAGTTTATTGAATATCTTTGGTCAAAAATAGAGGGAGATCTACTACCCAGCTTACATCGAGCAAAGGGTAGATGAATGTTGTGCTGCCTACGAGTATTGAATGTGTGTATATTACTATTCAAGTTGAAATTATATCTGTTAATATACGTAAATATTGCCATTTCATAAAGAAACAACGAGGGCAGTGTTAGAATTTTTAATTTCGGGAACAAGTCTCTGCAACTGTATACGGGTGTCCCAGAAGTCGACGTCAAGCCGAAACCGGGTGATAGGCAAAGTCATAACAGCTATCAGAAAAATATTTAAAAAAATTTTATGTATGTGTTTTGAAAATTATAGGTCTTTGAAAAAAATATAGAAATTTCACACCCTACGGCAGTCTGTCAACTCCTGTTACTACAAATATTAACTTTTTTTGGATTTTATTTTTACAATGTAATGATGAATAATGCATCTTCAAACTGGTGTCTCAACCTTACTGCCAACTTTTCTCGTTCAGGAAAAATTGCCACTTATTTCTCAACCAAGTATTCCAAAGTAAAACTTTGCTCAACTTTAACTGGCTGTACTGGAAAAAAATGTACTACGAGAGTTTGGCAAGTAACCTTAAAAGTTGGCGCATTTAATAAGGATTCCAAAATGGTATAACACTTAGAAGATTACTCGTTAACTTATGCACAATTTTTATTTGAAGAAAAATTTTTCAAAATTTCCTAATTAAACAGCGATTATGAAAACGCACAAGGACCCTTAAGGATAACTGTTTGCACAACAGTGGGCGTCAAAATGCTGCTGATGATGATTTACCTTTACAGCAAATGCTCAAACTGTTTTCCTTCAGCCGCAATACACGCTCGACATCTTCTCAAAAAAGATCGGGTTATTAAACGAGCGAATCCACGGTTATTAACAAACTCAGCTGCTTCCAATAGTCTTTGCCGTAGCTCAGCTACATTTTGAATCGGCTTGAAATACACTTTTTCTTTTACAGTTCCGCAGTAAAAAAAATCTAACGGATTCAAATCTGGTGACCGGGCTGGCCACGGTATTGTACCAGACCGCCCTATCCATCTGCCTGGAAAGTTTTGATCGAGATACTCTCTCACTGAGAGTGCATAATGCGCTGGGCAGCCATCATGCTGAAACCACATGTCCCTGTAAATACTCAGTGGCACGTCCTCCAATAAATTTTCTAAATGATTTTGCAAAAAACCTAAATAAACCTCAGCAGTCAAAGTCTCTGGGAACTCAAACGGACCGATTATTTTACCATTTAAAATTCCTGTCCAATGGTTTATCTTGAAGCGATATTGAGATTTATCTTCTCTCATCAAATGTGGGTTTGCCACGTGCCACTCGTGTAAGTTATGCAGGTTCATGTACCCATCTTTCTTAAATGCGGTCTCATCTGACCATAAAATTTTTTCAAATAACCGTGGATCTTTCCTGTGTCTTTCTAACATTGTGCGACAAAAAGCAACTCGGGGCTCATAATCCCGGGGCAGGAGAGGTTGAACACGCTGTATGTGGTATGGATGAAGCACATCACTTATTTGCTATTACACACTTTGATACCGATCAGTACTCCTTCCTTTACTGCGCATCTTTACATGTTCGTGCTTGTTGATTTCGTACTGTTACTAATTTTGGATTCGTGAACTGGACTGTTGATCGCTTTTGATTTGGATTTGGACTGTTTAATTGCTCTTCAAAACAACATTTGCTTTCCTTAGACTATCTTTGATAGTGTGATTGTGCAGTGCCGCTATGTCCGTGTACACCGTACAAGAATATGCTAACATGCACCTCATTTATGGGGATTGCAGATGCAACGCTAGTGCTGCAGCGAGACTTTACTGTGAGAGGTACCCGAATGCAGCTCGTCATCCAGATCATCGAGTGTTCACAAATGTGCACCGCTTACTGTTCTCAGAGGGCCAACTACCAAACCAATCACACGGTGAGGGAAGATCTTTCCTTCCTTACGAAGACGTGGTGCTAGGAGCTGTCGAAGAAGACCCGAGTACTTCAGTGCGTGCAATAGAACTAAAAACAGGTGTGCCCAAAAGTATAGCCCATAGAATCTTGCAAAAAAACGTGCTCCATCCATACCACGTACAGCGTGTTCAAGCTCTTCTGCCATGGGATTATGAGCCCCGAGTTGCTTTTTGTCGCACAATGTTAGAAAGACACAGGGAAGATCCACGGTTCTTTGAAAAAATTTTATGGTCAGATGAGACCACATTTAAGAAAGATGGCTACATGAACCTGCATAACTTACACGAGTGGCACGTAGCAAACCCACATTTGATGAGAGAAGATAAATCTCAATATCGCTTCAAGATAAACCATTGGACAGGAATTTTAAATGGTAAAATAATCGGTCCGTTTGAGTTCCCAGAGACTTTGACTGCTAAGGTTTATTTAGGTTTTTTGCAAAATCATTTAGAAAATTTATTGGAGGACGTGCCACTGAGTATTTACAGGGACATGTGGTTTCAGCATGATGTCTGCCCAGCGCACTATGCACTCTCAGTGAAAGAGTATCTCGATCAAAACTTTCCAGGCAGATGGATAGGGCGGTCTGGTACAATACCGTGGCCAGCCCGGTCACCAGATTTGAATCCGTGAGATTCTTTTTACTGGGGAACTGTAAAAGAAAAAGTGTATTTCAAGCCGATCCAAAATGTAGCTGAGCTACGGCAAAGACTATTGGAAGCAGCTGAGTTTGTCAATAACCGTTCGTTTAATAACCCGATCTTTTTTAAGAAGATGTCGAGCGTGTATTGCGGCTGAAGGAAAACAGTTTGAGCATTTGCTGTAAAGGTAAATCATCATCAGCAGCATTTTGACGCTCACTGTTGTGCAAACAGTTATCCTTAAGGGTCCTTGTGCGTTTTCATAATCGCTGTTTAATTAGGAAATTTTGAAAAATTTTCATCAGTTTTTCTTCAAATAAAAATTGTGCATAAATTAACGAAAAATCTTCTAAGTGTTATAACATTTTGGAATCCTTATTAAATGCGCCAACTTTTAAGGTTACGTGCCAAACTCTCGTAGTACATTTTTTCCAGTACAGCCAGTTAAAGTTGAGCAAAGTTTTACTTTGGAATACTTGGTTGGGAAATAAGTGGCAATTTTTCCTGAACGAGAAAAGTTGGCAGTAAGGTTGAGACACCAGTTTGAAGATGCATTATTCATCATTACATTGTAAAAATAAAATCCAAAAAAAGTTAATATTTGTAGTAACAGGAGTTGACAGACTGCCGTAGGGTGTGAAATTTCTATATTTTTTTCAAAGACCTATAATTTTCAAAACACATACATAAAATGTTTGTTAAATATTTTTCTGATAGCTGTTATGACTTTGCCTATCATCCGGTTTCGGCTAGACGTCGACTTCTGGGACACCCTGTATACTGTCAACACGTGCTATGCACCTTATTATTCTCTTTTGACTTCGAAATACCTTTGAAGCATTCACCGAGGAACCCCAGAAACACAATGCATACCGCATTCGCGACTCGATATGACTGATATAACATCAATAACTGGTCGCGTGTAAAACTGTTCTCAGATTTTTAAATAGGTAGCTTCGCAGACAGGTAGACACAATGTCCTTTAAAATTGAGGTACTCATCCAGGTGCAGCCCCTAGAATGTTGTGCTCTCACTGATGGGCAGGGCTGAATTATCCAATGTAAGCTGCAGGGGAGGTATTGATTTTTGGGCATTGTGGAATCTGATTGCTGTTGTTTTTTCACAGTTTAGATGCAGCTGGTTCTCCACGAACCAGCTATTGATGCTATGTAACAATGAAAATATATTTTCCAACGGAAACACATCGGCAATGCGCTAGCTAGTTGGAAGAATGTTACCACAGGATGACAACTGTTACTGGCTATATTCATATTCATTCAATGACAATAAAGGGGACTTACATCTGAAGCTGGAGTTAGAGGTAATACTGAAAAATATGGATTCGTAACAACATTTATGAATAAACATAAATAATGTAAAATTACTGAAAATTGATTCAAAAAATGTGTAATCGAATAATTATACAATATCGACATTGTAGCATTAAAACTAAACAAATCATCAACAACAACAAAAATTTTCACTTTGATCATCGGTAAGTTATCATTAGAATAATTATTATAGATATGAGGTGATGATTGCCTTACTTCCAGTTTACATCGATAAATGATGCGACTAAAATATTGTACCTAATACTAGTTTTACAAGATATTCCTAGTATTGGTCTTGAAGTTTTCAAGTGGACAGTTCATGAGCAAAGACATTGAACATCGATGCAGCACTTCAAAAAGTGAGGATTGGAATTTAATTATTATACGATTAAATCGCAAGACAATGGAAAAAATCAATGTTTATTGACATCCGAGACTTATCTCGTGATCGAAATCATTGAAAAGATGCGTCCTATTTCCAGAGCTTTCAGTAGGTGTACAAACTTCAATTGGTCAGTCAACCATATTCACTCCAAATATGCGTTCTGCAATTTTTCTACTTTGTGTCACACAATTTTATTTTTCAGCTGTGGAAGGATGTAAGATTGATACACCAAAATATCATGAAAGATTGTTAACTAAAACAGGACTCATTCCAGAAGAACAGTATCTTATAAAGAGTCCACATCTAAAAGAGTAAGTATTGCAAGTCGCTAAATTGCATTGAGGATAACTTGAATATTTCACAGTGGATCCATAACAGCCAATTTAAACATCGCGGCTGATCAGATAATAGAACACTTCAGACATGTACTGATTAGAAACGGATTGGATCCGGTTGAAATACCAAGTGCACAGTTTAAGGTAAGGAAAGGATGGATATTTTGGTAACATTTTTAAATAATAAATCGTAAATTCCAGAGAGTATGATTTGACAGGTTGACAATATAAGCCTTATGTTGGTGACCGAGCACCTACAAGAATACCAGTCGTTTCTTATTGAACTACAGCCAGCAATTTTCCAGTTTTCCAAGTCTTCGAAATCTTCGGCTGTAAATTAATGTTTTGAATCGATTGGTAAACCTAGTGTTATATGGCATATCTTCATTTGTTTTTTTTTATATCGAAGCAGCTGCGCAGGCAGAAGCCTAAATGCCGGAACACGGCGGCTGCTATGATGATCCCAAAAAAATTCTGTTAATACGATTTTTGAACTGCCTAGGTTAGCAGATCTGGGAAAAGCTTCCTCTTGTAGATTGTTCCGCAGTCTCGACACCCTCGGGACAAAGGAGCGGTCGTATCGCCCAGTTCTGGATGTACGAAGCTCGATACCTTTAGGATGGAAGGCCAAAGTCAGGCGGGTCTGTCTGGCATTCACATCGCGCGGCGCCATCATGGAAAAGAGCTCCGAGGAGCAAAGCCCGTGGGCGTAGCGGTAGAAAAGAGCTAGATCGCCGACGGCCCGCCGGTGCGAAAGAGTTCCGAGACTGTCTGTTAGAGAAGAGTCATCGATCAGTCGGACCGCCCTCCTCTGGACAGCATCTAGCATGGATAATGTAGTCGGGGCGGCAGCACTCCAAATGTGTGAGCAATACTTGAGACTAGGCCTTATCTGGGCCTTGTATAGAGTGAGAAGGTCAACGGAGAAAAGTACTTCTTAGTCCTAAACAAATAGCCTAGCTTTTTTCCAGCAGCTGCACCGGATCAGCGCTAGGACGTTTTTTGTTCGTCAAAGTACAATACTGTGTTTTGGAAGCATTGAACTGTACAAGATTGTTGTGTCCCCAAGCAGTGATAGCCTCCAGGTCTCTTGTCAGAGAGGATGTCGTCGCTACCCTTCTTTTTTTCAGCTCAGCCGCAGAGATCGGCTTGCCACTCCGAATTCCTGCATGTAGAGTGCTGTCATCAGCGAAGGTGTGGTTTGGGTTGAACGTGCAGGAAAGGAGGTCGTTGATATGTAAGAGAAACAGTGTCGGAGCCAAGACCGATCCCTGGGGAACACCCGCGTTGGCTTTGTGGAATGAAGAGGAGAACCCGTCAATTACGACGGATATCTTGCGGCCAGAGATAAAGTCAGCCACCCATCTGCAAAACTTTTCTGGGAGGCCATAGGATGGAAGTTTGCTTAAGAGGGCAGCGTTCCACACCTCATCGAACGCTTTTGTGATGTCAATAGCAACGATATGGGCCTCACCATAAGACTGGATGAGTTTACTCCACCATTGCGTGACGTAAGCTAGGAGGTCCCCTGTGGATCGCTGGTGCCGGAAACCATACTGTCTGCACATCTCTTCAGTACAATGGCAGAAATCAATTCCGGAACAGAAGCTTTGTTGATGTCGAGCGATAAGAGCATTCGTCTTACGGTCTTATGCCTGAATGTTACCTCCTGCATAGTGTAGGGAACCCTTTGAATTGACGGCACTTGGGCATTGGGGGACGTCCATGGTGGAGCTGGCAACAAAGATCTTGGCTAGCGCTTCCGCCTTGGCCTTTGAGTCGAATACAATCGTTCCATCCTGACACGTAAGTGGTGGGAGGCTACCGTGTGAAAAGTTCTTTTCAAACTGCTTGGCCAGCGTCCAGAAAGACCGACTGCCATTGCGCTGCGACATTAAAAAAAAATAATAATAATAATTTATTTCATTGTTGAATAGAACAGAAAATTCTATAACAAATGAAAAGGTCATAAAAATAGTGGTGACGAGTTGAAAAAGTATAAAAACATAGATCTAAACAAAAAACTCCTCCAAGGTGTAGAAACATTTGTCTATCAAAAAAAGTTTTAGTTTTCTTTTGAAAACAGCTATATTTGATTCATTCCTAATATCATCATTGAGCTTATTAAAAATCTTACATCCCATATACCTGCATGTTTTTTGGTATGCCGTAGTTCGATGTCTCGGCGGGATTAAAAGCAGCTTAGACCTAGTTGGATATTCATGCTGGTGTTTGATGTCTTCAAATTCGCGCTTATTTTTGAAAACAAACAAAGCCAACTCATAAATGTAAATACCTATAACAGTCAACATCTTTAGTGTTCTAAAGGATTCTCTACAGGATTGGCGCCAACCAAGGTTATCCATTACCCTGTGCCTAACTTTTATATCGAGCTGGTTCTGTGTGCCTTGATCTTCTGCTGGCGAGCAGTGTCACACGATTTGTTAAATCAGCCTTTGGCCCCTGGTTTAAGCACTTTCACTGTGTGAGGGATGTATTCCTCCAGTCCGACGTGGATAATTTCGGTTGTCGAAGAACAGACAGCCGCATCCGCGTCAGTGAAACAGACATCTCTCCAAGAAAAGATAGATAAAAAGTCTCTGAGCCACTCGTAGTCGGCATGTCCGTAATGCCAAGTTTTGCGGCCTGTACGAGTTTCTGCTACCATAGCGGGTTCTGACCGAAACCTAACCTCCACTACACCGTGGTCTGAGTTACCCAAGGGGGACAGGACAGCAGTACTGTAAGGGACAGGATGCGTGGTCAGAAAGAGATCCAGCAGGCTACTGGCGTGTGACGAGACGCGGGGGAAAAAAATAGGGCTCGTCACCAGCTGAGTCAGCCCTTGATTAAGAGCGAACGCTCCGACTGCACGACCTGCTGCATCGGTCTTGTTTGAGCCCAACCAAAGCTCATTATGGGCATTGAAATTACCGAGAAGAACTACCTCTGAAGCGGGGTGATTGATGTTCAGAAAGTCGATCTGGACGGCGAGGTATTCCAGTAGGTCATCCCAGTTATGGTCCAAGGAGAGCGATAAAGGCAGCAAATAAATTTGGGCGATGTTTTGGAGTTGAGGCGAAGCCACAGAATGTCCTTCCGGTTGGATTCCAAAGAAACATCTCTGGAGCAGCAAAGACTGCTGCGGACAAAAGCCACAACTCCCCCGTTCTTTCTTAGATTGTTCTTAGAATCATCAAAATTGGTGGGATTAGAATCCAATCCAAAACAATCCGGCTATTCGAATACCACGAATAGAGAAAATACTTTTACAAGTATAGAACGACTTATTGAATGTTTGCGCCAAGCCCTGAAACAAGGAATTTAAAATAAAAAAGAAAATGTAAAAAGTATATCTGAATAGCTGGATGAATTAAGTAAAGACTCGACCTCCTGATTGATAACCAACAATGATGGTTTGATATTCCAACACGCACAAACCACTACATCGATAGCTTCAAAGCTTGGTATAAAAACCTTTTTAGAAAGAAAATGTATCCGCACCGAGATATGTGTTATCAATTAAACAAAAACAGACATTTTTTTCAGTGGTTGGCCTGGAACTTCAACTTAACAAATGGCTGGCTAGAAGATCTGTCCACAATATCGAAAGGAGGCGACGTTTTAGCTACATACACTTCTAGAACGCGGACCATCACCATAGAATTCCCGCTCAGTTTCGATTCTTTAATGGTAATAACATTTTATTCATACTACATACAGCTTTTTTTATTCCGTAACAGGAATCGCCCACTTGCTATGCTGTTTTGAAAATAAGAAGATAATCGTTACATGTAAAAATGTTATAGGTAGGGTATCTAATACTGCAATATTCATTATTGTAGGTGGTAACACATTGAAGTATGTAGGTACTGTTCAACCTGAATCACACTTTCAAAACTACTATTTTCACAGTTTCTGAGCTCGAGCAAAACAGATCCATACCACATTTCAAGTATTTTTTCATCATTTATAAATACCTTTCTGAAAAAAGCTAATATAATAATCAATAATAAATCATCTAGCTTGTATTGCTGCGTATATACGTGGGATAATTCGAAAACTGGACAGTTGAAAATGAGTAATACAAAGAAAAATTTTTTTAAGCACAAGAAAAATGACCGGCAATCTTCACAATAAACTAGTCAATTTCATTGCAGTATCAAGTAAAAAATCCCAGTTTTTAAATTTCCGTACCTGTATGTGTTCATTTTGTAAAACTTCATGATTTGCAAAACTGCTTCAGCTGATCTGATATGTTTATACTTTATTCCTTATTTTCTAGTTTTCTTATAAGTTCGAAAGATATTTTATTTTCCATCATCGAGGTGATATCTTTGGAAAGGTAGAGGATGTTAAGATTGACTGCCAAATAAGCTTCAATTATGGAACTTATCAGCTTAAGCTTGACCACTTCCAAATCAAAGATAAGTCGTAAGTATCTTAACATACGTATAGAATTAGGCTATAGTTTCTCAAAAGCAAACAAACGAAATTGATCCTAATTCAAAGGAAACTCGGTATTTTTGTTCTATTTTCGGAAATAACTGTGTTGAAAATAAAAGTACTTTACATTTATTACCTATACTTAGTATTCTTGTAAATTAATATTTAATTTTCCAGGAAACTGAGCCTACATTATAGTGGAACCGGAATTTTCCATTGGGTGACAGAAAAACTTATCAACTTTACAATTGGAATTTTGCATAATCCTTTGATATCTATAATAGAATCTAGTGTCAAAGGACCTTTAGAAGTTATGCTTATCACAGTGAATAAGTACTTAGCAGACAACATCGTGCCATAAATTGTTTATGCCACGTTAGTTTTATTTTATGATACTATGAATTATAACATCTCGTTATTGTATTTTAATACATTAATAATAACCTAATTAAGGCAAAATACTGAAATTTTCTTTCGATAATCACGTAAAAATTGCGTACAAAGCGTCTACAGATGGAACTGAGAATATTTCTCCAAATGATTTCTCTTCAGTGATGTCTCCTCCCCGAAATCGTGACAAGAAGGGACCTTTGAATATTCAGGCAAAATAAATTGTCCTTAACGTTTATAAGAGCGAAATTTTAGAGCTTCCTGAAATGAAAATGAAAATGAATAGTAACAGTAGTAATATTTATTTGTCTCCAAAATACACAACCATTACATTTTTATTTTATTTTATAGAAGACAAATAAATGAAGAGCCCGCAGAAGGGAGGTGCTTATGTGCGGGTAAAACAACTAGAAAATAAAATAAATATAATAACGATGACGTAAAACGATAAAATGGTTTTCTTTATTCTAATTGATCATACAGGGTGTAAACGTTATGGTAGTCATTATTGAAATGGGTAATAGGGGGGGGGGGGCAAAACAAGTCAAAAAGTTCATATGACCCATGGTCCAAAAGTCAATAGATTTTTGTCTAAATGGCTTTATAATTTACAACTTTAAGTGCTTTATATCGACCACAATCACCACAATCTTACTGATTTTTATAATCTAATCTAAAACGTTTTTAAATTGGGTAATTAACAAATACATGGCATTAAGTTAAGACAAAATTTGTAGTCAGTAAGTAAGTTTCATTAAATTAAATATTTAAAGCACACATGACAACAGCGTGTCGGTCTTTCATCACTCTTATCGAACCGGCAATCGATCGCAAACGGTAACAGTGGTTAGTTATTGTTTTGCATAGATAAATTACTTTATCGTTTTGTCAAGCAGAGCATCGGGCGTGTTGTTTTGTTTTTGTTCGCGTACGTCGTCGTGTTTATTTACAATGTTCTCGAATCAAGAGTTCGCCGACATGTTGTTAGTTTACGGTGAAGCTCGTCAGAATTCAAATCTTGCAGCTCAAATTTATCGCGACAGATTTTGAAAACGGATGCACCCACACAGAAGGACTAATATTCGCACTCGTGAAAGACAGGTTACTGTAGAGCAGGAGGAACGAATTTTAAATATCGTGGAAATCAATGCAGATATCAGCAGTCGCGCCGCGTAGAACTATCGCATACCATAGTCCATAGAATCCTACGGGAAAATTTGCTTTATCGCTATCATGTAAAACGAGTGCAGGCCTTGTTACCAGAAGACTGTCCTCGCAGACTAACATTCTGTCAGTGGTTTTTGCTCAAAAACATTGAAAATCCGGATTTTTTTAAAAACATTCTAGCGACGGACGAATGTACTTTTACGCGAGACGGGATATTAAATTTCCATAATACTCACACGTGGTCCCAAGAAAATCCTCATACCATTCGTGAAGGTCATTTCCAACAACGTTTTAAAATAAGTATTTGGGCGGGTAGTCTTGACGATCAGTTAATTGGCCATTTCGAGTTACCCCCAAAGTTGCCAGGAGAAGAATATCTTAGCTTTCTATTCAATAACCTACCAGAAACAGACCTTAGACAACATGCCAATACAATGGAGACAGAATTTATGGTTTCTTCATGACGGGCCACCACCACACATTTCAGTATTTGAATGAACATTATTCAAATCGCTCGATCGGTCGAAATGCTCCTGATCCTCGAAAATGGCCAGCAAGATCTCCTGAGAGCAATCCGATGGATTTCTGGTATTGGGGAGAACTTAAAGGGATGGTTTATGGGGCTGGTCCAATAACAACTGAAGCACAAGTTCGCGAAAAAAAATTTAATGCGGCTGAAATAATAAATGGACAACAAGAAACTGGGTTCGTCGTAATGAAGCTTGTGTAGAAAGTGGAGGACGACATTTTGAACACTTTCTTTGAATACAAAAAAGTGCAGTGCGGGTTTTAAAAAGAAAAACAATGTATGTATCAAAATTGTGTTCCCTATTTATAAGTTGATTTTTTTTAATACGTTCAATAAACTTTCACACACCATGTGAAACGCTGAGACAGTGGTAAGTCCGTTTTTTTTTATTGTTTGCATTTTACGAGTACATTATCAAATAATGAAATAATACCTAAGATCCAAAAATAACAAACTCCATCTTTATTTACACTGCGTTCCGTCGTAATTTGCGTCTGGCATCACGGCATTGTCAGATTTTATTTTACTTTAAGGTCACTTTTCTCTAAAAAAAATGCCGTTTTGACCCCCATGTTATATGAAACTTTTTGCTTCTTTTAACCACCTCTATCACCCATTTAAATAATGATATTATAACGTTTACACCCTGTATAAGTACATAGATTTAATTTGCTGCATCAGTTAATATTTTCTTCAAAAAAGGTCGTCAATTTATTTTTCACGAAGAAGTGCGTAACAGAAATATGAAATAAAAAACAAAACTTTGTAGTGATTGACAAACAACTCACTTAAAATCCCCGATAGCATTAAATATTTATTAAATATTTAAAAAAAAAATTAATATTTAATAAATATATTTTTTATATATTTATAAAATATTCATTATAGATATTTGTAGTATATGTGTAGGGTGACTTTGAAGTTGAGTCATTAATGTTCAGATAATGATTGTAGATGGAAGATAAACCAAAATATGTGTGTAAAAATAAAAAAAAATAAAAAAAAATGTTACCTTGTTTTATAAAGTATCCTCCCGACAAGTATTTCAGTGCGGACCTGTATTTTATCGTGCGGTCTTGAAGCACCGGCATGCCGTCCCGTGTGAGGTCTTAAGTCACCTGATTCACGAGCCATTTGTACTACATTAACAAAGGCACGAGGGGTTGGTTGCACTCGATTAAGAATAAGAAATGTCCACAGGTTCAGCATTTTCGTAAACATGTGCCATTTTTTATTTCGTTTGAGCCACGCAACTAACACCACTATTGACTCACGCGTTACCGACTGACACATTGACTGAATACAACTGAATAATAATTGTAGTAAAAACATCGTTTCAAATTCTTTCGCTTTTTTGTTTCCGATGCGATGAACCGATAAGGCGGATTATATCCGTTGTTGCCAAACACGAGCACATAATATTATTATTGAGACAGGGCGGTACTCAAACTTCTAAAGGGCTATAACTTTGTTACTTTAATTTTACCAGAAAAATGTTAAAGGAAAAAACATTTCTTTTGATCAGATCACTGTTAAAATAAATGACTCAACTTCGAAGTCACCCTGTATATAATCCATATATTTTTGCGATATTTAGAAAATATATGAGGGAAGATTTTTAAATATCAATTTTATATTTTGATGAAATATCTAATATTTTTCGTAAATATGTATGGATTTTCAAGCATTAATCTGATACATATTTTCAGTGCAGATATACAGAAAAATGTTCATTGGTTATTTTAGCAAAACCTGTAGGAATGCTTATATAAAATTGGATGCTTAACGTTTTATGAACATTTATAACTGCCCCTAAATTTGTTGGGGTTAACGGTCATTTTTACGAACTATCTAGCTACGTAACCGCTGGTGCTGCAGCAAAGTTTACATATATACTAAGTGACATATAAATCCGAATACCCAGTTTAAATGGTTTTATTTTAATAAAATTTTGTATAAGTACTTAATGAAGCATAATAAGTAAATGATAAAAATTTCAAAATGATTGCACTGCTTTAAAGCCCTTTGACCTTTAATAATGTGTGGATGCACCCTGATGTGCTACGTATTCTCCAACGCGCCTAGGCATGCTTCTGATCAGGTGGTCAATGTCCTCCTGTGGTATCTCATTCCAGGCAACCACCAACTCCTCTCGAAGTGCTTCTAGAGTCTGAGGAGGACGTTGCAAATTGAGCAATCTCCTACCCATCATATCCCACACGTGCTCAATTGGGGATAAGTCGGGAGACCTTGGTGGCCATGGTAGCAATGTGACATCATTATGTTGAAAGAAGTCTATTGTGACTCTTGCAACATGTGGTCGGGCATTATCTTGTTGGAAAGTTGGATCTGCCAGGGTGTCAAGATAGGGTAAAAGATGGGGTTCTAGAACTTCGTGGATATAACGCTGTGCGTTCATGTTACCTCTGATGAAGATTAAAGGTGACCTGGAACCATAAGCTATAGCACCCCAAACCATAACTCCAACAGTGTGATGAACATGTCTTTCAACAAAAAACTGTGGATTCCTCCTTTCACCACGTCGCCTTCTAACCCTGGCACGACCATCGTGCATGCCTAAACAAAATCGAGACTCGTCACTAAAGACAATACTGTTCCATTCCTGATCCCAGAGTGACCGTTGTCTGCACCACGCAAGGCGATTACGTCGGTGTTCTCGAGTTAAAGGGAGGACCCAGTGTGGCCGGTATGAAAACAAGCCAAAACTTCTCATTCGTCGGTAAACACTTCGTATTCCAATAGGTCTTCCGTGTTCTGCAAACCATTCATTTGCAATGGACCTGGTAGTGGAGAAACGGTCCCTTAAGGCCAATAATCTTAGGCGGCGATCTTCACGGTCTGTTGTTCTACGGTGGCTTCCAGTGCCCCTTGCTCTTTGCGTACGGCCTTCTCGAAGCCATGCCTGACAACACCTAACCACAAGTCCCACTATACGGCCCCTAACAAACTCACTAAGTTGACGAAATCGTACAGGTCTCCGTACTCTAGCCATCGTAACCGATCGTAAAGGATGTCAAGAACCAAAATCCGCCAACGTTGATTCTTTACTGCGGCTGAAATATTCATTTTTAGAGCGTTAGTGAATTAAAAAAAAGCAGTATAAAAACCGGAATGTCCAACTGATAAGGCTGAAAATTTTTTCACTTGTTATTTACAGTAAGATAAATACATTCACCAACTTTTATTAAAATAAAACCATTTAAACTGGGTGTTCGGATTTATATGTCACTTAGTATATGATGTCTTATTTTAAAAACAGTTCATCCTCTACAAATATAAATACGCGTAAAGCTGAATCTTTTGTGACGATTAATAAAAAATTACCTAGAAAAGCTTTTTTATCTCTAGACGGAAGACCTTTTCATTTACCTTTTTCCGATTGGCTAGTTACCCTGATCTACCACGACCCTCACAACCTGCGAAATTGCAACACCAAACTCTGAACGTTACCAGATTGATTTGTGTTATTGATCAAACATCAGAAAAATGTGGTTCAGTAGAAGGTACATATATCACAAGTTATCAGTGATTGCATAAAGTGAAACTTTATTTTGAAGATGTCTGATACAGAATCTGAAGATATTGAGAGCATAACAGAAACAGACAGCGAAAAATTACCGATCGAACTGAGCAGGAAAATATTAGAAGCTGTTTTAGAAGAAGCATCTAATCAACTTTTCATATTAAAAAATACAGGAGAATGGCCCGATATTACCGAGGCTACTGTCAGGTAATTTATACATTGTGTTAATAAAGTCAAAATTTAAGGAGTAATTTCTTGGATGTTTCTAAGAATAGACGTTATACAGGGTGGCGCATCGAAAACGAAACAGACGCATTTACTGGCAGCTCAGTTTTTTTTTGAGAAACGCTCAGACCCGTCGATTTTGTTGTCGAGGGGGACACAAGTTTGGCAAAAAATCACGTTAACACGTGCAGCCCCCTGGGCGGGGGTGACACTAACCCTAAAATCTTAAATGGAAAGGGACGGTCGAGCGATACCTTATTTTAAAGGTCTTTCAATTCCCTTTATAATGATGTAAAATACATGAGCTTCAGTTCAGTAGTTTTGAAGATTTATTGATTGAAAGCTTAAAGGTACATCAGATTAGTTTGTACTACTTTCAGAAAAAAATTGACTACAAGGTATCACTCGACCCCCTTTCCGTTTAAAATTTTGGGGATGGTGTCACCCCCGCTTAGGCGGCTGCACGTGCTAACGTGATTTTTTGCCAAGCTTGTGTCCCCCTCGAAAACAAAATCGACGGGTCTGAGCGTTTTTCAAAAAAAAACTGAGCTGCCAGTAAATGCGTCTGTTTCGTTTTCGATGCGCCACCCTGTATATAAACATAAGTCTGGTAACGTTTCGTTTCCGAAATACATCTTTTACATTGTAATTTTCATTTAGCTGATTTTAAAAAAAATATATTTTCTGAAATTTACCAATTCACATAATATGGACTTTGGACAAAATTTGAATAAATTGAAGCAAAATAAAAACTACAAACGGCCATTGCCATCTAGATCGCCGGACTTACCTCGTCGGATGTTACAACAATACGGTTGAGTTTTTATTATTGTTAGATTGTCAGATCTCAGCTCAGTGCATAGAGCCGAGATAATTTTTTCCATTCGCAACCCTTTTGAAAACGCTTCACCAAACGCGCGCGGGAGATACTGAATAAGTTATGTTCTTTAAATACAAGAAGTATATTGTTTAATAATCTCCAACTCGAACCCCTCACCCTGAACTTGTTCCTGAATACAGGTATAGGTCCATACATGAAAGGTTTAAAGAAAATACCTATCAACCTCTCACCATTGAAGACATCGAAGAAAAAACAAAAGATGAGTTGAAAAAGAAATGTAGCTTCATTGCTGAGAGAATAGACATGTTGCTTACGGATGTACAAGAGAATGGCAGCTATGAAAATTTTGAAGAAATGTTGCAAATGTTTCATCAGATGTATCAAGATGAAGAAGACTTGATAGAAGATACGAAGTATAGAGAAACTAGGGTCGTTCAACTGCAGGAAATTTTGGAAAAAGAATCAAGGATATTGACTGCGAAAATTTCCGATTATATGCAGAAAATTGGCAGTCTTAAAGATGGGATTGAAGTAATTAATTACCTGTACAGCAGTTTATGATATTTCGACTGACAAAAATGTGTGTTTCTAGGATTTCTCATCTGAGGCATCCATGAAGATAAGATACATAACAGATTTGAAAAAAGCTGAACATGAAATGGCAGATAAACAGCACTCTGATATGGAACAAAAGTTGTTGATCAAAATAAAAACTACAGAGGGTGATATAATGAAGGAAATTCGTGTTCATGAAGAACTCGTTACGTTTTTCAACCTGCTTCAAAAAGTAGGTATATTGATATGTTGAATTTACAGGTTGTTCCCAGAACATTCATCAAAAATTCGGGAAACGAGTCCTAGAGCCTATTTCAATAATCTCTAAAAATAGGGACAGAAAAAAACTTGAAAAACATCTTCTCATCAAAATGTTTAATTGTTAATCTATGAAAATTTTAGGAGTTGGAAGATGTTCTAAATTCATGGAAACTGCGATATACAAAGACGTTGAGTTGCTTGAATAAAAAAATAGAGGTAGAAACTGAAAAGGTCAGTAGTGTAGTCGCCGAAATCAACAGAATGAAAGAGTTGGTAAGTCGTGAAGTTATATTTTGTACTACAGAGGAGTAGGTAACTATAGTAAAATACCAAAATTGATGACAGTAGCGAAACTAGTCGTACGCCACTGCTATTACGCGGAGGCCTCCGAAAATGCGGCGCTTCTTTGTGAAATGTCGGCAACCGTCGCTGTAATCAAAGCAGTGGCGCACGATGACTTCTGCTACTGTCATCAATTTTGGTATTTGACTATACATGTATCAAGGATAGACATTAGATGCATGATGTTACAAATATCTGGCCAACTTTCAAGGGATGATCCTTTGAGTGGTTCTGAAACGAATATCATACATAGTTTTCAGGGCGTCAAACTTGATTTGAAATATGGACTGTTGTTTTGTAAAACTCAATAATTATACAGCAGAAAATTTGTTATACTTTTGCATACACACATTTAATGTTGAAAATCTTGATTGATTAATAAACATACGTTAGTAAAACCCAAACCCCAAAAGAAAAAAATTACCGATTATATCAGACGTTCTAGATTATCATGACCATATAAAGTTGTGGTTAGTACCTCATGCTTTTTTCTCAAATAATTATAGTTAGCTTTTTTGGGATACGTCTATACCTATTACATTTCAACAATTTTTGATAAAATTTTCTGAAGAATTTTTACACAGAAACGAAAAGATGTTTGGCGCCCTGTATCTTAAAAACAAGGCATAAATGTACCATCTTCATATGAGATACTACTCAGATAATACAACATAAACAAGCTTGATTGTAGGCAAATAGTGTACAAAAAACGTTTTATATCCCGGATAAATTCGTGTATCTTCCTTTTGGGCTACGGCACACTTTGTGCGCAGACCACTCAAAAGCCAGTGAACAATTGAACTACTAATAAACTCGAAACAACATTGACAATAAAAGGAGATAATAAAAGAAGTCGTAAATTTCTGTGCTAAAGTAATTAACATTTTTCAGTATGCTAAACGCGAAATAGAGATAAACGATTACAAAGCTTATAAGAAACAACAAGAAGAAAAGAGGCTACTGAAAAAGAAGATGGATGATGCCGCCACGAAAATTCAAGCTTGGTGGAGAGGAACTATGGTCAGGAAAGGCTTTGGAAAGTATAGAAAGAAGAAGGATAAAAAAGGAAAGAAAAACAAAAATAAAAAGTAATTACAAATTCAGTGCCTCATTTTTTTATCAAGTTATATTGCAAAATTCAACCATTTTTAAAGTATTGTACAAATAGTTTTGAACTTAAAAATAAAGGTATTAAGATCTTTTAAATATTTAGGAAGTTGATTATCATTCAAATTTAACAGTTGCCGAAGGAGTAACGTAAGCATTCAAGAGCGTAGCTATCCTAGGGTAAGCTAGGATGGTGCTCCAAAGCCCGCAGTTTAGGTCTATTTAACATTATTAACTTTCAAAAAGGAGATAGACAAGGACCAGTCCACCGAGGCGGTACCACCCGCAAGCTTTTCCCAATGTGTCTTATGTCTGCCCGTTTTCACATCTAAGCTATGCAGTCGGTTATCTTCCCTAATCAAGAAATTAATGATAATGGTTGGAATGGAATGTCCGGGTGGAGGGTTATTCGCGTGAACAACATCGAAGATAAAATTTGTTTCACGAACATCTGCGGGATTAACAGCGACATTGATGTTGTTCATCACCACTTGCAATCCAATCGTCCCGCCATGCTTTTCTTGGCGGAAACAAAAAATCTCGAGTCCGCACCGATTAACCATCTTAGCTTACCAAATTACAAGGTGCACTAAAATCTGAGAAAGGACGGGGGAGTTGTGGCGTTTGTCCGCTGCAGTCTTTCCTGCTGCAGAGATGTTTCTTTGGAATCAGACCAGAAGGACATTCTGTGGCTTCGCCTTAACTCCAAAACGTCCCCCAAATTTATTTGCTGCCTTTATCGCTCTCCGTCGGACCATAATTGGGATGACCTACTTAAATATCTCACCGTCAAGATGACTTCCTGAAAATCAATCACGCCGTTCCAAAGGTAGTTCTCCTCGGTGTTTTCAATGCCCACAATGAGCTTTGGTTGGACTCAAACAAGACCGATGCAACAGGTCGTGCTCTTACTCGAAGGCTGACCCAGCTGATGACAAGCCCTACTTTTTTTCCCGCATCTCCTCACATGCCAGTAGCCTGCTGGATCTCTTTCTGGTCACGCATCCTGTCCCTTACAGCACTGATATCCTGTCCCCCCTGGGTAACTCAGACCACGGTGTTGTGGAGGTTACGTTTCGGTCACAACCCGCTGTGGCAGAGTCGTCGGCGATCTAACACTCTTCTTACCGCTACACCAACAGGCTTTGCTCCTCAGAGCTCTATTCTACGATGCCGCCGCGCGATGCACCAGCCAGACAGACCCGCCCGACTTGGGCCACCCATCCTAACCGTGTCGAACTTCGTACATCCAGAACTGGTCGATACGACCGCTCCTTTGTCCCAAGGGTAATCTTCAAGAGGAAGCTTTTTCCAGGTCTACTAACATTAAGCAGTTCAAAAATCGGATTAACAAAATTTCTGTGGGATCCTCATAGCAGCCGCGGTGTCCGGGCATTTATTAGGCTTATGCCTGCGCGACTGCCTCAGTATAGAACAAAAGTTTTATGCCAGAACCGCACGCTTACCAAATAGCCGCAAATCGTCACAAACGCAAACATGCGGATAGAGCGTTTGGCTTGGTTTGCGTGGGTTTGCAAGCGCTTGTAGCCGATCCGATCGGGTGTCGGTTTTTTGGTCGCAAATCAAAAGGAGTTTGCCACAAGCGTTTGTGACACATCCATACGTTTGTGATAGGTACTATTTTAAAACTAAATATCAATTTCATTATAACAATTACCATTTACTTGGTACGGTTCATATGACTATTTAACATCCACCACCTTCTTGGTCGTACTTTTCGTTTTATCTGACTTTTTTTTAGTTTTATAATAAAAATAGCTTAAGCCAAATGCTACGGCAAACACAAGTTCGACGTCCGTCATGTTTGCCTGTTGCCTTTTCAGTGGCGCACCCGCAAACGTGTGGACGGCGACGTTTGCTTCTTCAAAAAAAAAGGCAAGCGTTTGGAGTTTGCGGCAAATGGCAAGCGTGCGGTTCCAGCATAAGGTTCGAGAACAAACGTTTGTTGTTGCTTCCGCTGCCAATAGGCTAGGGTAACGTAATCGCAAGAAATTTCCGAATCAAAATATTTGGTTTTTATACACTTATACGCCGCGAAAAATCACATCACGTTGCGCCAGTCCGTTGTCGATTTCCGCTAATCATTTGCCGAATTTTGAGACCAGGTTTCCGTCACTGACTTATCCTAAATTATCTAAAGACATGATTTTATGACAAATAAGTATCTCTTTCTGATAGGAAAAGAACGATAACTCTTTGTTGCTCTTAAAAATTGATCCAGTGGTGACCGAGTTATGCCCCAAAGAAATTCCAGAATATCCCCAAACCTTGTTATGTAGGTGATGTGATAATGTATGGGTGTAGTTAAAAAAAAAGAAAGCGGAGGGATTGAGATTTCTGGGCATTTCGACTCCTGATTTTATCAACTTGCGTCAATCGACAAAAAACATATTTGTTCTGTGGTCGCCATATTGATCCGATATACTACTATAATAGTAATAATAATAAACCGTCTTTTATTTTCAAAGAAAATTCCGTATAATAAAAAAAAAAATATATATATATATATATATATATATATATATATATATATATATATATGTGTGTGTGAAAAGACTACAATAGTTTTAATTTTGCTGTTGTATTAATTACAACTATTATTAATCTTTAATTAATCTGTAATTGTTAGGTTATCCTGATTATTAAAGAGCAACGGTGTTGAATGCCGCCTCCCTCATCAAATGAGTTTTTTGTTTGTTCTTCTAACCCAAAAATAAAGACACATTATTATTATTATTATTATTATTATACGAGATAAGGTTTATAGAAAAAGAAACACAATGTCATTTTATAATTATACTTTATAGCTTATATTAAACCATTGCATCACAGCTCCCAAATCATCTTACAACTATCAATAACTTCCTTTGGATCTGAATGCTTGTGGAACATGAAAAATCCTTGTAACTGTGCTGGACTAACGTTCTTGTTAAAAGATACAACTTTTTCCCTAAATTCTTTGGCATGGCTCTGCGCATTCTCACCATCATAAAATCTCAAAAACATTTTTTCAATCTGGCTTGGAGAACACCAGCCAATATATTCTTTTAGATCAACTCTTCCTGGTCGTATCAATGCTGGATCCAACCTAAAATTCAAATATATTCAAAGAAACATATATAGTATTCACCTCATGCTGAACAAAATCATGTTTCAAGATTCTTCGTATCAAAATTTTGAAACGAATGAAGAATTAATCATGAAACGTTTAATATAAACGGCTATTTATAGTTGACTAACGACCTCTATATTTAAATAAATAGATATTAATATGCAATATAATCATTTACCTTTCTATATAGTTTGTCGTCATGAACATCATTCTTGCTTCACTACTAGCCACTCCATCTAGACAGTTCAACAAACCGCTGAATGTAACTCTGTTTAGTCCCTCATATGCCGATTTCTGTTGTGCTGTATCTTCCCTGTTTTTGAAAATAAAGTATTTTAAATTATCAAACGACTTGCAAAAATTACATTTTATTGTAAGTTGCACAGGGCAAGATTCCAAACTATGCCACACTCGTCATAAACTCATGGTTCGAATGAAGAAGCTTCCTATTTTTTTAAACACATTTAAAATTATAATGTAAGTGAGGTACACACTGAAAGTTACGGCGACCAGAAGTTTCTTATATGGAGAATGATATCGCTGGAGCGTGCGACTAAGTGATGACGACACATCATACCAGCTACCATCTCCACCACAAATGTTGTTCTGCTCTGTATTTTACGGTAAATGGTTAAAAAATGAGACAGGGCTTCGACGCACAACCTAGGTGTACAAATACAAGCATATCGGCTGCAGAAAAACATTTTTCCCTGAGCCAAAACATAAAAGAGTTAGAATTGCCTCTTACCCAAATACCATCCTTATACTGCTGTGAATGTCATTTTGATGTAAGTACTTAAGCATTTAGATAATATGGTATAAATGATCATAGTAATTATTAATGTGTCTACCTGTTATGGTGGAGAGACAACCTAATTGGTATAAATTTGATTATTTCTTTTATTTCGAGATAATGTGAATATTATTTTAAAGTGATAAGGGCAAATGCTTCTTGAACCTTGTCTGTGTCAACGAGGAGATGCGTAGGTGTGGTTCACGAAACAAAAAACCTATCCAAAAGTCCAAAAAAGTGTATAATCAAATAGTATCAAATTTTAAAATAATCAGCAGTATTGAGAACGCCCATTCTAGTGTTCATCAGACACCCAATTAAAAATATGGCAATTTTGGCTGCAGCTGACTGCAGCTTTAGCAATTATGCAACACACAATAATACATAAATTGTACATTGAAAACATAAAACCAGTAATTGAAGAGCGATCAACAAATTTTTGCAAACATTTAAATGTTTTAAGAATCGATATTTAATTCGTTATGAGCGATTTTAAAAACAATTAAAACTTAATTCTGAGCTCGATCAAAATATTTTTTGCAAACATAGCCACGAGATTAGAACTGCTACTTCGATTTTTTAAGAATCAATATCAAATTCCTGAAAACATCTGGAACTTAAATAAATATGTAAAGATGTAGACGATATGAAATACGCTGTTTTGATCTTTGACAAATGGATATCATATTCGTTATCAGCGACCTGGGAAACCTATACATTTTTTATTCCAAAATTTAGTAAATCTTTCTAAAACCCCTAACCATTATTATGTCCACCCTTAAAAGATTAGTGGAATTAGTACGCAGAAAACTTTCTCCATTTTATTCCATGTATAATAAGTCATCCGATGACGTCAGTGCCACTGCAGCACCCAAAACAGAAAATGTCATAACTTCTTCAAGATACCAGTTATTCTATTATATGCAAGTGAAACTAGCAAAATTTTCGACTACAGGAAACTTCCTTATTGCCAGTAATTGTAGTCAACGACTCATGGTATGAAAATAGTACAAGAAACCTACAATCTTGAAAAAAGCGCGTGAGCCAAGGGTGGGTGGAGCGAGTTATCAAGGTTACCGTTGTGTTCGCCGTTAAAACCATTTCAGTGGCCATGGAACAATGGTCTAACCAAGAACGTGCATTCGCCGTGAAGACATTTTATCAAAGAGGTTCCGTGTTCATTTCCAACTTAATCGCAATCGGCCCGTGCCTTCTGTTAACTCAATAAAGTTATGCTTAAAAAACTTTGAAAACATCGGTGACTACGAGAAACGGAAAAGGTGGCAGTGCGAGATCAGTGGGAACTCCTGCGAATATAGAAGTGCAAGAATCGCTATGACAAGAAGTCCTCTGACATCAGCGCGTCGACACAGTGCTGGGCTTAGAGTTTCAGACAGGAGTCTCTGAAGGATCTTGAAGTTAGATTTGCACTATCACCCCTACAAAATTCAAGTGGTTCAGGCTCTAAATGAAAACGATTTCGTTGTTCAACGGGACTTTTGTGAAACGTTTTTGGAAATGATAGAAGAAAACGACGAACTTCCGGCTACGTTAACATGCAAAATTTTAGATACTGGAGCGATGAAAATTCTCAAGAGCTCCAACAAAAACCTTTCCATCTGGCAAAGGTAATAGTTTGGTGTGCAATGTCTTCAACGGAATCATAGGCCCATTCTTTTTTGAAGATGAAAGGGGACACGCTGTTACCGTGAATGCGGAGCACTACTCGTAAAGGTTACGAATATTCTTTATTCCTCGTCTTCGCGAACATGAACTGAATGATGAAACGTTATTTCAACAAGATGGAGCCACAAACCACACGTGATCATGAATCTCCCATATCGGGTGATACCCCGGAACGAAGCCATTTCTTGGCCCGCCCGCTCGATGATTTTTTCTTGTGGGGCTACCCTAAAAAGCAAAGGTTTCGAAAAACCTCGGCCTCGTACTCTTGAAGAACTGAAGGCAAGAATCCGTCACTAAATCGAAATAATCCCTCAGCAGATGCTCCGTGACGTAATGAATAATTTTAGAGATTGCCTTCAAGAATGCATAGATCGAAATGGAAGACATCTTAATAATGTTATTTTTAAATGAGTAATGTTTCTTAAATGCTTTTTACGGTAAATTAGCATGGTATCAATAAAATTGTTAAAAAGCAACCGTGTTTTTAAGTTATTTAAATGCAGACTTGACTGCCACACCCTGTATAATAAATCTAATCCTCATTGAAACAGCAAAAAACCGGATTCTTCAAATAAATGTCAAATCCTCTATAGATAATTGCTACAGAATCATAGCGTTTTTTGTAAAAATAAGATGAGCGAGTCGGCTCCGATGCAGCGCTTGCACATCAAAACAGGATTCACGGTTTTTTTACGGCTCCAGTTCTGCATGTATTTTAATATTTTATAGCTACTTCAAATCCTAACACACCTTGAAACAAATGCAGCGTCAATATCCTCTAGTAAAACAATGCTTTGTTGTGGGGCTATACTCAACAGATGGTTTAGCCTGTCATCTGATAGTCCTCTTTCTGACAAATTCAATACTGATATTGAAAACCCAAGTTCACCTGCCAAAGCTGTGATGAATGATGACTTTCCACATCCAGGTGGTCCATACAATAGGTAGCCTCTTCTGTATGGAATTCCTGAAATGAGTTTGACTTTTTAAAATAGCACCAAGATATCAATTATTAACTGTTTTTCCTCAACATATATGTTTTGCATCTACACTGTTTCATCATTCCAAATATCCAGTTACCAGTACCAAAAAATAATCACTCATGCAGGAGACCAAACAAACAATTTATGCAATGCAAAATATCTGACAGAATATTTAGCTAGTCAAAAGTTTAACTCCAAGCCCCATTTGAAGATGGTTTATACCCTATGAAAATGATGTATCACAAATGAAATTATACCACTGGAGCAACTGTTATTGGTAACATGCCCTTCAGACAAAACTTACCCCTATCTGTATACCAAGTTGGATTTGATATAAATTCCTGGCAGTCCTTGAGAATTCTTTCACTAATGCCATCATCCAAAATAACAGAAGAAATTGGTCTTCTTTTCCTGGGATGACCAAACTGTCTCCATTCACTGCCCATAGCTTGGTACATTATTGTTTTACCCTCATGTTGTTTCAGTGCCATTTGTCTAGCTATCAATATTTTAGTGAGTTAATGAATATTCTATCACGAAGTGATTAAAAAACAATGGCAATATTTCTGGAGCCGAAAGTACACCCAAAATAATGTAAAAGGTTTGTATAAACATGTCTCCAAATGTCCCATTATCAAGATGCAGGGTGTTAGAAATTGCTATGATGCGTAAATTTCATCAAGGATAACACATGAATAGTCTTCAAATAACCCAGGAAGTATAATTAGTCCCCTCATAAGCAATACATGCTATTTTTATTGTCAAACTTCACTAACTTTAGGATGTTTTCTACATGGAATATATTTCACATAATGAAACCAATTTTTCTCCAAAAGGAATGACCTAACAGAATTTCTCAAAAGGCAATTTATATAAAATCAAATACTGACATAATTAAAACCAAAAAACTATAGTTTGTGTATTTAATAAAAAATTTACACCCTTATGCACTTCAGAACTAAACATTTTTCATGATATTTAAGTTATAACTTCTACACTTTGTAATTCTGTATCTTGGTAACCAGGTATTGTTGTACTAATATTTAAATGAATTAGTCTTATTTTTGGAGATATGCTCTGCATCAGAAGTACTGTTATTGTTTTTTAAATCGCTTAGTAGATGGTGTTACTTTAACAGTCACAGAGTCATACTGGAACAAAAAAATGGAAATATGGTAAGCTAACTGCTATTTGATCAATAAGTATGTAAGTAATTTCACTCCTCCAAAGATTGTAATAATCGTTTTTTATATAATACTAAAATCAGTGATAGTTCTATTATAACTATGTTCTTTACCTTCCTCTAGTATTCTAAAATACATTTCTTTATTTCTGCCAAGAGCAGTTAGTTGGACAGTTTCCCATGGTGTACCCATATGTAAGTCTAGTGTGTGCTGCTCTCTAGTTCTTTCAACTCTTATCCAAGTACTTCCATATCTACAAGCAAGACAATTGAAAAAGCTCAACCATTTACTTGAATAGATGAAAAAATTAATTTTATGAACAAACTTCATCTATTGTTTGTTCAAACCCCATTTACTCCATGAATTTGAATATCAAGTACTGGTGTTTGCTTTGACTAGGAGTAAACTAGATTTGAATATAATTAGTCATTAAATTCAAACAGATGAGAATTAGCAGTAAAAATAATAAATTCTATAAAAATTTACATATACATTCCAACTATATTAATTTCATATCTACTTCTACTGACAAATATATGTAGTAACTTTCATAATCTGCATACAATTGCAAAGGGTATATATATGTGAACCCTGCATTTATTTACTCATTTTGATTATGTTAAATGAAAAGCAAGCATGGAACTTACCTTACCGAAAGAAATGTGTACCTATGCTGGGAATGAAATCATACTTTGTCTTTACATGTCCACTGTCTTTCTGTTCAAAGCTTGTCTCAACACTTAAGTGTTGAGTCTGTCTTGCACCTTGAAAACAGAGATTACCAGTTAGCCAACATTAACAGACAATATTGCACATACATATCTGATTTTTTAATGGATTGCTATTTCAGGAGACAGTTATTTAGAGCTACAACTATTAAGCAGCAACTGAGGTTGATGAAATTGCAGCACCCAGGGGCCCAGAATATAAAAAAAAAGTTGTTTGAAGAATCATTACACTCCCAGCCTCCACTAATTCATTTTCACCAGTGGCAGATTTAGCCCTCAATTGACACTCTCCCTAGATCCACCTTCAGCCCAACTCTGTTCTGCAACTCGATGCTACAAAAAATGGTTACCTTTTGTAGTCATCCACTGTAACAGCCACTGATAGGACTTATCTCTACATGGTACTTCTAAAGTTATCATATAATGCCTCCTGAAGAGAATCATGCCAGTTTGAAAGCCCTTTCTGAGTATTGCAGCTCCTGCACCAACACCAAAAAGGCCAAAACCCGCTCCAAAATAAGGGTTGTCAGCTAGGGTCGAAAAATATTCTGTAATCGGCATTGTTGAGGTGTAAATCTCCGGCTATAGTTGAAAATTGCAGAAGCAATAGTTTTTATTTTTGGTAATGTTGATATAACCTGGATATAACCTTAAAATTTAAAATGTTTAAATGCCATGTGATAGTCACGGTGACGGTCACTGATCACCTGCTGATCACTGTGACTGTGTGACTTCATGTCTCCACCACAACCCCCTCCCCTCACCATTAAGTAACTGTCAAAAATAAATAGGGATGAGCAAAATCTATGGGTGATCGCTAAGTAGCCATCACTTGGTCACAGTCTTCAGAGAAAAAACATAGTATTCAGGAGCAGGAGTCAAGGAGAAAAAAATAAAGAATAAAGAAATGAGGACAAGTTTCTTTTCAATTCTTTGCGTTGAACCGCATACACTCCTGCACAAACTTGCAATATTATCCGTTTTTCGAGGAAACAACCGATTTATGAAAGAAATTGTAATTGCAATTATGTTTTCGGTAGCAGCTAGCGTTTCGTAGTACATGTTAAAGTTATTCAAGTATGTGATTCAATGTGTTCAACTTTCTTTACATTAAAATGTTCGGCTAATCCCTTGCCAAGGTAGAAGCCTAGGCTGAAAACCACTTATTTAGCACATATTGCAAATATTTCATTTCTCGTTATCGAATGAAACATTTTGATGAACTCACGGTATATACTTTGAGCTGCTATTTAAACTTATTACATTGAACCTTTTTCCAGTAAAAAACAACGTTTTTTATAGCTTCATATCTATTTTCCTTAATAAATGATCCTTTTTACTGATTTTTTTGATTTTTCCCGAAAAAACAAAAATTTCGGTCTTCATACGCTAAAGTGCAGTCATACCAAAGCCTGCTTTTCCAAAAAATGCATTCAAAATTAATTCATGGCCAACGCCGTCTCAGAGCCGCAAAAGCAAAAACAATCTTGGATACTACTATCTAAATCATAGGTGATCCCATCTCTATTATTGGCAGTGTCGGCCACAAAACATATACACTTGTGTGTGTCAGCAGTCACGCTTGACACTGTGTTTTGTGATTGTTTTTGACAGAATTTGTTAATTTTGAGGTTATGTGTATGTTGCAAGGTTTGTTTTTGTTTTGTATTTTGTTGATTTAAAAATATGTAATCATGCGTTTGCTGTGCGCAGCTAAGAAATAAACCACTCTCCAGATCATTCTGAACTTAACAACTTGTCACTGGATTTATTGAAACTTAACATGTCGGCCTCCAGTACACCAACATTCAACAATGAATATTACATTGCATTGGAATGTAAAGACCTACAGGCTAATGCTATGGCCATTGACTCGTCAGGAAATTACGTTCTTCTAGGAGGGTAAAAATTCAGTTTTATATATTGGTACATTTTGTTCATACTCAACTTCCACAGGAGAAGATACTTAGCTATTCGTAACCTAGAGGATGAGTATGAAGTTGTGCAAAAATATCCTAGACAAAGCAAATACGATGTTGGAGCAGCAGAGTGGAATCCTACTCAATTCCACAAAGAGCTTTGTGTTATTTCGGTAAGGAACCTTCCAAATACAGTTAAGACCATCAGAATAAGTTGTGTATATGTTATGGGCAATGATGTTAATTGGCCATTAAAATTAATGTCCAGGCAATGACATGAATGCCCATTGCATGCATCCAATGTTGTTAGTATTTTCATTTCAACCTTTTTGTCAGACATTGATGATAATGACCAATAAGAGCTGGTTAATGATATAAGGGGTAATGGGAGCAAAATGTAATGAAAAAAAACTAAAGAAAATGCTCAGTAATACTTTTGTTATATTAAACAATGCTTAAAAATGACTTTTGATCACATTTAGTGTTAGTGTTAGTATTTTCATAAATTAGTTAATAGCCTTCTTATATTAATAGTTTTGGCAATCACAAATACTCCAAATGTAAACATTAACTTTTGATTTTTTTGATATTTAAGTCAATGATTTATGTGTGAGAGGTTTCACCCGGAACAAAAGTACCAGTGGCCTCTTGTATAAGCTCATCCAAAAGGGTTTTCCATTTTGGCTACTAAAACTGTTGAAATCTTTTCTAGAAGGAAGTTTCGGGTCAAAACAATGTGTTGTCAACAACACAGCTCGTAAGAGCCGGTGTTCCTCAGGTTTGGTCTTAGGACCAATCCTTTATTCACTTTATATACATGACATCCCTTGCCCCAGCAACTGTGAAGTCTATCTCTATGCTGATGACACTGCATTGCTAGCCCAGTCTTGTTCTGGTAACCTGGTTCATGACAAGCTGCAGAGTGCGGTGGAGGAAGTATTGGAGTGGGCGGATCAGGGTTGATCAAAATTAATACTTCGAAATCGCAGGCAATCTATTGTACTAAAAAACGTGGCGGTGCCCCGTCAGAGATATCAGTGAATGGAACTCGTATATCATGGGAGCAATCTGTCAGGTATCTTGGAGTCATCATTGACAAGGGGTTGACCTGGCAGAAACATACTGATATTTTAAAAACAAATTTCCAAATTACCTTTCAGCAGCTTTATCCTTTGTTGTGCAGAAATTCAAAATTAAGTTTGATCAACAAGATTCGGTTGTATAAAATGGTCATAAGACCCGCAATCACCTACGCATGCGCGGCTTGGTGTTTTCTTGCCAAGAAGAACATGCAGAGACTGCAAGTCCTGCAAAACAGAACCCTGCGCACAATTGCTAATGCCCCTTGGTACGTGTCAAATGAGACTATTCATAAAGATCTTGATATCCCATATCTAAGGGATTACGTAAAGCAACAGGCGCAGCGGCGTTATAATCAAACGGAATCGCACAGCAACCCTCTGTTGCGTAATTCAGTAGACAACGCGCCTCGCACCGTGATCAAAATTAAATTGTAAATTCAGACCAGCCAAAATTATTTTAGTATACAAAACCGATCAAATATATTTTTTTTTAGTTACAAAATAATTCGAGCAGTCAAAGCAATAATGCTTAAACTATTTCAAATGATTTACTTCTTTTCTTTGCTCTATTTCTTCCTTCCTTTCTTTCCTTCTTTCCCTTTCCCCCTTAAACATTTTTGATATCTGGGTAGCCAGACCTGACAAACTAACAGACCGACCAGACTTTTAACTAAGAGCAAAGGTCCACCGGACCGCTCTAACGAATAATGACGAAAATAGTTAGATTTATGTGTGGTATTTGTCAAATAAGGCTAACATTTATGTATGTGGTATTTGTAATTGCTAAAACTCTCTATTATCAACATTGTCTAACTTGGCTGGGTGATTGGGCATTAACGTCACTGACTAGCTAATAACATTACTGTCTAGTTTCTTATATTTGCTATAAACTGCTATATGTTCATAACAAAATCTTAGACCTTAAAACCATTATAATAAAAAAAATCATTTCTATTTTCAGAGTAACCAGAGGTTAGAAGTAGTGACCACAAGACATGATGATCTCACCCAAACCCACTCACTGAGAGCCCACACTAGGGTAATAACTGACCTGAACTGGCATAAGGCTGACCCTAACATATTAGCTTCCTGTTCAGTGGATACATTCATACACATCTGGGATTTGAGGGATCCAAAAAGGCCTACATTGTCACTTTCTGCTGTTGCTGAAGCCTCACAAGTTAAATGGAATAGATTGTCACCACATTTGTTGGCTACTGCTCATGAAGGTATCAAAAAAATATAGTAATAGTTTTTAACTAAAAGCTATGAAACCCACAAAACTGGTCAATTAAAAAAGTTCAAATTGTTGACATGTTGAAGTTTGGTGAATCGCAAGAATTTTTCAACAAATTATGAAATTACATTATAAAAGTTCATGCATATACATGTATAAAAATATCTGAAATAATATTATGTTGGTCAATCTATCTTTCAGGGATAAACATGTTGAAAAATTAGATTTTATAAGAATTCCTTGTACTGATCCTGTCAGATCATGTGACGATAATCTTGACCTTAGACATCATTTTTCAAGGTCAACTAATTTATTTTTTTTTTTTGTAAGGGCTTATCTCTTAATTTTTTGATCTTACTCATATTTACTGTTACGAGATCTCATGGTTCCTGCCTTACAACGAACAAAACATTTATTTTCAAGGTGACATCAAAATATGGGACCAGCGGAAAGGAACTGTTCCCATGCAATACATCGCCGCGCATCTCTCGAAAATCCATGGACTAGACTGGAGCCCTAAATCAGAGAATTACATATGTTCATCAAGTCAAGACAGTACCGTCAAATATTTCGACATAACAAACTCTCGCAAATCGGAGTTTGTTATAACAACCACCGCGCCAGTGTGGCGGGCCAGACACACCCCTTTCGGCAGTGGATTGGTTACTGCGGTGGTGCCTCAATTGAGGAGGGGAGAAAATAGTTTGCAACTGTGGAATACCACGAACAGGGCGACACCTGTACATACCTTTATTGGTAAGTTTTGTAAAGGGTTATACTATTATTATTATATTATTATTAGTACTACAACAGTCGGTGGAAAAGTCCTTTGACATTTTTGTGTGAAGTCTTTTTTTTTCACGCTGGATAATGCATGAAATAGTATGCTATGTCTTCTAGTTTCTTATGCAGCTTTTTTTTTCAATGAATTGACAGTTGTTGCACTCACTATTTCCTTGATGAATATACCACACGATTTGAAATGAAATTTTCCTTTATCAACTTACAAGTTCTCTCCTTTTCTATTTTTTTTCGGAATTTTGACTCATATTGAATATTCGAAGGGTACATTAGTTGCAGCCACTGATGATTTTGAATGTCTCAATCATAATCTTCACTAAGGAAGCTCTGACAGATTCGTAGCCCTTAAACGTTGTTCATATAACAAATATCAAATATCTGGTTATTTAACATTATACTATTTAACAAAATAGGTACTCCATACACTGTATACATGTTCAAGTTTTGGAATAATGGATTACAAGTCCTAGGACTTTCTGGTACTGTACATTCCGAATTTTCACCTGCTCTTTATGTAGCTTAAATGGGGATTCCAAATAGTTAGATAGATAGATCTGATGTGTTAGCAGGGACTAGAAGATGCCCAAGCACAGATCCTTGTGTACTCCACTCAGCACTTAGAACCTCATTTGCTCTTACTTGGAAGGTTCTTTCACTAAGAAATTCATGTATCCAATCTACACTAAAATGCTCAAGTTTATAAATTAGATGTTTATGCGGAAGTTTATCAAAAGCTTTTTAGTAATCAAGGTATATTATATATCCGGATGTATGGGCATGTGTATCTACTTTTGTAGTTGCTTATGTGCATTCATTTCGGGCCTGATCAAGCCAACCAGCAGAAATACGTATCGCTCAGGTTACCTATCCTATTTTCTGCTCGTATCCACTTTCCTTCTTTCTGCGGATTTACCCCATTATTTTCCTATTTTTTGTTATATACCTTTCTCTGCATGATAATTTTCTTTTTATATGTATATATAATATATATACTTGAGACGTAGTCATTGTCGTCTAGACCAGTTAGGTAAAAAATAAAGCTTCCACCTTTAGTTGGGTACTTCGACAATAAGGACTCTTTATACTTTATTAGTCTCTAGCTTTCAATGGACTTTGCCATCTTCATCAGGAGCTGCAATAACATTGAGAAGAAATGGCAACTATTGTGCAAAATGATTTTAAATTACTATATATATATATATATAACTTGAGACGTAGTCATTGTCGCCTAGACCAGTTAGGTGAAAAATAAAGCTTCCGCCTTTAGTTGGGTACTTCGACAAAATTCAAGCAATAAGGACTCTTTATACTTCATTAGTCTCTAGCTTTCAATGGACTTTGCCATCTTTATCAGGAGCTGCAGTAACATTGAGAAGAAATAGCAACTATTGTGCATAATGATTTTAAATTACTATATATATATATATATAGAGATATATAATATACCTTGTTGTGTGAATGGTATGATGCTATCTTGAAGTAAGAATTTTGTGAGCTCCTGCCTCATGATTTTTTTCATGAGCTTGCAAGAATTACAAGTAAGGCCTGTAGTTTTCTAAAAGATATCTATCACCTTTTTTGTATAAAGGTACAGAAGAATGAAGCCAGGCTTTAATCCCTTTGCCAAGAGCTTCATACATGATTTTTATTTTATCTTTTCTCAGATGAAACAATATACACATGAACCAATTTTTCAGGTCATCGAGATGTGATTCTAGACTTTGACTGGAGGAAACAGTATCCAAATGATTTAGACTTCCAGCTAGTAACATGGTCCAAAGATCAAACTTTGCTTGTATGGAAAATCGAGCCTTATATCCAAAAACTGTGTGGTCATGAGCCTGTCGAAGTGGAAGTAGGCACTGAAATAGTCGTCGACGCGATTGAGTCCAGATTACCTAGGAAGAACTCTCCTAAAGTCCAACCCCTTCATCAGGAATTTTCTTTGCTGAACGTGCATATTCCTAATTTGATTGTGAAGAAAATGGACCCTGTGGCGAGGAATGTAGCTGTTAAAGTAGCGGTTAACGATTTTCTAGTGCATTTACAGGTATTTTATATATTTTATTAAATGTAGTTTCATTCGTTGAAAAAATGGAATAGCTTCAAAAACACTAGTAACCTAAGAAATCGCCTTTACTTAATGTGTTTCTCTAAAGAGAAGTTACATTTCTCCCCCTAGTTAAATAATAATGATAAAATCCCTAGGAAATAATGATTGTGTGCATTAATGTAGAGGATCTTTGACTTGCTGGGCACATAACTTGAGAAGTACTTTTTTTTATATACTCCAACTACCACGAAGGCCTAAGGCCTAAACACCCATTGGGTACCGTGGGGCTATAGGGGGATACAGGGGAAAGGGGGAACGTCACACGGACTCTGGCGATATATATACGTGTTGTGGTTCAACAAGCCCATTAGTGATTCCTTTGTTTTTCAGGTGAGCTTCCCTAACGCATACCCTTTCGGAGTGTCTCCGATTTTCCAAGTGATGCCCGGTTCAACTATCAACGATTCCGCCAGCCATCAGCTCCTGCAGATGCTCAAACACCTGGCTCAGCAGCGAGTGTCAAAAAACCGGACTTGCTTGGAGCCCTGTCTAAGGCAGATGGTCACCACATTGGAACAGCTTTCCACCAGTCTGGATCCGAACAAAGTGTACGATCGGTCGTACCTGGAGCCCCCGAATATCTTTGGGGGATACAACGACGCCTATATTCCGTTCCCGAAGACGTCTGGAGCCAAGTTTTGCTCCGTAGGGACCCTTGTCTGCTTTAGCAGACCGTCATTCTCGCGCAGGGTTCCCACCAAGTCCGAGAGTTTGACCAGGGCAACCACACCCAGAGCGTTGTCGGCGTTAGAGAATCATTTCACGAAGCAGGCTAGTGATTATATGACTATCTCCACGTACTACTATCAAAGGTAAGCATGAATTTAACAGCTAATAGGGTAATTTGAGACGAGTCTTGTTCACTGAGCGTCAGAAATGTGAAAGTTTCTCCTGACGTGAGTTTTTAAGCTGCCAATGTTTAGTTTTCAACAGAAGGTGGCCTAACTGTTTTCTTCAAGATTTTAGGACCATTTAACCTCCAAGCCACTCTCTGCGAAATGTCGCAACTCTATAATTGCAGAGATGTACTAACATGGGTTGGGAAAGCAATTCTTGTAGGTAACTGGTCCAAACAAGTCTAAACTTACTTGGTGAAGCTCAATAACATGCTCCTAGATGCCACATGCGCTTCTACCCCCTGAAGGATCCGACCCTCGCCATAATATGATTATAATCCGCTTGCGGAGGGCGAGGGCTTTTGGCAGATTCAAAGTCTTGCACAACCACAAAAAGACCCAAAACACCTTTCCCTATCTGATACCGCTTCCCTTTTTTCAACCCCTCATACATGCACATCATTTCAAAAAATACACCAAATACGAATCAGCTTTAAGCTGTAACGGAAGTTTGATTGTACTGCAGAGGCTATAAAAGTGCAGTTGGTTCACTTTCGATGGCGAAAAAACATGTAAACAGCAAACATCAACCCAGAAATTTTCAAATTGCCGTTTGGTTGGAAGGCAGAAATGATTTTCAGAAATGGCCTAAACTACAATCAATCATGAAAACACTCGAGACATTGTTACGGTTTCTTTCTATGGTTGACTAAAAATGTACTACGTGAATTTCATTTTTATAACAAAACACTTCTCTTGGTGTAATAATTCTTTGGTAGAAAATCGTAATCTACTCTCCATCTCGTTGAAGGTAACTTTTAATAATTTCTATCGACCGTAAATACGAGAGCTGGGGGTGACTTGGTGCTATTTCTGGTGCTCTGCTGTGGAAATTCACCGGCCCACTAGGCGATTTTGTGAAATAGTTTCACACGCAGAGTTGCGGTTTATAGGGTGGTAAATGACCATTTTCTCCAAGCCACGTGTGCATTTCCTCAACATGATTTCTAATTCTATAAAGGGGGGTAATACAAATTAATTCTCTTCAGCCTGTCCTCCAGGAGTTCTCTTTAATTTTTTTTTTTCAATAAATGTCTGTGTCCAGAGACCCACCAGTTGTTACTTGTTATTTCATTTTCTAGTTTTTCAAACTAGGTGACGCCCAAACCGCAACCGCTTTGCATCCAAAAACCAATGTACAAAGAATATCTACCGACTAACCTTGTTTTGGCGGAATAACACCATTTATTTATAAACAAAACGGCCTATTTGTAATCGAAAAAGTGGAACCAGATGTTTGACGCACTACATATATATATATGTAGACAATGTTTAATGAGATTCAGAACACAGTGGTACTCAAACATGCACTGACACTGACATTTTCAGATGTATGTGTTATAATGTTAATGATCGCCCGAGTAGTGCTATGTTCTCGTGAACGCGACCATACTAAAGTGGGTTTCGTCACGTTACTGGTATAAATACACATTGTTACTTTAAAAGACTTCGCTCAAACCATATAAAGAATGGTTTTCGCCTAATTTAAAGAAAATAGTCAATAATCAAAACGTTTTACGGACGCGTTGTAGGACCGTGTAGCGCTCCATGATGAATTGGACACATGTGCTGTAAACAACTACTACGATGCCACCTACTGAAATGCGTGTATCAAAAATGGCGCGCAATTTAAATCTGTCAGGTATATATTGGGCACCCTGTATATATTTTCTTTAAAAAACATCAAAATATGATGGCATGCATTTTCAGTTTCGTTACATAAACGCACTTAATATAATATAATCGACTGTGTCATCTATTTGAATGTTTTAAGGAACAATGAATTGTGTGTTTTTGAAAACTAGTTGACTCGAACAATTCAAGAAACGGTAAACTAGCAGCTAAAAATAACTAAATATTCATAAGATTCTTACTTAAAATTCAATATTCTGCCTTTTAAAGAGGTCTGGGTATTGTCTGCCATACTTTCATTTTGTATGTAGATCCAAATATGCAATAAAACTACCAATAGGTATCTATCAAAAAAGCAATGCTCTACCCATGCAAGTTTGGTCCACCCTGTAAATGCTGATGTTATTGAACGGGCCAGTAGGGATGATGCTAAAAAGGTGTAAAATATATATTATTGCTGCTGAAACTGCTCATGGAATAACTTTGGGCCACTGGACACTGTTGATCCACGTATTGAAATCTACAGCATACTATTTTTTTAAAAATTGCCGAAACTCATTTACCATAATCTTCTTGCGGTCTTTTGGGATGGAAAGGATTTTCTTTCTGATTACATTCTTTTCAAAAACTAAACAATTACATAACATACAGATATTTAGAGAAAACAAAATTTGCATTTCTAAGAATGTTCACTGTCCATGAAATATTCCTTTAATTTTCTTTTAAACATCTTTAAATTACAAGTAGACTTTATATCATTATTTAGTGTATTAAATTCAATCAATCCTTTCTGAAATATTGATTTGCTAGTTATATTGCTATTTCAATTTTATAAATGAAAATCTATATTTCCTCTGTATAATAATTTTGGTAATGATTATTCAATTTTATGTAGTGTTCTAAATGTTGTAGCAAAAGATGGATTTTTTATTTTAGATATAAAATTAAGAACCAAATATGATATGAAATTTTTTATATCCAACTGCATTCTTGTAACTGTAGATTTTATTTTGGTGTACTTATTTTCATTCAATATTATTCTCATAGCTCTATTTTGCAGGACTTGTAATTTTAATACAGATTCTTTGGCAGTGAACAATATAGTAAATACGGTAGAATAATTGTATTATAAACTATTTTCTTGGAATCCGTACCAAAACTACTACCTATAAACCCTATAAAAGTAATTTGTCTTTTTTGCAATTTTTGAAATAGTGTATTCATACTGATCCTCAAATTTTAGTTTTCTATCAATATACATATATACCTAAATATTTAATTGATTCAACATTTTCAATTATTTCACCATTTATCCTAACTAAGATTTTTTCATTTAGGAATTTCCCTATTGGCATACATTTTGTTTTAGAAGTCTTCACTTATAGTTTATTTACATTTAACCAACTTATGATTTTTGGCAAGTCAGAATTTAGCATTTTAAAAGCACTGTCTATATTTTCATCTGATATGTATATTAATGTATCAATTGTAAATATCTGAAGTTTGCAATAATCGAAAATATTACAAATGTCATTAATGTATAAAATAAATAGTAGTGGACCTAGTTTCCTACCTTGTGGTACACCAACTGACCAATTTTTTGAGCTTGATAATGTAGATCCAATTTTGTTTCTTTGGCTTCTGTCAATTAAGTAGTTTTGTAGAGTTGTGAATACAGATCCTTCAAATCCGCAGTGATGCAATTTTGTAAGTAATTTATCGCTGTCAATAGTGTCAAACGCCCTTTAGAATTCCAAAAACACTGTTGCTGTATGTTTCCTATTGTCCATACATCTCCTCCAGACCTCTAAAACCATTTGTATTGCTGTTTCAGTTGAGTGTTTCTTCATGGTTTTCGGTACCTATATATTTTTCAACAAAAAATGACATTTTAAAAAAATAAAGCACCATGCAAGATAAGAAATTTCTTTCTGATTTATGATTTGAAACCAGGATAAGAATCAGTCCATAACGAAACGAAATATCACAGAATTATGTTAGCAGTAGGCTGTATTCTTAATGCATTTGTGCCATACAACCATACGCCTAATTCGCACCATTGAATTGCGGACTAAAGAACGCTGTTTACGCATTTCCCAGGCACCGATCCCGAGCGAAAAACTTCTCGAAGCAGTCCCGGACAGTGGTGCACATCTACGACGCGCTAGGTTTGTTCTTCATGAACAGACAGCTGGCCGAAGAGTACATTTTGGACGGCGACTTGAGCACGGTATGCAAACACAACGGTGCAGCAGCAGCTGTGGTCGGCAGGTTCGATTTGGTGCAGGCGTGGACGTTGGCAGAACTGGTTGCTGGTCAGTCGGATGACAAAGAGATGGCCATGGCCTCGCACCCTTTTGGCAGCAAACTAATGGAATCGCTGTAAGTATTATTAGGATATCTCTTAGAACATGTGATTAGTCCCTCGGATTCATGTAGAGTGAGCACAAAAATAATGTTCCGATAAAACCTGCTATGACGAACTTTTCGGTGGTGCAAGCCCCTAAAGAGCATCACTAAGCGGCACAGTATAATTCGTTGATATAGAATATCTAGGGCAGTGGAATAACGTCTCTAACAATTTGGTATAGTGACATCCGTTTATGTTATACATAACTTAGTCGGATTAAGTTTAAAGTTTAAATCAATCGACATGACTGATTTAAAATCGATGTTCCAGTCTCTGAAATCGAATCTCTGGGGAGTGATGGCGTGTCACTCAGAATGGTAAAACTATGCTTCTTTGCGATTTCAGGTCACATTTTACACATCATAAATACCTGCTTAGAAAGGGGATTCTCTCCAGAATCATGGAAAGAAGCATTAGTGTTACCTCTAGCTAAAATAAGTAAACCAAAATTATATTCTGATTTAAGGCCAATTAGTATTTTACCTGTTTTTTCAAAATTATTAGAAAAAGCAATGTACGTCCAAATTTACGATTATCTCTCTAAACATAAAATTTTGCCTCCCAAACAATGCGGTTATTAAACAGGATATAACACTATTAGACTTAACCGATAACATTGTTAGAGCCTGGGATGATCACATCATTAGTTCTTCTTGACTTCTCTAAGACATTCGATACCATAAATCATCGTCTTCTAGTAGCCAAGTGCAAATATTTAGGTTTTTCTGACTCTGCCTGAAACATGATTCAGAGCTTCTTAGGAAATCGATATCAAAGGGTACACATTGACATGGTTCTATCTTCAAAGTGCCTCATTTCCTCTGGAGTGCCTTAAGGGTCTGTACTTGGGCCACTCCTATTCATTTCGTATAAGTCTGATCTCCACTCAGTTGTTAAATATTGTAATATCCAATTCTTTGCCGACGATTCACAGATCTACAGTCATTTCCATAATCACGACATTCGAACTGCTGAAACTGAGGTAAATAAAGATATAACATCTATTAGTATGTATGCAAAAAATCATAACATTCAGTTGAACCCTTTAAAATCAAACGTCATCAGTTTTCACCAAAACTATTTAGAAGTGATGCCAAAAGAAATTTTAAAGTAAAATTAAATGGTGAGCCTATAGAAGTAAGTGAGTCAGTGAAAAACTTTAGATGAATGTCTAAATTTTATACCACATGTAAATAATATCAGTAAGAGTTGTTTTACAATTTTACGTCAATTATATCTTAATAAACAATTTCTTGACTTTACAGCTCAAAAAATTTTGTGTGAATCTTTGGTAATGTCCAAAGTGAGTTATTGCGATTTAGTTTATCTTCCATTTCTTGACTCAATATCTCTAGCACGTCTCCAAAAAATTCAAAACTCATGTTGTAGTTTGATCAATAATTTGAAAAAATATGATCATATCAGGCCTTTTTTCAACGACATGAAGTGGTTGAGAGTAAATGAACTGTGTGAGCTACACTTAGTTACTTACACCCACAGGATTTTGCTATCATCCATTCCGCCGTTTTTGAAAAATAAGCTGATATCTAGAAGCAATATCCATTCTAGGGACATTCGATTCACTGAAACACTCACAATGCCCCTCCACAGGACATCATTCTTTCGTAACTGTTTCACCTACAATGCAATTATGTTTTACAATGCTCTACCTCGATCCACAAAAATGCTATCATATGATGAATTTAAAAGAAATTTATTTTGAATAGAAGTATATAAATTAGTTGATAAAATTTATCTGTCATCTCACACAAAAATATTTCCAATGTAGCATTCCTTTGTTTTGTATAACTGTTACAATTTTATACTTTTAAATCATGAAATATTGAATAGCCTTCACTTATATATGTTATATAACTTCTAACTTATCAAATGTAGTTATGTTTTTTCAGTTTTTCTTTTTTTTTGGGTTAAGTGGCAGAGTAGCATTATGCTAATCTTCGCCCCCTAAATAAAGACGATTTATTTTTATGATTATTATTTTCTGGAACCATTTCTTACACCATTTTCAACGTTAGTTTGTGTCTGATATGATGTAAGTGACCTGCTGTGGATACCAATGTTATCGTCAAGCATAAAGTTTCACTGGTTAGTGTGCATGTTGTAAAGAAAAGATGCAGGACCGAAATAAAGCTTCCTTAATTGTTGAATGACTTGGTATTTTTTGTCATTGTAACCATTGTCATTTTTTTCAGTATAAACCACTATGCCACACAGTATGATATACAAATGGCAGCTATGCTTTGTTGTATTTTTGGCAAAGAAATGTCGAGGAAATCTGCACAGAGCTTATCAGAGGTAAGTTGATTCCTAAAATTAGGTGTTGACATGAAGTCGAATTAAATATCTTATCTGTGACTTTGAAATCCTTGTTTCACCTATTGATGTCTGGTTAAAATTTTTGTTGCAAGTGGTTAATATACAAATGTTCCAGGAGCGACTACAATGAACAAAAAAAACAGATATAAATTCTGATAAATTTATAAATAGACAATTTCTAAGAATATTATTATACGATTTAATATTTGCTATGAAGTTCGACATGGTTTGTTTTTCGACTGACACTCCTGTGAATTTTTATATCCTAAACGTTTTTTACCTATACGCTTAAGATTTGAAAAAGCTAAATGTTATTGCGTGGCCTTTCAATTTCTTTACGAGCTTCTAGTCAGAGTTGCTCGCCCCATATAGGCTTCATACGCGTATCGTCGCTTGGTGCCACTTAATATCAGCAAATTCTTATGGTTTATTGCTTTTTTACAGCAATCCAAGAAATGGAAACTGAAGGTAAAATAGCTTTGCTACCATGTTCGTCTGCTTAGAGTTGCAGATTACATACATATATGCTATTTTGTTATTGTTTATGCTGCTGTAACCCAAGATTTTACACACATGTCATCACACTATATTAGCGACCATTTAAATCATTTTCTAATAATCAGTTACATGTGTTTTGTTATTTTTTGTTATCGGATGATGATCCCTGTTTAATACCCGTGTTAGTAATATGGGATGGGGAGAACATTCGGATGTACGAAATTCTAATGGGTGTACAAAACGAAAGCACTCGAATCATCAAAGAAATCTCCACTGAACACCGCTGTTACACATGCTATTATCATTTTATGTTTAAGCAACATCAATAATCGCGGTCATTAAAGCCTAAAATATTCCTATGTTTACACGTACACGACAAAGAGGTTTAGCTTCAAATCAAATTCTTAATACACATTTTTAAAGACTTTTTCTTGAATTTGAAGAATACCCAAAAATCCTGATTGAAGACAATTTTCAAAAGACCAACAAAGGCAAGTCAAATTTCATTGATATTCATCAAATATATTTGTATACGGTACTGACAAAGTTTTATACTGACAGAAATAGTAAATGATACTTGACCCAGGAAATAAAATACTGTACAGGTGCCAAAACCTGAAGCAAATGTATTACAGGGATCGTATGCTCTCTCGAGGGCTGCAATATTCATCAAATATATTTTTATACGGTACTGACAAAGTTTTATACTGACAGAAATAGTAAATGATACTTGACCCAGGAAATAAAATACTGTACAGGTGCCAAAACCTGAAGCAAATGTATTACAGGGATCGTATGCTCTCTCGAAGGCTGCAACAAATAATAATAATAATATTTATTACCCTCATTAAACAGTATATACAAAGTTTACAAACAAAAAAAAGCCTTAAGAGAATAAAGGGCTTCATCAGCTTGCCCCTTAAATGTTTAGATTATGTACATCAGTCCGGTAACTAATTTTTAAGTGAAGATAAGGAGGGCTTTTATATTTTATAACCTTGTAAAAAAAGGAAGTAGAGTGCAAGGTACGCCTCTGAGTCATATTCAACCATCCCAGTTCAGGTAGTTTGTGGGATACTCTTTGTCTACCCCTTATGCCAAATATCAGTCTCAGACAATAATTTTGAGCTTTTTGAAGCCGTTTTAGTTCCACACTATCAAGGAATGGGCCATATACCATATCAGCAAAGTTGAAGTGGGACAACACTAAAGCTTCGCAGAGCGTGGCTTTAGTATTTTGTGATAGGTAATGTCTATGGGGTAAATTATTTTTAACATTGAATATGCTTTTCTTAGGCACAGAGTAATGTGCTCTCTAAACTTAAGATTAGAGTCAACCACTAAGCCAAAATCCTTCACGGAATCCCTAAATGATATTAAAGTGTCCCCTAGTTTGAGCTTAATATTATTTTCTAATACGTTTCTGTAGGAATCACTACAAAACAATATAGCCGTCGATTTACTAGGGTTTATCTGTAACAAGTGATCTTCAGAGGTTTTGACAAGGCCATTCAAGTCGGTATTCAGTCGGTTTGTCATAAGTTCTGACAGATCAGGTTTGAGTGTCGTCAGCATAAAGATGATATTGACAATAACTAAGCGACTTCATGAAATTAAAAGTATATAGGCTATACAATAATGGACCCAAAATACTGCCCTGGGGCACCCCTGATGTAATTGTAACTGTATCTGATATGTTCCCGTCCAAAGTCACGTGCTGCATCCTTTCAGATAAAAAAGAATTTATTAATACGTAGGCCAGCTGCTCTAATCCAATATATTTCAGAATAGCCACTAGTATCTCATGATTAATCATGTCAAATGCTTTCGTGTAGTCCAATAACACCAAGACAGTAGCATTTCCCGCATCCTGTTCTATGATGACATCATCCACAAGATCTGTTAATGCTGTGGAACAACTGTACCCGGTTCTAAACCCTGACTGTCTGGGGGGATGATATTGTTGGGAAAAACGTAGTTCACAACTTGTATAGCGATTGCATTTTCCAAATAAATTCGATTGGACTGTTTAGACCCGCTCCTAAGGATTATCCTTCAGCGCGCTTTGCATTTGTATTTATTAAATAAATATTATTTTTTTGCTGGTGTTTAGGTATGTAATTTATTTTAAAATCGGTAAAATGCTTTATGGCTAACCATTTTGATGTATATATGTAAACCTATAATCGTTTAATATGAGTATCACTCATACAGTGCTATAATTAAGATAAAAACGAACATTGTTTCTTTTGAAGCTATGTCACCACCCCGCCCGTACAGACAACGTTATCCGTCACATCATATCTCCAACAGACGAGAGGCATCTATGAGTTCCCTATACTGAAGCCAACTCCTGGAATAATCCAAAGCTTCACATTCACTGATGCTTTGTTTAAGCATGCGATAAATATCATGCTATCGTTTCAAACACGTTCTTGCAGCTTACAAGCAACCCTGCCCTTTTACATCTTAACCTCACCGAAGGTAGTCTAGTGAATTACTTATGCCTCGAATCGAAGGCTCACAGGTTCAAATCTCCACCTCGGAAGTTAATTTCGAGCCATGAATGTTATGTTTGTCTAAATACTACGCACCAGATAGGTTCAAGATCAACATAGGTATATCGCATCGCTGGAGCTTGTTGTTTCAATAATCTGTTATCAGTAGATAGAACGTGATACTACGGGGTCGGCAAAAGTGGCCTAGCTTCCAGGCTTTGCCTCCCCACCACCATTGCTAGTACTACCGTGCTAAAAATGAAAAGGTTCATCTCGTTGACTAATCCACTAGTTAGAATTCATCAATGTTGCTCTGATCAGTCGTATACTAAATGTCATGCTATGTTGATACAGTCAATGCCATTGATCCATTTGAAGATATACTCGTACAAATGCTCTTACGCTATCACACCATACTTTAAGTAGAAGTGATAATGAGTTGCTGAATATTTTTTATGCTGAGTACAAAAATGCCTACCTACTTAATCAGCAACTTACGTTTACTGATGACGTACTACACTGAACACTCATGTTACTCATATGCTTAAGTCAGACCATGTTTATACAGCTAAAGTCACTGTTCCGCTTGAAGACATTCCGATGCTTCAGGCGACATCACCATATCACATCATACCTCCAGTAAGTGCATTTGCAGACTGCTGTTTCCTTCCTATGTAGCGGATGAAAAGATTCTTTGGATAATCGATTAGCGATATATTATGCTTCTCCTGAACACTCATATTACTCATATGCTAAATGTCATGCTATGTTTTTGTTTACACACTCAACGTCATTCTTCCGGTTGAACATATGCAAATGCTCTTTCAGGCAACATCCCCGTATCACACCATACCTCCAGCAGACGTGGTAGCGGACGGATGGGTATTCCCTATGATGAGGACAAAGAGGTCAACCTCATTGGATAACATCAGGGTAGAAGTTCCTGCTGTCGTCCGTACTACCAAACCCCAATCTACCTTGTATGAGTACTACAAGATGGCATATGCGGAGACGTTACATCGTTGGGGACTTATTTATAATAGGACAGAGGTTCTGAAATATACATATAGGTATGATTATGCTACAGCATTTTTAATACAACACAGCAGCGCAAAGGTGGATCCAGCCTTTTAAAGTCAGGAACGGGAGGGGGGGGTCACCTTCAGTTAGGACACGCCCCAATACGTTTATAACACTAGATCTAAGAAACTTTTTATTGTTGTCTTCTTTTTTATTTTTTTGCGAAACAATTTATCTCTTAAAAATGTGCCAGTCCAGTTAGGCGATTTTCTGTCATAGGTACTCTCAACCATGTTTTGAGACACTTGAGAATAGAGGGCATCTCTACGGTCACTACACTGTAGTGTAGCAAGAATGCATAGAACCTTTTTGATGTTGAGATACATTTCATTATCGCAATTTCCTGTAAGAACAACAAAATGTTAGTTGTCGATCTCGATTTTCCCAGGGGGGCATTACCGCGCATAACCGCTATAAAATCCAAATATGAAAGGTTCTTTGGTCAATGAAATCAGTGGATCGCCTGGCACATTCACCATAATTAATTTTCAGATCCTATTTACAAATCGAAGCGCGATATTTTTACCGCTTGTTATCCCGAATAAACTGTGTACACAGTTCTTAGGGTGAGGTTCTTTGTACTTTGGCTTAGGAATTTTAGCGCCACCTAGCTTCCAAAAACTAGCAAATGAAATCAATAACAAGTATCACTGTTGTGATTCAGGCGTTTAAAAAAAAAAGATACCAACTCACCAACAAAAAAAAAATAAAAATAAAAAAAATAAGGAGAAGTCCTGGAGGACAGGCTAACGAGAATAGATTTATGTATTAACCCCCCCCCCCCTCCCCGCGCTAAATGGTTACCCAAAAAAAAACTAAAAACGGTATGGTAGAACCCTAAGTAGAAAAAAATACTTGTTAAAAAAACTCGAAATCACGAACTGACTACTAATACCCCCTTTTAATTTGTTTCCAAGAATTAAAGATTTAACTTTGACATGGAACCATTTAGTCTTGGGTTACATCCATTCAAAAATTTGAACTCAAAACAAGTTGTTGTTCAATTACGGTTACAAGGAAAATCGCGATTGCACTAGCAACACCCAAATTTTAAATTAACTTGTACTTACTAAATTAAAATAATCAGATACCAATAAAACATAAGGATCCGGAAGTAAAATATTTCATCTCCTCTCTCAGCTTATAAATAAAGCAATTAAAATGTTATTTGAGAACCACAGGAATATTTTACCTCGTGAGCATGGCTCACTCAAGTTTCAGTATATATACAACCAATATCAGAAGCTACCGCCATATAAAAATAACACTATATTATTCTCAGTGTATGTACTATGATACAAAACAATATATAAATTCAAAACATTTCTCTTTTTTACCTCTAAAAAGGTTGATGAATTAATAATTTTTGACGAATTCCATATTGACCTAAACAATGGATAATTAACTGGTTAAAGTAAAACCCTGATGTTACATAAGAACGCGTAAACTAGCACAAATAAAATTACGGATAGACTCATGATTAATTTTTGAACGAAGTGGTTGTGTTTTCAGTTTGTACGAGATAAAGTAAAAAAAAATCATAACAATGAGGATTCTCCAAAAATAAGGGAACTGCACCTCCTAGACGTGAGTCCCACTCAAACTCGCCTTGGACTAACCCTGTAGGCGGTTCCCCTCTATAGCATTAGAAATCATGTTGAGGAAATCAACATGTGGCTTGGAGAAAATGGTCACCTACCCGCTCGATGGTTGAGTGTAATTATCTGCACGGTTAAATCCCCAAAAGAGTTTGCAGGTTCTGCACGTGCGTACTTTTCAGATTATTCCAATGGTATACAAGTTCCGTTCACTGACATCTCTGATAGGGCATGTTCAAAATGGCAATCGAGAACTTTGGATCGTTCAGGCACGTGAACGCAATAGTTCTCGAAACTTCGCAAGCTTCGATGCATGATGGTGTAACTCTTGTTGCCTAATTTTGCGACGATATCTGATCACCATACAAAGTCAGAGTTACGAGAGAGGTTATGATAACCACAGGATCAGCTTCAGATGTTACATTAATAAATTATAAATTTATCTGCCTTCCAGATGAGAGTTAATTTGATGCCGCTACTGTACTAATCGCCACTATACAATTACAAGTAAAAGTTGTGTTTTGTTGATTCCACAAAAGGAATGTTTCTTTTAGGATTCCTGATGTTCACAAAGGCGTGGAGTTTGTCAGCGAATGTACGTTCTGCGAACGTCAAGTGAAACAGTATGGTTGTGTCTTCTGTAAACGATTGGCGCTTCAATGTGCTGTATGTGGAGATTCAGTGCGCGGACTGGCAAATTCATGCGCACCTTGCGGCCATGGAGGACATAGGAGGTAATTATACTAAAATATAAGTTAGCCATCCCTAGCATAACATTTTCAAGTAAAACCGATGAGGGAGGCTGTTATATGACTTTCTCTAAATACTGCTTCTCCTTCACAGGTTTTGAGTTTTCATTAACAGTTTCTCATGTCTTTGAAGGTTATATTAAGTCCATTTTTAATTATCATCATGTTTGGAACTAGTAAAATGCTGAGAAAAAAAAATCGACATGTGTGAATCTAAAAATACAAATTTCAAAACAACTTACTTACAAATACGAATACAAGGTGGTCCCGGGAGCGGGAAGTTTTAAATACTTTATGAATCGAAAAGCAATTTAATTTAAATAAAATGCAGTATAACATTAACAAACTAGTATTATGCCATTTTTATTTCTTGAAAATGCTACCGCGTAAATGTTTTCTCCTTCTCTGTATGCACTCTTAAATTCGCCATAACACGATGCAACATATCTACAGGAATCTTAGCAAATTCTTCAATAATGTTTCTTTTAAGATTTTGAATGGTTATTGGTTTATTAATAAACACATTTTGCTCTGGGTAGCCCCACAAAAAGTAATCGCCAGCCGTTAGGTCTGGTGACTTTGGCGGCCACTCATGTGGATTTTCTGAACTCTAATAACGACAATTCTGTTTGTTGGTATAGCCGGATAAATGGAAGTGCGCCTCGTCAGACATCCACAAATTGTGGATATGGATTCAGTTCTCAAGCAGAGTTTCAGCAAGACGAAAAACGAGCCAGGATATCTGTTGGTTTCAGCGCTTGGACAATTTGAATTTTGTATGGATGAAGTTTGAGATCTTTATGCAAAATTCGAAGGAAAGATGTCTTGAGCTCGTTTTCGGGTTGAACGTTTCTGTGTTCCACAGATATTCTTACACGATCGATGTTTTCTTTTATGTTTGACATTGACAGTTGAACCGGTTTGTTCAAATTTACGAACCATTCCTTTATAGCATGAGTGGAAGGAACTCAGCCATATCGACCAATTTGGAAATAAAGTCGGAAATGTCGCTGAGCGGCAACCACACAGTTATCGTTTTTATAGTACGACTTAATCAAAAATGTACGTTGCTCACTAGACCACTGCTCCATGATTACTAAATGGCATACAGTGACAGATAATTTCAAAAAACAATCCATAGCCAACTATGCATAGTTACGGAATAACAACATTATCAAAACTTCCCGCTCCCGGGGACCACCTTATATTACGCCAGGCCTCTCCAAATCAGGTGCCACCAGTGCAGCGCCGAGCACCGCTCGCATCACAGTGCTGCGGGGTGACTCCGTGAAGGTGGGGGAGGGATTAGGCAGCGGCATACGCATCGCGAGGGTGTTGTGCTAACCGTAGCACCCTGCGAATAGAAATGACCCGGGAGCTGGTGGCATTGAGCATACCTTCATCGCGGATTCGACTAAATTTAGTAATAATATGTAGTTTTTAAGTAAATGAACAAGAAGAGCTCAGTGAGACGGGGCGCATCCTGCCAGAAGTACCTGTCATACCGCGTGACAAGAGAATTTCACCGAATCCAATGAAGCCTACAAGGTTTGATGGAAATTTTAGGCTCATTTAGAAAAACATGGTATGACAAACTGATTCCGCCAGAAGTTTCTGTCTCGTACCGACTGAAAGCTATAGCAGGCAATGCAAATAGATAAAAATAATACATCCTGTTTGTATGCTTCATGCTTGCATTTAAAAGCTCATTTGAGTCTGTCAGTTTGACACCAGGCTTCTATATGTTTGAAAGTATATGTAAAATGAATATGAAACGTCATGACCGTTGATATACGTATAGGTTATGGTAAAATCCTACCGACACGTGGTATCTTCAAGTCTATATGACAGGTACTTTCATCGGCATACCAAGCCCTTTTTGTTCATTTACTTAAAAACTACATATTATTACTAAGTTTAGTCGAATCCGCGATAAGGTTTAATTTCGCCGGCTCCCAGCCCCAACGGAAAATAAGTGGAGTGACATTCGTATTGACATTTGAATTGGTCTGATCGAGTCAACGCGCGGGTGATAAAATAATGTTCATAATTTCGACGTAAACACATTTATTCTTAAGATGATCTTTGGCAGCGTTTCGATTAAACAAGTTTTCTAATATTTGGTACAGTGGCTTGAGCGGTGGAAATTCTGATTATCGCCTCTAAGGACTCATTAGACAAATACCTGTTTTTAGTTTTGTTCAAATTCATTAAAGAAAACATCTGCTCTCAGAAGTACGTTGTACCGAACATGGAGCAAGTTTCCAAGGCCAGTGCAAGAATTTTGGGAAAACCTTGCTGCTTAACACCTTGATAAAACGAAATTAAATTACTATTATAGTGGTAGTATCTATCCTTAAGGGTCGTATCGTATCGCTTAATCAGCTCCATTTGGATCTGCGGCGGTTCTGTTTCGAAAAGCACTGAAGATGGCGTCGTAAAAATCTCATTTGCATAAACATGTCAACGTCGTCAATGATTTAAAAAAAATCTTTAGCACTTTTGCGCAGCTTAACCAGCGCGTAACACAATAAAAGGGTATGTCACCGTAAGTTGGTTCCAGGTCTTTTAAAAATACTTCAAACTGCCGTGGTTGAGACCTTGCTTTCTGCAGAAATTGACACATGTTATTACTACATCCATAATAGATTTGAAATTACGGAAGGTTTTTGCACTTAGTTGTTCCTGATAATATGCAGTGTACCGATGATATCGGAGGTAGCCCAACGTCGCGTACTTTTATTTTCATTCGCCCAGTAAAACCTTGTACTTCCGATAACATTGCTGGCGCTCCATCAGTAACAACACTACGCAAACTTTTGAGTAGTATACCCATGTCATTTATTGTGTATTCTACAGCATCAAAAATATCTTCTCCGGCCATTGTATCTTTGAGCGGGATAACGTCTAGTAGTTCGTCGGTGATAGTAAAGACTATTTCGACACCTCTAACGAAAACAGCTAATTATGCTGTGTCAGAAATGTCTTTACTTTCATCAAGAGCTATAGAATACTGCACAAAATGGGCAATTTTCCCGCAGTTTTAAATCTGCACCAAGTTCAAGTATCCGACAAGAAATTGTTTGCTCGAACATACTAATTGTCTCAAAGTTGCTTACAGGAGATGGTCACAATATTTCTGCACACTCCACTAAGCATTGTTTGACAAGTGCACCGTCAGTAAACGGTCTCCCACTTTTTGCGATTTTTAAAGCAACCATATAACCATTACGACGCCATTAATAATAATCAACTACGACCAAATTAATAATTACCTCTTCAGAACTTAGAAGGGCTGGCCTCAATACCGTGTGACAAATTAAATATATTGCTTTTCCATCAGTATTTACAAAAAATAGGCTTCTTCCATGCAGGATTGAATGACATCGTTTAAAAAAAGATGCACGTTACGACGCTAAAAAACCTGTCAACTTTGTCTTGTCCTATTAAGAAATGGCCCGCGCCCGAGAGACAGTCGGCTAAGAAAGTTTCTCTCTGTCGCGACGGCTGTGCGGTCGAGGTGGAGGGGGAACGGCACCGGTGCCGCTGGGTTCAGCACCGGAGCGCACCAGCACCAAGTGCTCGAGTTGGAGAGGCCTGTTTAGCGCAACCTCATATGAAGCTTGCATTCATTAAAATGGTTTTTCTCAGGTGTCTGCAATGGTGGTTCCGGAAGAAAAGCGTATGCCCAACAGGATGTGGCTGCAGATGCATGTCAGAAACGGCTAGGTTATTCGACACTTAGCATGGTGCTGGACTCAGATATTTGCGACAGCAGCTGTAGGTCTGAAGTTAAATAACTGCTGATTACATCAGGGCGTTGTTCTAATGAAGTTTGAACTTAGATTTCTTGATAACATAGTCTAGATACGAAAAAAAGGCTTTTCGTCGCTTTTTTCTATTCAATGGTTTTGTTTTAAATGCTATTATGAAAGCTGAAATGCTTCCACGATTCTTGGAAAATAGGATCGTATGTGAATAAACGAGAATAAATTCCTTCATTTATAGCTGTTAGAATGGCACCTATTTAAATTAAATGATCCGAAGCGGATTCTTGTTAAATGGATAGTAAAGGCAGAATATTAAGATATTATTATACAGTTTCATGACTTCCTTTATGGAAATGAACAGTTATTGTTCAATGTGATAATGTTCCAAGACCATGTGATAAGTAGATTAACACTTATTGTACGAGTATTATTTATATTTTACGAGTAAGTGCGATGTAAATTTTTTGTAATATAATAAAGTAATGTAATAGATATGAGATATTCAAATGAGAATTGATTTCAATGTCGCATAGCGCCGAATGACGTAATTTTTCAGAGGTTTTCCTTGATATTTAATTCTGTGAAACAAAAAATGGCGTCAAGTAGGTTGACTCTGCACTTCCTACGCAACGTAAAGGATTAAGTTCAACACAAACTAGACCCTCTGATAAAAAAGTAAATCAAACAGGTCCATACATTTAGTCCATAGTCATTTTTCCCTGCCCTACCGGTAGTCCATCTGGCAACGTGTTGTATCTCCCCGAAACCTAACTCGCTAAGACTTGGCAGCAATACGTGTAATAGAACACATACCAACGCCGGCGACACGATATATACGCGATCCGTCTGCTGAGAATAGTTTTAAGGACTTATGTACGGTAAATCTGTGATGTGTGAAATGCAAAGGGTACTATAAAAGTTTTGCAATACAGCTTTATTTATTGACTTCGTTCAATGTAATTTCCACCACATTTAATACACGTCTTCATCCGCCAAAACCAGTCCTTAAACCAGATCTGCCAAGTTTCACCCGGGGGAGCGTCGCACTCGTTGTTCCAAGTCTTCAGAAGGTCCTGGTCGCTAGAAAACCGTTTTCCTTTTAGATTCATTTTCACATGCGGGCACAGTGCAAAGTCGCAGGGAGCAAGATCTGGACTGTAAGGAGGATGCTCAATAAGTTTCGGTCCAGCAGTGGTCAAATACTCGGTGCAGGTTTTGGTGCGGTGAGCTGGAGTGTTGTCATGGTGGAGGTACCAAGTACCAGCATCTTTCGGCAACAATTCGTACGACGAGTCTTCTGCTTCTGCTTCTTCCATCATACTATGCGGTACCCAGAGAGAACAAAGTTTCCTTACGTGTAGATGGTCATGCAGAACCGAATGAATTGCTGGGGCATGAAGGTGTAAGGTCCCCTCTGTCTGTTGGTATGTCACTCTCTGGTCTTCGTCGAGCATTTTCCTGACAGCAATAATGTTTTCCTCTGTTACTGTTACCTCTCAGCGTCCTCCAGAGTGGAATTACCCCTTTGGAATTATCTATACCACCTGCATATAGTCGTACGTAAGTTATACCGTAAAACTGCCCTTATCTCACTACGTGACCACGATGCCATAGTCCGCACTTTACACTGTCAATACGAATGAACAACTAAATTAACAGACGTGCTGCTGGCGGCTACTATGCACTCATGGACATGTCTCAACATGCAGTAACATGCAGCCTCCTGCGTCCGTTTGTTGAATATTGCAAAAATTTTATAGTACCCTTTGTATGTCCAAAAGGTGCATATAATTACACGTTGAGAGCGTATAAATATACTAACATTAAAAAATATACCCTCCCCACCCCCTACAACTCCCATCCCCAAATTTTATACCTTTAATATGCTCAAAAAAATTGATCAGAATCCCCTGAAGCATCAAAAAAAAGAAGTTTGAGCGATTTGAATCCTTTTTTTTTGTTCTTGGCCTTTTTCTCCGCTGCCACTGAAACGATATAGGTTTTTCATGATGTGCATGTCATATAACAACCAAAACACATAATATCGCATTTTCAAACATCAAAAAACAAGCAAAATACGATTCCTTATAAATGTCTCTGCACAAGCTACATCGGTACAACTGAAATTAAGGGCGAATATGGAATTTTTCATAGGAAATGCACATCCAAACTCAAAGTTTGAAGGCCTATAGCTTGCTGCTTCTGATAAGTTAAGTTTTTTTATTAAAACGAGCTTATATAATATTCTACTTAATAATAAATAATACACATTAATATCACATCAGCTCTCAAAATTCTGCTTTAGCGTCATTTGTCTTCATCTAAAACGTGTATATCAGGTTCTGAGGAAGTACTTATAACGGGATCAGGTGAGAAACTGGTAGGTCGATTATAAGAAGGATTAGCAAACGTAGTAGTGGCACCCCTGTACAACGGATTCTCGCTGTTGTGCCATTTCAGAGCTTTCTTCTCATTTTCAAATTTGGCGTACTCCCTACGATCGTGGATTGTGGTGAATACTTTCCAAACTATCAACATCACTATGCCTGCCAGTAGGATTGAAGTCACTACGCCGGCAATCCAAGCTGCAATCAGGTAAGTAAATGAAATAAATATACTAAATTAATGACGTAAAAAATGTCACACCCAGAATTATTTATTGAATTTTTATAAAAACTTGTAAACATATTTGCTATCATAGAAGTATACGCTGACAAAATGTTGAAGGCATTACGAGCCGTACACGATCTCCATACCTTTCCCCCATCGAATATGTAAGGGACATGATGGGTAGAAGGTTGCAAAATTTTAATCACTTTCCATATATCAATAAACCTAAAACTTGTAAAAGTGTTGCATTTTCTACAAGTGTTTAGTAAAAATGCTAATAAGGTAAAATAGGAAGACACTCAGTGGTTATTTGTCCACCTAAATTCCAAATCGTTCATTAGATTGATAACTGATAACTTACATTTCCGAATTATAAGACAAAAAGGAGGCCTTAGCTTATCAAGGCAATTAAGACGTCCTCAGAATAAGGAAGCCTAAATGAAGGAACGGCTCTAAACACCTTTTAACATCCAGTTTCGCATTAACGACTTAATTCCCCTTAGGTTTCAAACAGCCAGTTTCAGACAACATCAATGGGATAGAGTACATAGGTTTATCTAATTTCATAAAAATTGTATTTATCTGAACTTATAACTGAATGTACATACTCGCGGCAAAGCTATGTTTGATAATCCTGTTTATCAGTACGATTCAAATATTTGCGGGACAAAATGTTTCTTAAATCGCGGCCACCTGACAACTAGCTTTCTTTTATTATGTCTAAGTACCCATAAAAATTGAAATATCACTTGACGAGACATCATGGTGAGCTATTTGATGACTTCATAGCAGACATTAGATTTTTACCAAATAAAAATGTATAAAAAGTGAACTTACCTAATACATTTGGGGGCACTGGGCAAACCTTGTGGTCCAACGCCCTAACGATGAGCGTTCTTTCTTCATAATAGTAATCAAAGTTCATTATACATCTATTGCCGTCTAGTATCCTACATTTTTTGACATCTTTGTCAGGAATGTCGTCTAACTTTTTCGAAACTTCTGGATTGAAGTTTGTGCAGTTATTTGGAGGCGTTTCTGTTTTGTAAACTCCTTCGTTGTAAGCTTTATATTCTACACAGTGTCGCAACTCTTCACACCTGGAACAGAGAAATCAGTTGCGTTGAACGCATCGGATGTTTTAAACTAGTGTCACCACTACGCACTAAAGGCATATTCACAAAAAGTTGATTCTGTCAACTCAATTCATGCGTATTTGACGCGTTTTTTGTCTTTATTGATACGAGCTAGTGAAAGGTTTGTGCAAAATGAAGAGAATAAAGATTTCATAGGTTTTTGTGACTTAGGTTTTTCTACTGTTGTACCTGTACATGTTGCTCAAACGTCAGCGAACAGCGTTCATAGCGAGCAAACGTGGAATGAACTAATTGCACACTAAAAACTACTTAGTCTGCAATATGACATTTCGTCGGTTTTTTTTAGGTTTTTTACATGATACCCCTGCTGGTTAGTCTAGGGCTTTACTCCATTGTTAAAGGTTTAGCTAGGCGTATACAACATAGTTGCTTATGTATCTGGGGCGTTTATGGTATGGTATATAAAAGTGAAATTAGTCAATATTACTAGGTCAAGAAAAAATGTTGCATAACAGGATTGCAATGATGCTTTTTCTATATATGATTGAATGTACTACTATGAATACCTTTGAGCTGGACACGAGATGCAATCTTCACAGTATTTCCCTGAGTATCTGTTCTCGTCCATTTTACATTCGCACTGCCCGCAAACACAACTCCCGTGATTGGAGCAAATAGAGTCGCTACCAGGAGCAATACAATTTGTGGTACTTTCTTCACATTGGCATGCGTCTCCACTGTAACCTGCTTGGCATTCACATACTCCACAGTTACATTTACCTGCAAGTTATTGTTATTGCATCAGAACTCCAAAAATCGCGAGACACACTTTGAATTATGCGAATTGGAATGGAGGCGTGAGCACTCATTCCTACTTAATGCCATTTTTTCACATACTCTGCCATTATTCTTGTCTCTGACTGATGCCTATTTATACACATAGCATTGGTATAGCTATCCATTTTCGTTTATAGCCTAAGATTTCTAAATATATCCAAAGCTGGCCGACAAGTTCACTCTTAACTATCAGCGTGCCTATGTGCGCTGAAGAGTGTTAGGCTACTGAACTACTGAAAGGGTTTCAAAGAATTCGCAAATAACCATTGATTCTTTTCATGTTTCTTTGGTTCTAAAACATCCACTTCCAAAGCATCTGGCAAAGATAATTATTATGATTCTAAAAATTATCTATTTTGTCTCGAAAATCATCAAAATTATAATTAATCTGTCTGTCGTCCATAGAGTATATATCTACTGAATACGTAAATATGTAATTGAAAACATGTATTAGTGATGGCAGAAAATCACTTACCTCTTCCAGAACAAAGTAGTCCGTTTTCTTTTTTGCATGAGTAGTTATTACATTGACAATATTGACCATATATTTTTTCATCTCTGCTAGAACTGGAATCACATTCACATTTTCCACACTGGCATTTTCCGAAACCTAGAAAGTTGTAGAAATGAATCACCAGGTTATTTCTTCATATACCTAACAATTTTTGTTGATCTTCACATATTATAACTCTTACATAGTTTCTTCAACGATTATTAGTTAGATATACTTTATTATTGCACCCGTTCGTTATGTTCTTTATCCTTCAATAATTGAGCCCGTAATTTGATTTTAGAACGGCTACTTAGACATGAATCACAATAATGTCTTTTATTTTTCAAAATAAGACAGCTCAAAGTACCAGTTAAGGTTTTTTCCACTACAACATAGTTGCAATGGCTAAGCAGTTAAAGCACAATGAGTCACAGATACAAATGCAAATATCGGCCGGCAATTGTGCTAATTTAGAGGTGTTGGTGTTATTTTTTTTCGAAATAAGTCAGCGCAAAGTTCCATCTAAGGTTTTTTCCTAAACCATAGTTGCATTGGCTAAGCTGTTAAAGCAGAACGAGTCACACATACAAACGTAAGGCAGTCTCAGTATCTCAAAAATCGTACTAACTTAGAGAAGGTGTTAGTCTTATATGTTTTTTCCTAGATACTGGGAATGACTTTGTACTTACCCGAACATATTTCGTTCGATCCTTCCATTATACAATTCTTGATATCCTCCGACGTGCTTATAGAGCTATCGCATTGACAGTTCCTTCCAAATCTTCCCTCAGAACATGTGCAAACTCCGCACTTGAGATCACCCTGTCTACTACATTCTTTGGCATTCGGAACATACGATGGATGAGTCTTCGATGAACAGGGGCAGTCGCATAATACTTCAATTTCTACCATCAGGCCTTGGTGTAATGCCTCAGGCTTCAGGTAAACGAACGTTGATTTTTGCCCGTCTGGTAGACATTCCCTAGCTTGAATAGTGGCTGTGATATCAAGGACTTCTCCAATGTGGACGTTATTGCACCGACCGGGTATTGGACTTTTGCAGGTGGAGGAAAACTTTATGTCTATCTCACTCGTTGAATTTGAGGTGAACTTTACGCTTTGGACGATTTTCTGAAATTAATATGTACAAGATTCAAGATTGAATACACAAAAATAATTATGTTTCTGGTACTGATAAAGATTAACATACATTGAGCTTTAAGATGCTGTAAAAAATATAGTTTTGTTGAAATGTTTCAGTTCAGCACAAATATATGAATGATGCTGACTAACCTTATAATTATCCAGAATCAAATTGATTACACTATTCGCATCACGACTATTCAACTCCCCAAAATTGGAATTTTTAATATGTTTTGATAATGTAGCATACGACTCCTTCAATGATGCATACGGTTTCTTGACAATTGCGAAAATAATATTGATGTTATTTTCTTCTGCGACGTAATTCAGTTGAGATACGGACGGATAATCATATTTTAGGTATTCGCTGTCGTCTGTGTAACATTTTGCGATATTGGGTTCGATAACACCTGCCAGTTTTCCGTCACCTGCGATGTGAAATTCGGCATCTGGAATTATAAGTATAAATTTTATAAAAACGAAGAACTGCTGAATCGTTCGATTCGGCTCTTGCAGATACAGTCAAAATGGTTATGACCCAATGTCCAATATAAGTTCCAATAAGTGCTACTAACAAGCAGTCTCACCACCTCTGTTTTTTAGGCAGACAAGGAATGGGTCACTTTTTTATAGGTTTTCGACAAACCTTTAATCACTTGATATTTCATTATAAATAAAATTATAATACCTCAGGAACGTTTTTTTATGAAATTTTGAGGAAGCATTTGTATGTATTGAGAAATGCAACGAACTTTCAGTCATTTTTGTTCATAAAATAAGCTATTTTTCTTTCTTCGCTTCGAGTAACTCGAATACTGGAAAACAGCACTAATTAGTATAACTTACCTGTTGAAAATACAAGCAAGTGTCGCGCTTGCTTGCGCCATCTTATTGTTTCTTTGCAAACTATCGCTTGCATTATGGCATCAAAACCGCCTTCTGGAGAATCAAGATTTCCGGATACTTTTGCGGCTTTTACGTTACCAACAAATTCCTCATAATTGCTTGTCAGAGAAAGATGATTTTTGAAACTGTATGGACTCGCACACCCCGGGCATGGATTTTTCAATCTACGGATAATTGGATATTATACCTAATGGATTGTAATTTGGTTGAAGTAATCAAAAAATTCTGAAGATCGCTATCTAAATCGACTCGTGTAGGTATCCTAAGAGAAAAATGGCGTCAAGTAGGTTGACTCTGCACTTCCCACGCGACGCCTTTATCAGCTCAGATATTGCATCTGGAAACATTGTCTCTCCTCGATCAGGCCTGGCAGCGTACTCCGAGCATATATGAAACAAAACGCGGCAGAACTACCATACCACAACACCCCACTTCGCTGCCGTGGCCGGAAGGTACGCGATCCGTCTGTCGAGAATATACTAAGTGACATATAAATCCGAACACCCCTAAATGGTTTTATTTTATTAAAATTTTGTATAAGTACTTGATGAAGCATAATAAGTAAATGATAAAAATTTCAAAATGATTGCACTGCTTTAAAGCCCTTTGACCTTTAATAATGTGTGGATGCACCCTGATGTGCTACGCATTCTCCAACGCGCCTAGGCATGCTTCTGATCAGGTGGTCAATGTCCTCCTGTGGTATCTCATTCCAGGCAACCACCAACTCCTCTCGAAGTGCTTCTAGAGTCTGAGGAGGACGTTGCAAATTGAGCAATCTCCTACCCATCATATCCCACACGTGCTCAATTGGGGATAAGTCGGGAGATCTTGGTGGCCATGGTAACAATGTGACATCATTATGTTGAAAGAAGTCTATTGTGAATCTTGCAACATGTGGTCGGTCATTATCTTGTTGGAAAGTTGGATCTGCCAGGGTGTCAAGATTGGGTAAAAGATGGGGTTCTAGAACTTCGTGGATATAACGCTGCGCGTTCATGTTACCTCTGAATCCTCTGATGAAGATTAAAGGTGACCTGGAACCATAAGCTATAGCACCCCAAACCATAACTGAAAACAGTGTGATGAACATGTCTTTCAACAAAAAACTGTGGATTCCTCCTTTCACCACGTCGCCTTCCAACCCTGGCACGACCATCGTGCATGACTAAACAAAATCGAGACTCGTCACTAAAGACAATACTGTTCCATTCCTGATCCCAGAGTGACCGTTGTCTGCACCACTCAAGGCGATTACGTCGGTGTTCTCGAGTTAAAGGGAGGACCCAGTGTGGCCGGTATGAAAACAAGCCAAAACTTCTCATTCGTCGGTAAACACTTCGCATGCCAATAGGTCTTCCGTGTTCTGCAAACCATTCATTTGCAATGGACCTGGTAGTGGAGAAACGGTCCCTTAAGGCCAATAATCTTAGGCGGCGATCTTCACGGTCTGTTGTTCTATGGCGGCGTCCAGTGCCCCTTGCTCTTTGCGTACGGCCTTCTCGAAGCCATGCCTGACAACACCTAACCACAGTGTCTACACTTCTTTGCACTTTAACTGCAATTGCCCGAAAAGAAAGTCCAGCTTCCCGAAGTCCCACTATACGGCCCCTATCAAACTCACTAAGTTGACGAAATCGTACAGGTCTCCGTACTCTAGGCATCGTAACCGATCGTAAAGGATGTCAAGAACCAAAATCCGCCAACGTTGATTCTTTACTGCGGCTGAAATATTCATTTTTAGAGCGTTAGTGAATTAAAAAAAAAGCAGTATAAAAATCGGAATGTCCAACTGATAAGGCTGAAAATTTTTTCACTTGTTACTTACAGTAAGATAAATACATTCACCAACTTTTATTAAAATAAAACCATTTAAACTGGGTGTTCGGATTTATATGTCACTTAGTATATTTGTCAAAGTTTTATGGGCTAAAGTATAGAGACATCTATATGCTTCAAATATTTTCATTAGGTGCGTCAAAAAGTTTGAAGCGATTTTTACTTCTTGCGTTTTAGGCCTTTTCTCTGCCGCCAGTGGAGCGATTTTAGAAGCTTTTGCGTCCTTGGCATAGTGGTAACCTTGTTTAAAATTTTTATCGAAATCTGAGCGGTACTTCTCCAGTTATAGACGGGTATAAGATTATCGGTCAGGCATACGGAAATGAGTGACGTTTTTCGTGATGTACATGTCATATAACATCCAAAAAAATATAATATGTCATTTTCTAAAATACTGTCTCTTACTAAGTTATAAATTGCCGCTTAAGCACCTTAGCGTACGTACTTTTTCTCATTTGTGCTGACGAAAGGTAACTCCACTTTATCGATAAAGCTTCCGAATCCCAGCTTGAAGTTAGTAGTAATGTTGCGCATAGTTTCCGCCAGTTTACTTCCCAGTCTGGCCAAGTCATCCTTGTATTCCTTCATGGAATGAGACAGATCCATGATGTAATACAAATCCACAGGGTAATTTTCAGTACTTTTGTATTGAAATTTCAACTCGTACTTTTCACCCTTCCTCAAAGCCAGCTTAATCCTTTGAGGTTTCACTTGTAGAGGATTATCCGTGTCGTTGGAGAACGGTAAGTCTTGTAATATTCTCATTCCTGATTTTGGTGAAACTTTCGACGCATCTCTGCACCACTTTGTCGTGTCATTTTTCAAACGGCAGTGAGTCTGGGGTTTACTTCCATCTGGGTTTAACTGAAAAAATAAGTGTTATATCGTTGCAGTCACCGTTCTTGGCGGTTACGTCATCAACGCCATATGAAATAAGTAAACAGATCGAGTCTCCGTACACCATGGGCGCAGACTAATATACTCCAGTACGCATGAAGTGAGTAACGGGGGACCGCTGTTTTCATTCTCTTCCTGGAAATACTCATACGTAAAGAGGCTAGAGACGGAGACACACAACTAAAAAACGTATGTCTTTGAGCTTACCGAACAAACGTTCACACACAGGGGTAGGTTTTGGGTAGGTTGCATGTGTCACATATGAGGGAGATGGAGATATATAAAGGGATACTGGACTACAACAAAGGTATTGTATTTTTTGCTGACAACAGCTGTCAAGTTTTGCCGCGTGCAAACTCGAAAAAGCTGTTGACAGGTGCTGCCTTACAAATGTTCCATCTAGAAACCATTTGTAATTTAAATTTGCGCATTTGTGATTGGTAGAAATTAAGACGAGGTAAATAGTCATCTATAAAGAAACTTAAGTTTTCAACTAATTATATCTGAATAGCACGACCGTTTAAAGTTGTGCTCAAATTATTTTCATACATCCATCTGCCTCACACATAAATATGCGCGAATGTTTGTTTTCGCGAGCTCAGAGACATATATAGGTTTTTTAATTTTGTCTCACCGCTATGAACATTTTCTTGTCAATGTATGAGTCTTCCACATTTATGCTTGTCACTGTCAATAAGACAACTTGCTTGTCATAAGTGGCCAATTTGTTTAACTTTGTTGATCTTCGATAAAAAACGTAGGAACGTCTGAAGTTACAATTATAATGGATACAACGTAGACAGTCTGTACTAAATTTACACAAAATGACGCCTAACTCATTAGGTCCACAGTCACTCTTGCCTTGAAACATTTTAAAAAATCCTGGGCTTAATGGCGTAACTACGTTTAAAATTTGAACAAAAAAATATCCCGATTGATAAAATTATGTTGGTTTGTGCAGAGTTTATGAAGAATTAATTTTACGATAAGCTGAAAGTATTTGTTGACTTCGGCCTTCGATAACTTGTCGCTTATTTTATCGCACACATGATTTATATATAAAAAAATTAAGATGATTTCACGCAAAACAATATGCACATATTATATTTTGCATCTATGATGAATGAATAAAGTATTTGCAAAAAATAGTAAATCTGAATTTTGCGTAATTTGTGGATTGTCACTATTAGCAGTTTTTAAAAATAGACTGACATTCGTAGTTGCCTACTTCCTGTGTATAATATTTGTAAGATAAGAAAATGAAAATGAAAAACCCAGCGCGTTTTTTACCTTGATGCTACATACAAACTCACAGAAGCATGTATTTGCTTAAAATCATTCTCAAAAAGAGGAAGTTGAATGAAATGTGTTATAAGTACTGATATGAGTTATAGGGTATTTCCAATTTATATTCCAAGCAGTACTATCAGTGTGTTACTAAGAGTGTGAGTGTAATAATGTAATACAATAAAAATTGTGACTCAAAACTAATACCAGTAAAAACAATAAATACAGTCAACGTATTTTATACAGTTGGTACATGCAATGTGTACGCTACAATGATTAACATTTAAAAACGCGCAAAGCAAATCCATGCTTTTTAAATTATAATTAAAATGATATTTGGGTATGCCAAAGAATGATCGGGAACTTGAATATAATACATAGTACTTAGGAAATGTCTTTGTAGGTTGTAACTAGATTCAAGAAAAATGACAAAAATGAGATTTTGCTACTTTAAAAAATTATTTTAGTATCTACAAATAATATTCAATCCATAAAGTTGAAGAATACTTAAAAGTGTGACACGGCAAATTTTTAGTTCAAACTTCCTGCTATGCTAGAAAGATACCATAACAGGAGAATCAAATAGACAGCTTAAACTCTTTTCTAGTATCGTTCGATTCGTCCAAAAATGAACGGGCGTCATTGATTAACATATTCCACCGGAAGATCCCAATTCAGTTGAAAGTTGTGCCTATGCGGGCAATAACTGATGCTTACTATTTGTATTCGTGTCGACCACCGACTTTAGGCGCCGGCGCTGCATCTCTTGCACTGTTGCCGCACGTTATGAATTATCTTTTCTATCGTTGAGCAATTCCGAGAATACGGAATCTTAGGGATAAACATGGAGAGGTGGAGGGGTGAACAATCGAAGAGAGTTGCAGCGTTCTTGATTGGCAACATGGCTGTGATGATGGAAATTGTAGGTGAACGTCTGAATACAGCATAGGGTTGCAATATTTTTGACGAATACTTTAATCAATACAGCTATTTAGAAAATCTGTGGCCGACAGCCCGATGTAAATGACATCCAGAAAATTAAAGAAATCACTTAATTTGCAGACCCCGTACAAATTGAACGACTCATATTTTCTTTAGGGAATGAATGACGGCGCTAGTGAATTTTAAATATGGCAAATATATGCAGTTAAATTTTGAAGTTAGTAAGCTTACAGTCCTAGACGCCCAACTTACCGGATATAAAGGTTCCATACACCAGGCACAATCCACCTCTTGTATGCATTCTTCGCAATTACCCTTTGATTCGCAACCAGTCGAAAACACCGTATTCACCGAATAAGCGCAGAAAAATATAAAAATTAACGTGAACATTTCAACGGATGGAAATGAATGTATATATATTCAGACTGAGCAAGGGCGGAAATACAAGATAAACATATAAAATTATCACCAGTACGCGCGCCGCATATGTATGACTCACTTCAACTACGAGAACGTCAATTTTTCTTTAAAAAAATACGATTTGATGTCAGCGCGTAGATCAATATGTGTATATAGCGATAATAATTATTTCTTGTGATTCATGTGTGAGTTGTCTGCGTAATGAATGCATTCTTTAATTGGTATACAATAACAGGACACCAAGGCAGTTGAGCTGTTTAATATTCTTTAGCGCTCCTTGTATTTCCAAATTGTTCATGTACAAGGTGGCACCGCAAACCGCAAAATATCTTCTCTGGGGGTCTTCATTTGCTTTTTCATTACTTAGGCGTCAGATAAGATTATGGAAGTTTTGGAAAAACTTCACTCGAAAAAGGAGAAATAGTCGACGTTAAACATGTTGCCTGTGAGAGGTCCTTTAACGATTTTTAGAGCCCATGTATGCCACTACATGGCCACGTCCAGGCCAAGGGCGGATCTAACCTTTGTGTCAGGGGAAGGTCATTGTGGATGCATGCTCAGGAAGATATTCATCTAGGAGTGGGGGATTAATCATACCCGTGTACAAATTTTTAAAAAAGCAAAAATGTATATTTGGATTGCCTATCGAATGACACGCATATCTTTGAGTTTCGCATTGCTAAAAATCTTAAGCGACGATATGTAAAAATTATTTTAGAAAAAACTAGTTCCGGCGACGTTTCCTTCAGGGGCATGTTTCTCCTAAATCAAGAGCAATTTCGCAAATCGATAGGATCAAATACAATAGTTTCAGGATAGTCCCAGGATTCACCTATTGAATACTTACCCCATGTTTGCGAAACGCCTTGTATATGACTTAGAAAATATCATCACACTGTTACAATTAAAAAGTGTCCAAAATATGAATTATATACAGGGTGTAAACGTTATGGTAGTCATTTTTGAAATGAGTAATAAGGGGTAGGGGGTCAAAACAAGTCAAAAAGTTCATATGATAAGTCAATAGATTTTTGTCTAAATGGCTTTATACCTTACAACTCTAAGTGCTTCATATCGACTACAATCACCACAAACTTACTAATTTTTATAATCTAATCTAAAACGTTTTTAAATTGGGTAATTAACAAATAAATGGCATTAAGTTTTTCTAAGTTAAGCCAAAATTTGTAGTCAGTAAGTAAGTAAGTTTCATTAAATTGAATATTTAAAACACACATGACAACAGCGCGTCGGTCATCATCACTCTTATCGAACCGGTAATCGATCGCAAACGGTAACAGTGGTTAGTATGTTGTTTTGTTTTTGTTCGCGTACGGCGTCGTATTGATTTACAATGTTCTCGAATCAAGAGTTCGCTGACATGTTGTTAGTTTACGGTGAAGCTCGTCAGAATTCAAATCTTGCAGCACAAATTTATCGCGACAGATTTCGCCAACGGGTACACCCAGACAGAAGGACATTTGTGCAAGTGTACCAAAGACTTCGAGATACAGGAAGTGATCAGCCCACTAATATTCGCACTCGTGAAAGACAGGTTATTGTAGAGTAGGAGGAAAAAATTTTAAATATCGTGGAAATCAATGCAGATATCAGCATTCGGGAATTAGGCCGCCGCGTAGGACTATCGCATACCATAGTCCATAGAATCCTACGGGAAAATTTGCTTTATCCCTACGATGTACACCGAGTGCAGGCCTTGTTACCAGAAGACTATCCTCGCAGACTAACATTCTGTCAGTGGTTTTTGCACAAAAACATTGAAAATCCGGATTTTTTTAAAACCATTCTAGCGACGGACGAATGTACTTTTACGCGAGACGGGATATTAAATTTCCATAATACTCACACGTGGGTCCAAGAAAATCCTCATACCATTCGTGAAGGTCATTTCCAAAAACGTTTTAAAATAAATATTTGGGCGGGTATTATTGACGATCAGGTAATTGGCCCTTTCGAGTTACCCCCAAAGTTGTCAGGAGAAGGATACCTTAGCTTTCTAGCCAATAACCTACCAGAACTTTTGGAGCAGACCTTAGACAACATGCCATTACAACGGAGACAGAATCTGTGGTTTCTTCATGACGTGGCACCACTACACATTTTTAGAGGGGTCATTCAGTATTTGAATGAACATTATCCAAATCGCTGGATTGGTCGAAATGCTCCTAATCCTCGAAAATGGCCAGCAAGATCTCCTGACCTCAATCCGATGGATTTCTAATATTGGGGAGAACTTAAAGGGATGTTTTATGGGGCTGGTCCAATAACTTAATCATAACTTCGTGAAAAAATTTTTAATGCGGCTGAAATAGCCCCACGGTACCCAATGGGTGTTTAGGCCTTAGGTCTTCGTGGTAGTTGCAGTATAATAATAAATGGACAACTTCGAAGACCTAGAGTAAGAAGAAACTGGGTTCGTCGTAATGAAGCTTGTGTGGAAAGTGGAGGACGACATTTTGAACACCTTCTTTAAATACAAAAAAAGTGCAGTGTGGGTTTTAAAAAGACAAACAATGTATGTATATTTATAAGTGGATTTTTTTAGTACGTTCGATAAACTTTCACACACCAGGTGAAGTGCTGAGACAGTTAGTGGTAAGTGTGTTTTTTTTAATTGTTTGCATTTTACGAGTACATTATTAAATAATGCAATAATACCTAAGAGCCAAAAATAACTCCATCTTTATTTACACTGCGTTCCGTCGTTATTTGCGTCTGGCATTGCGGCGTTGTCAGATTTTATTTTACTTTAACGTCCCTTTTCTCTAAAAAATGCTGTTTTGACCCTGATGTTATATGAAAATTTTTGCTTCTTTTAACCCCTTCTATCACCCATTTAAATAATGACTATCATAACGTTTACACCCTGTATATGTTTATGAGATGACAGATGAAGAAAGCGAGATTTGAACATTCTTACGGTTAGATAACTATTGATGCTTACTTCTTACCCTTCAATCAAATGAAACCGCTTTTACCTGATTTTCTGCGTCAAAAAGTATGTTTATCCAATTTGTTCAGAGCGTTAAAAGCGCGCGCGAAAAGGTTTTTGCTTTCATTCCTGTCCAAATGTTCAATAAACTACCATAATCACACAACACATGAGGCTCAATTTCCAAATTGCCGAAAAACGCTGAATCGCTATTTTATTTATATTTGCGTCAAGATGAACGTATATGCAACCAGAATTACGCAATTCTCGTATTCCACGTCATCGATGCGCTTACAAATTGATCAGGATTGTGGTGACTTTTTACCCGTTTGTATCCATCACGTATTTGCAAAAAGTCTGTATTTTATTAGATTTTCCAAAGAGATTCGAAAGTCATAAATTAATATTATTTGTCGAACTAGATTCGGTCGTGACAGGATGACCCCCTGAATAAACGCTCCGCCCATGCTGTTCAGTTGAGGCCAATCTTCGCATTGCTCTTTTGCGCTCACCATTGTTTGTGGTCACCTCACTATCACTAGCATTGTATTTGAAAAAAATTACCTACGACCCTGTCGCCGTCGGATATGTAAATCTCTGCCAACCTGCTTTTTGTGGATGCATTTCTACGTGAAGTCGCAAATATGCCTACTAATATTGGATGTGCATGTTTGTTTTTACTGAAATTTGGAGATATATTGTAGAAACCGCCCTCAAAGTTAACAAACCAGGCCATCGCTCAAATTCAGGTTGCAACTCACATTCCATTCACTTTCCGCTGAAGAGGAGCATGACCGCGTGGCGGCGTCTATCAGTAAGGTCTTAAGATGATAGGAATGCGTCTGAAAAATCAATTTAACTTTCAGAGAGTCGCGCTGCTGTGTATTAGATATTACGCAGCGCAGTCATCCAAATTCGGCACCTCAAATTCGAACCATAGTGCGAAGCACAAAACATAATACACGGTGCAAAACTTTCAGAAATAAATGGTGCGGGCGTTGTGGTGGGCTATGCATGGAAGCTGCAAGGCCACCCACGAGTGACGCAGTTTTTTTACGCCACTGGCTATTCGCAATATTTAAGATGAATCATACCATCTCTAAAATATAGCAATCACGAATATTCAAGTTTAAGGTCAGCCCACCACTATTGCTTAATGTCAAGTTCACCCTAACCTTACTTTTGTTTTGTTTTTGTGATTTTCCAGACTTTTTAGCAATTTAATATAATAAAGCACTGGTTGAGGTGTGTGATCGTGTTAAATTCAAATACAAAAAAATGAACCTTCTACCAAAAAGTAAAGAAGATTTCAGCCAGAAAGAGTATTGGGATACATTTTTCAAGAAGAGAGGAGCAAAGGCATTTGAATGGTAATTTGAGTTATAGATCAGTAATTAAAGCTTTGAAGTTAAGTGTGTGAATATTTCAGGTATGGAGAATATCTAGAGCTTGCAGACAATCTACATAAATATATAAAAAAACAAGACAATGTCCTCATTACTGGATGTGGTAATTCAACACTTGGTCGTGATTTGTATAATATTGGCTATGAGTAAGTGAATTCTTGCCAGGTGATTCTGGAATGAAATAACTATGAGGTGCACGCCAGTGAGAAAAGTAACAACTAAAGCAAAACTGCTATGCTGGGTTTCCTCAGGCAGAGTTTTTTTTATCCCTTATTCTTTCATCTTGGCAAGAAGATCATACATTCATGCACAAATATATTATCTGAATATGTTATGTGCGTTGAAAAATGCTACTTCTCTTTGCCTCAGTTTCATTGTGCCATTTCTTCAAAGTGAGCATGTTGCTTTAAGAGGAATTTTATAACATTTAGAAATTTTGAAGATACCACAATACCCCAGTTTTAAGAATGATTATTACAGGTTGAACAGGAAACACTTACTATTCAAAATATTGCTATTTTTTAACAGTATTATTTACTTCTTACTAAATCTTGTGAAGTGTGATATACTGGGTGTCCCAATAATCCATGGTACTCAACTTTGCAGAAACCAAGTACTAACAACATATCAGTCAGTTCATCAAAAGAATATTCCACATTCACCAGAAAAACAATTAACAACAACTTACCCAAAAATAATCTCAAACGTTAATTAATTTAAAATTTATGAAGAACAAACAACAAATTAGCAATCAAAAATAAACTCAAACACACTTAATATACATGCATACATAATTTAAACTTTATTAAGCTTGTTGACAAAAATAATCTGACACTGAAATAACACCTCACAATTCCACCAGATGCTGACTAGATTTAAACCACTTAAAAATGTGCTCCGAAATACATGTTTTTTTCTTGGAAACCATGTGAGATGGCCTGTTTTTATATGAGGCACAGATTAAAGTAAATTAAAGGATCTTTTAAATAAAAAGATCAGAACTGAGTTGTGTTTTTTGTTTGTTCACAAACCCTTTCTGGTGTTTACAAAAGTCAAATATTAAGATGTCCAACAAAACACATATGTTCCAAATTTCCTTCAAATCCGACTATCAGTTCCAAAAATATATGAAAAAAGGTGTTTTAAAAAGAATGCCTTAACACACTCTAACAGACAAACAAAGCACTTTTGCGTAGTGGTAAATCATGTCCAATCGACTTTTTTGAGTCTAAACATATGTGGTACTTCTGTGTCCACAGAATATTAGGACACCCTGTACATCACACCTCACAAGATTTAGTAAGAAGTAAATAATACTGCCTGTTAAAAAATCCTTCATACAGTGATAAACAGCAATATTTTGGATAGTAAGTGTTTGTCGTTCATCCAGCACCACTGGGGCATTGAGGTATTTCCATATTTTTTCTGTTACAAAATTCTTATTAAAGCAACACACTCACTGTAAAGAAATGGAACAATGAAACTGTGGTGAAGATAAGCAACATTTTTTAAGACACGTTGAGGCCATTTGGCGCGACATAAATCGATCACTAGAGAAGATAAATGTAATCTGCTACTATCAGTGAATTACAGATGTGAGTTAAGAAAATAGATAATATATTTGTGCATGAATGTACGTACTTCTTGCCAAGATGAAAGGATAAGGGATAAATAAGATTGTCCACAGAATATTGGGTCATCCTGTATAGAGTATTATAAGAAGTACTCCTATAATTTTCCGCTTCCTAGTATGTCCTTCTCCTTACAGGTCTACTGTATTCACACTTCTAAAACTCTTGACAGCCACACTATCGGATATTATGATTAATCAATATTTACAATAATATAAATATTTGTGAATGTTGCTGCTATTAGAAATGTTTTACATTACAGAAACATAACTAACATAGATATATCTCCAGTAGTCATAAGGCAGATGTTATCAAATGATAGCAAAGACAGACCAAACTTGAAGTACATCCAGATGGATGCTTTGAACATGTCCTTTGAAAGTCAACAATTCAGTGTTGTGTTAGATAAAGGTACATTAGATGCTCTTATGCCTGATGATAAAGAAGAAACAGTAGCTAAGATCAAGCAATATTTTGATGAAGTAACTAGAGTTCTTAAAAATGGGGGTAGGTACATATGTGTATCTTTGCTGCAAGAGCATATATTGAGATACATGTTACAATATTTTCCATCAAACAACTACATGTTCAGAGCTGTGAGGTGCTTTGAAGCTGAAAAGAAGGCCATTGAAAATGGTGAAAGCTGTATGCCAGTGTTTATGGTTATATGCACAAAATTCTCTGCACTGCCTAGAAAGGTAAGTAATAAGCACTTCTAATTCATAGATCTGAATTTATAGATAAATATCTTTAAAATGAAGTGAAACATATTTTATTTTGTATATAATTTTTTGCAAAAAGTTACGAATTATCTTCATCTAAATGCCCACCTCTGGAAGCTGCACAAAGCTGAGCCCTCCTAATTACATTTTCAGTCACATTTTGGTAAGTCTCGGAAAAAATATTTGAATGGCTTCCTAAATATTGCTCTTCAGCTGTTCTATGGTGCTTGGTTTGATGGTTTCTCTGGGGTCATGAGGGCCATTCAACAGATTCTAATGGGAAGATCAAATGCCCCAAAAATATTCATCATTTCTGCGCCTTTCAGATGCGTAACTTCATCTTGCTATAACCACATTTACCATGCAATTTAAGTTGGACTGAGAGGTGCCTAAAATTTGAAAATTTCAAGGCGGCAACTGACTGAAGCCGTGCGCTGAAATGTTAATGTAACACAAAAATTCGCTACTGAATCGCTAAAGCGAGCGTCGAACAGAGCCGGTCACGTAGAGCAAACTGTCGTTTTTTTTTTGACGAATCCCTTTGATGGACACATTACAAGTCAGTACAGATGGCGACTAGTTTGTGGGTGAGCAAAATCTCTGCAGAAGCCGAGCATTCCAAGCGAACATTCGCTGGACTCAAATCACGAACTTTGTAATGGAACGCTCGATCTGAGCATTACATTATAGCGCCAGTCAGTCGCCGCCTTTAGGGATCTCCTAAAATTCAACTATTTAACCTGCGAGCAATGTGTTTCCAACAGGAATGATTAACCTGTCACCGAAACGATCAAAATCTTTCAAAGGTTTTTAGGGCTTCTTATCTTCCCACTAGACAATGTCGTATATGGTCCCCGAGATCACCAGATTTAACATCCGTTGATTTTTATCGGATATCTCTAAAAAACAAATCAAGCAATTTGGAACTGATGCTTCAGGAGGTTTAAAAAATAAGCCTTCCAAAACCTGTCAAAAAAGGATTGAAAATATAATCCAGAGCCAGTCAACTTCCAGGGTTAGGAATTTATATACGTAGCATTTTTCATGCATAACTTATAAAAAATCCAATGAAAAATTGGATCTGTTTCTTTTTATTTTAAAGATAGTGGAGTAACAAATCAGTCGGTTGAAATTTGTTGCATATATTAAGTTTTGCATATGGAAATAAAACAACACGGTAGGTAGTTTTAAATGACTTTATTGTTTTTCGAAGTATTGTCCACGAAGATTAATACACATCTGCATGCGCTCGAACCAATTTTCGAAGCACTTATTCCACTCGTTTGCTGGCAGGTCCAAAACGGCATTTTTGAATGCGTCAACTGCTTCTTCTGGTGACTGGAACCTTTGACCACGCAGTCTGTTTTTAATTTTCGGGAAAGTAAAGAAATCGGGACTATATGGAGGATGGTTCAATAATTCCACGTTTTCTTCCATTAATTACTGCCTTGTTTTTTGGGCTGTGTGCGAGCTTGCATTGTCTTGGTGGAGGATGATTCTTCTTTCGGGGTTGATTTTTCGAAACTCGGTGATGACTTTTGGCAAACAAATGGTGATATACCAATCCGCAGTAACAGTTCTTTGCTCATTAAGAGGAATTGTTGCAATATGACCCGCTTTTGACACAAATGTCGCGACCATCTTTTGAGAACGGATGACTTTTATTGGCTTTTCTTCACCTTGGAACACCCAAACAGCCGACTGTCGTTTATTTTCTGGTTCATAACAGTAAATCCACGATTCATCACCACTAACAATGCTGTATACATTTTTTGAGTTTCCGGAATTGAAAAAGTCAAGCGTTTTTTGACACCAATTAACCCTGGCTGCTTTCTGCTCTTCAGTCAACAGGTGGGGTATCCAACGAGAAACTAATTTTCTTACTCCTAATTCTTCATGTAAATTTTTTTGAATTGAGGTCTTTGAGATTCTCAAGGACGCCTCAATCTAGCGATATGTCACATGTCTATCTTCAATGATGAGTTTGCGCACAGCATCGACGTTTTCCTGGGTGACTGCCGTTTTTGCTGCACCCACTCTGGGATCGTGGCTAAGACTCACCCGTCCACGTTTGAATTCTCCATACCAACGGGAAATTGTCGACTGACGTTGCCGAAAACAGACAGTAACTCAGCAAGGCATTCTTGTTGTAATAAATTATGGCGCGAAAATGTTCTCGGTTCAGCTCCATTTTTCTAATGACTTGGTGACACTTCACTGTAGTGAGAACACTGCACGTATTGTTGTGAAACTTTGAATTTAAGTTTGCTAAAGAGTGAGGTTAAGATTCAGTACTGACGTTCGATCCGCGCGGCCTATGTTTCTATATGCAAAACTTAAAAGCCATCCCTCGTAATTTACTCAATTTTAAGATGAACATGGTTACATTTTGATGAAGACAAAATTATTGGCATAACATTATAAGTTGTACACTTTAGGTGCTAGAGTTGAATTTAGGATCACTAGATAAAATGCAGAGATATGAGAAAGAGGAAGAAATTATTTTGAGCATAGCCAATGTTCAAAACGCATCTTTTGTATGCTCAGGATTGAAACGATCGAATATTGGGGAAGAAAATGAAGTAGTTTTAGATCTTTATGAACCTGGCAGTAGGAATCCCAGGTTCACAGTTTATGTTGTAGATATACCACCACAACATAACTATTTACAATATGCAGGGTTCATAGTTCCCGAGGGCAGGTAAATACAATCATTTCAAAATATCATTCAAAAATATCTTATACATTTATTCCCATTTTAGGGAGGCAGAATGGTTATTCTCGACAAAAGCTGGAAGGAAGAATTTGGTACGCGTAACCAAACATAATCGTCTCGCCATTATAACATTACACAGAGGACAAAAATATGAATCACTGGATGCAGTGCAAAAAGAACTTTCAGATACAATTTGTAATTTGGCTCCGTCTTCACTGAATGTAAAAAAGGTAATTGAAAAGTTTCAACCATCAAATTGTGGACTAACATATTTAAATTGCTTGACGTAATCTGTATCCCTTCAAACACAAATAACGATACAGGTCGACACCAACTTTTTAAGTGGTGATAATATAACTTATTTGGGGCTTATTCAGCCACATACTCCTTAGTACAAAGTTGAATCGTTATTGAGATACGCGCAATTTTGTGAAATCCTAGAAAAAAAATCATGTGAGAAACCATTGCTACTCGTAGATCTATGATGAAGAGCAACTTCTTTGCTCTCTTAATTACATCATGTATCTTAATGTATGGTCTCAATATACAAATGGTTTCATAGTTACAGAAATATCGCGTACTCGTTATAAAAAATAACCTTTGAATGGTTCGATTTCCCAGTGCATTGTGGCTTTTCAAACGAATTTATCGGAAATTTTGGCAACAGTGTAATTTAAAATCGATGAAAAAACTTCCCCCACTTCTGTTTTTTATGATATCATGCAAAGAGATACAACCATGATAACCCAAAATATTAGATCAAGCAGAATGCCATCCAAATTACAAAAAAACACGAAATATATTTTGTTGAAACAAAGTACTTGACAGTGACACAATTATTAATTCATTCAATAACAGGTTATTGCTATATTGTTATTTCTTGCTCATCTTCTTGTCCTTGTTTTCTATTCCTGTAGGAGTAGTTTACAAATAGTGATTTGGTTTCAGATTACTGTGTAGTTTTTCTGAAGCAAACGACACAACCCAGAAGTACAAAATCATGATACACCATGTATTTCATTTTAATAAAGCACTTGAAAGTATTGCATAAGAAATCATAATTTGCATTTTTGTTATTGAATTAATGAAAAAATGTGTCAATTTCAAGAGCCTTGTTTCACGAAAAAAGGTTTTTTTTGTATGACATTCTGGTCTAATATTTTGGGTCATTTAGGAAATCATTTGGTTATATCGCTTTCTATGTCATACCATAAGAAAGACCACAAGAGACAGGAAGCACTGGAAAGTCTACCCATTCAGTAAACCAAAAACTTTATTTTTTATAACATATACGCGATATTTCGATAACCTGGAAACTGTTTGTATAGGGAGACTTTACATTAAGATAAATGATAAAATAAAAAAAGGAAGGAGTTGCACGTCGTTATCGAACAAGCGATGGCTTATCGCACAAAACTCAAAAATGGTTTGACTTTTTACAAGTGGGCTGTATCGTCACCACTTAAAAGGATGGCATTGACGTTCCGAACACCATATATTCTTCTTTTCTTACAAAGTTGTTTGGAAATGGCCAGTTTAAAAGGGTAAACAATTCTAAACTAAATAATTTTGTCAAAGTAATAATTTTTCAAAAATTATTTTATACCATATCATGGCATCCAATATTGACTCTTGCTTTTCTGTGCCTAAATTATTATTAAATAATAATAAATCTTTTACGATTTTTATTTGAACTAGTGCTCCTCAGATTGTGCAAATATTGACATGTATCTAATCTAATTTCAGATTCCATTCCTTTCTCTAGGCTCTGATGTAGGGCACCGTACTATCAGATATGAAGGGAACTCACAATTTTCTGGAGACTATGTTATCGAAGATGTGATCACAGAAAGTGGTGACAAGTATCGACGATTATTTTATACCAGCTCGCAACTCGTTATCCAGTCAGAGGGAAAATTGAGGCAGATCAAATCTAGAAAAGGAGCGCCTAAAGAAGTTGTAGATCTGCTTTACTTGACTTGCAGGTAAATATGTTCGGTAAAAGATATTATTTTGCTGATATCACCATTTTCTTGTGCTGATTCCACTGTCATTCTTAAAAATCGTACATGAAATCTATCTACCCGTGCAAAAAAACAATGTTTCAGAATCAAAACATCTTTGCCTATTGGCGTAAAAAGTAATTTCACGAATTGTTGAACAGTGAATGAGGTTTAAATGTTGTATTAAAAGTAATTTGAAACGTGGAAAGCTTTAGGTTTGTTTAACGATTGTTTAGTATTTTTCATCACTTCCGAGGATTCAAGTTGATGGATTAAACTCCAACTCAAATATTCGAAGACTTGCGTTTCGAGCAATTATACTCGTATTTATGTCAATGATGAAAACCGCTTGCTTTTTACAGACATCATGTTTACATGAGCTTGGCGACCTATGTGGCATGCAGGGAAAAACGAAAAATAAACATTTCTGTGATTGGTCTAGGAGGTGGTGGGCTTTGCTCTTTCTTGCACAAATTTATTCCCAAATCTAATATCCTAGGGGTTGATATAGACCCTGAAATGTTAAAAATTGCTACGGAATGGTTTGGCTTCCAACAAAACGATAGATTGCAAGCAAAAATTCAAGATGGGTTAGAGTATATAAAGGAAGCTGCACAAAATGGTAAGTTTTCTTTCACCCATTTATTTTACAGGGTTTGTCCGGAAAGTAATAGGACTCATTTTCTTCCGCCATGACTGTACTTCGGAGCGTGTCCGCACCGACTGGATTCGGTAGAGGGCGTTCCTAGCTAACAAGTTTTTTTAAATCGACTCGGTCCTTTTACTTTCCGGACATACCCTGTATGTCATTGATCCTGCGCAGAAATATTTCCCTTAATATCCAGCCATTTTATCTACAGTCTATTTTTTCAGGTGGAGAACTAAATGCCATACTATTTGACGTAGATAGCAAAGACTCCTCTGTTGGGATGAGTTGCCCACCTAGACAATTTTTAGAAAAAGCTGTCTTAATAAATGTTGCTGCGCTAATTGGGGATTCAGGTAAAATGGCATAACTTCACCAAAAAACACAGTTGGCTATACCTAAATTTTATTTCCAGCACGCTATATAACGGGTTTTCCAATAGGGACTTGACAAATTTGACCTTTCACTGTGAACGCTCCTTTAAATCAATCACCGAACTGTCAATGTCAAAACATTCAGTAAATAAAAAATTTTCATCATGGTGAAGTACACGAACGAACAACGCTTACAAATAATTAAAATTTACTACCGAAATTCCGAGTCGGTGACTGCAACTTCAAAAGCGTTAACGCCAATTTTAGTAAATAATTTGAATCCACATATTCGCTGCTGGATGTTCCCGTGCCAGTGAGACATCGTTGGTGACAATGGGCCGTTTTTTTAGTCGATAAAAATGACAGTCACGTTACAGTCAACGGAGATCGCTACAGCGACATGTTGCAACGTTATTTTTTTCGTCAATTGGATGCGCTAGACATTAATGATATGTGGTTCCAACAATACGGTGCTACAAGCCACACAGCGGGTGAAACAATGGACATATTAAAATCAAACTTCGGTGAACGTGTCATAACGAGAAGTGCTCCTGTCGAATGGCCGCCTAGATCGTGTGATTTAGCACCTCTACACTTCTTTTTGTGGGGCAACATTAGATCATTGGTCTATTCCAACAAGCTGGCGTCGTTAGAGGAACTCAGAGCCAATATTGAACGAGAGATAGCGGCTGTTTCTATCGAAATGTATGGCCGAGTGCCCGTGGTGCACATATGAACGAGGTCAAATTCCATACATAAATGTTTTGAGTATACTTCAATCCAATAATAAAATTTTCTATATATCTCAAATGGTTTCCGTTTTATTTAAAAAGAAAGTCGTCAAGTCCTTAATGGAAAACCCTTTATTAGGTGTAAATGTGAAATAATTTATTTTTAGGACTATTTATATTGAACCTAGTCTTGAGAGACCACACCTTAAGGCCATCAGTTCTGAAAAACCTGAAAGATCATTTTGAGACAATTTTGACATGTAAGCTGGACGTGGATCTCAATGAAATTGTTATTTGTTCGAATAATAAAATATACATGGATCATCTCAAAGATGCATGTGTTTCGTTGAACAGCTTTTTCAAAAAGCATAATGTTACCGACAATATTGTTGATGTAGATAAGTTTATGCAATCATTAATAATGCAGTCGTTAACAATAAATAATTAAGAAAATATCCTGTTTTTTTTAAGACAATCGTTTGTACCTAGTTTCGGGCGGTGTGCTCAAAGTTGGGACTTTTCTAGCAACATACATACAGGGTGTAAACGATATGATAGTCATTATTTAAATGGGTGATAGAGGGAGTTAAAAGAAGCAAAACGGCATTTTTTTAAAGAAAAGCGACTTTAAGGTAAAATAAAATCTGACAACGCCGCGATGCCAGACGCAAATTACGACGGAACGCAGTGTAAATAAAGATGGAGTTTGTTATTTTTGGCTCTTAGGTATTATTTCATTATTTGATAATGTACTCGTAAAATGCAAACAATTAAAAAAACGGACTTACCACTAACTGTCTCAGCGCCTCACCTGATGTGTGAAAATTTATTGAACGTATTAAAAAAATCCACTTATACATAAGGAACACAATTTTTATACAAACATTGATTGTGTTTTTAAAACCCACACTGCACTTTTTTGTATTTAAAGAAGGTGTTCAAAATGTCCTCTTCCACTTTCCACACAAGCTTCATTACGACGAACCCAGTTTCTTCTTTCTCTTGGTCCTCGAAGTTGTCCATTTATTATTTCAGCCGCATTAAATTTTTTTCGCGAAGTTGTTGTTCAGTTGTTATTGGACCAGCCCCATAAACGATCCCTTTAAGTTCTCCCCAATACCAGAAATCCATCGGATTGAGGTCAGAAGATCTTGCCAGCCGTTTTCGAGGATCAGGAGCATTTCGACCGATCCAGCGATTTGGATAATGTTTATTCAAATACTGAATGACGCCTCTAAAAATGTGTGGTGGTGCCCCGTCATTAGAAACCACAAATTATGTCTAAGTTGTAATGGCATGTTGTCTATGGTCTGTTCCAAAAGTTCTGGTAGGTTATTGGCTAGAAAGCTAAGGTATCCTTCTCCTGACAACTTTGGGAGTAACTCGAAAGGGCCAATTACCTGATATCCAGAAAACCCGCCCAAATATTTATTTTAAAACGTTGTTGGAAATGACTTTCACGAATGGTATGAGGATTTTCTTGGGCCCACGTGTTAGTATTATAGAAATTTAATATCCCATCTCGCGTAAAAGTACATTCGTCCGTCGCTAGAATGTTTTCAAAAAAATCCGGATTGTCAATGTTTTTGTGAAAAAACCACTGACAGAATGTTAGTCTGCGAGGAAAGTCTTCTGGTAACAAGACCTGCACTCGTTGTACATGGTAGGGATAACGCAAATTTTCCCGTAAGATTCTATAGACTATGGTATGCGATAGTCCTACGCGGCGGCCCAGTTTCCGAGTGCTGATATCTGCATTGATTTCCAGGATATTGAAAATTTGTTCTTCCTGCTCTACAGTAACCTATCTTTCACGAGTGCGAATATTAGTGGGCTGAACACTTCCTGTATCTCGAAGTCTTTGGTACACTTGCACAAATTTCCTTCTGTCTGGGTGTACCCGTTGGCGAAATCTATCGCGATAAATTTGAACTGCAAGATTTGAATTCTGACGAGCTTCACCGTAAACTAACCACATGTCGGCGAACTCTTGATTCGAGAACATTGTAAATAAACAGGACGACGTACGCGAACAAAAACAAAACAACACGCCCGAAGCTCTGCTCGACAAAACGATAAAGTAATTTATCTATGGAAAACGATAACTAACCACTGTTACCGTTTGTGATCGATTGCCGGTTCGATAAGAGTGATGAAAGACCGACTCGCTGTTGTCATGTGTGTTTTAAATATTTAATTTAATGAAACTTACTTACTGACTACAACCCCTCCAATCTCATCCTACATCAAAACGTATGATGTACTAAGACTACTGTGAGTCAGTATCCAAATCAGGCGTCGCGTGGTGTCTTAAGTTGACCTAGTTTATAAACAAACCCGATTTGAAAAACTGAAATTGGCACATTCCTAGAGCAATAACGTATTTATCAATTCGATATGAGCATCTTCAAGATCCTATTGATACTCCGCGGGTGTACTCAGAACGTCGCCCTCGTTCTCGATATTTATTTCCATCGGAGCTGCGTATGTTTGTTTATGTCGTGCAAAAGCCGTCTGGTTGAAGACCTAGCCCCAAATGTTAAAATTTTCTGAAGGGGTAAACTCGTAAAACACGTGACAGGGCAGTACTTGAAATTTGTTACCAAATTAATAATGAGTATTTTTCTTCAATTTCTTTTTTGACGTTTTTGGTATTGTTTTGCCGCAAATTAGCTTTGCGAATGTAGTCGACTCTGAAAAGGATATGCTAGATTATGCGTTAATAATAATTGTGATTACAAGACTGATACTGACTGGAAACAATCTAACAATTTCGCTGGATCAGTAAAAGTTGTGTCCAGCAAAGTACAATGTATGTCATTTTCTGAATGTCAAATCTCTTATTTCAGTTCCAGTAAACCGTGACTTTTTTGAAAATCAAAGAATGGTTGGTTTCACTGTAACTTTGCTATCTTATATCGTATTCCATAATACTGCAGCAGTTATTATAATTTTTTAGAAACTACTACCCTACAATCTTATCAATACATCAGTGCAGCTTGTACGTTGAAAAGGTTATTTCTCCTACACATGTGTCTAGAACATTGAGTAAAATAATCTAGATGGATTCTGATTATTTTTTGGGAGACTAAATCAAATGACAACACAGTTCTTTTTTACAAAAATACAATGTATTTATCAAATTATATTATCAACCTTGTTTTAATGGAATGCCTAAAGAGTATAATTAAAATATAGTGTCCGTATTTCTGAATACGAATTTGATGAAGTTTTTCATCAGCTATACAGGGTGTCCCAGAAATAACACGCCAGAGTGACTTGGGAGATAGATTGGCTTCAGATCAATTAGATAAAGTCAACATGACCTTAGTAAAAGTTTTCTAGTTTTCGAGATATTGCCACTTTTAAGTTTTTTCAAAAAATCACTAGTTTTTTTGCTCCTTTTTTGCCTGTTATAGCTATAAAGAACATCTAACTTATGCTTTTTTTCCTTGGTCTACCATTAACATGTAGTTGGCTGAGTATTCATTTCATTCAAAACTTGCACGGTATGCAAAAAAAAAGTTATTACATTTTGTTTCAATGTGAAAACCTTTACTGAAGTTTAACTAATTACTGTGAAAAAAATACCAGACTGAATCAGCAAATTATCTTGAAAGCTAGCCTATTAAAAATAGTATAACATTTGTAGGATCTTTCTACTAAAAATTGAATAATTCCAAGTTTTGTCATTGAAGTCGTCATACTTGCGAAATACTGCAAATAAAAAATAAGTGCAGCCGTCTTTATATCCAAATCACTGAGGAATGTAACGAACTAAACATTGACTATCTCGCTCTCGCATTCATTGTTCGTAGCATTATGTCACATCGAGGAACAGAGGTGGTACCTGCTTCCCGCACGCGCAGGGTTAATTTAGTTTTGCTCCTTGTGTTTAGTGCTACACACGTGTTATTTAGCTCTTTCGCTGTTTAGATCGTTTCATTCCTTAGTGATCTGGAAACAAAAGACTGCACTTATTATTTTTTATTTGTAGTATTTAGGAAGTATTACGACTTCAATGGCAAAACTGGGGGTTATTCATTTTTCAGTAAAAAGGACCTACAAATGTTATCCTATTTTTAATAGGCTAGTTTTTAAGACAATTTGCTTATTTAGTCTGGTAAATTTTTTTTCCACAGTAATTAGTCAAACTTTGGTAAAGGTTTTCACATTGAACAAAATGTAATATTTTTTTTAGCATAGTGTGCTATTTCTCAATGAAATGAATACTTGGTTATCTCAACCAACTATTAATGGTAGCCCAGGAAAAAAAACCTTAAAAAGGGGCAAAAAGTAGTGATTTTTTGAAAAAAACCTAAAAGTAGCAATACCTCGAAAACTAGACAACTTTTACTAAGGTTATGCTGATTTCATCTGAATGATCTGAAACCAATCTACCTCCCGTGTCACTCTGGCGTTATTTGAGGTACATAAAACATTAATTTAATTAGTAGATGCTTAATATGTTGGATCAACATTTTTACAGTAGCATCAAATAACCGACTACATAAATTCGAGGAAAAGTTAAAATTTAAATAATAACCAAAATACTTTCATATTAAGTTCAAATGGCAAAAATGGCTAAGCTCTCCTGCTTTAATAAGTATGACTCTGCAGTGTTGCCATTGACATAATTTAAACTTGCAATTATCCGTGTTTTGACAGTAACATACTGTATGCCTCAACAACTGGTCAAAACTCTTAAGAAACCAGTTCGACAGCGTAGCAATGCAAGTTTGATTTATTCCGTCTTTTTTGTATGCAGCTAGTTAAGAATAATATCTTATTACCTCTTCCATCAACCTTTCTAAATTATTTTCATCTATAATAACAAATCGCTTAGCTGCCCTACTAAAATAATAAATATCTCCAGTATAAATGTCAAACCATAGGGCGTGGATATGAAGTTGATGCTGTTCGAGCCGCCTCTTCAGAAATCCGTAACTCGCTATATTCTGTAGTTGCTGTAACGTGTTTATTTGTGATAGCTTGTCTTCAATGTTAAACTGATTGTCTGGATCAATGTAGGCTACGAATTTTCTCATGGGCGTTTCGGCTTGGAACAGGAGCGGCATGCTGTAGTTTGTCACTGACAGCTGTTGGAATTTTTCTAAGCTCGAGAGTGCGTGTGCGCATAACCAAGCGCGCAACGGCGACTTTCGTCTGTTGTCCTGAAAAGAAATTGGTAATGTCAATCATCAAACTAAAACAATAGCACAGCAAAAGAAAAAACGAAATGATGAGGTAGTTCCAGCATAAAATCGTTTTTTTAAGATCATGTTAGTAAGATGAAAAATGGCGTAAAGTAGGTCGACCCTGCACTTCCCACGCAAGGCCGTAATCAGTTCATAAAGAATTATGCTCAGCACAAGTTAGATCCCCTGTTAGTTACAAATATGTATAACAGAGAAATTAAACGGATCAAATTAGTCATATAAACAGACCCACACAATTAGTCCATAGACATTCTTTCCCTGCCCTTCCGGTTGTCACACTAGCAACGTCGCCTCCCTCGATATCTGACGGGAAAACGCGGCAGTAAGGCTAGAACACTTACCAATACCGACACCCTGGCCGGTGAGACAGCAGAAGCTTTGACGCGTATTGGAAGCATTTTTCTGTCATTCCAAGTTTTAAGGGCAAATGTGCGGAAATCTATGATGTGGAAATATGTCTAATAGGTGCGTAGAACTACCGAGGTTGGGAGCGTATAAACAAACTAACATAAAAAAAATAAGATTAAAAAAACGAAGGTTGAGCAAGATATATTTTTTTAGTTTCTTGCCTTTTTCTTCGCCGCCACTGGACGTACTTTCAAACATTACAAAGCTTTCTCATCCTTGGCGTAAAAGGGAATGAATGAATAACGAAATTAGCTCCGCTCCGCCTTTCCAGCAAAGTTGAGTATAACGCTGAGTCCCAGCTCCTCAACATTCTGGGGATCCAAAGCGTTGGACTTCATTATAGTCTCCCTGTAGTAGCTCAGAGCCTCACAGCGACATAGAACATGCGCCGAGGACTCTTCCTCTACCCCGCAGCGTTTACATATGGGATCCTCAGCCACCCCCATCACATGCAACCTGAGGTTGGCTCTATCCTAGGGTAAGCAGAAGCGTCCATCCTTAACACTGGTCCTACGATGCTCCCGTGCCTAACGGATATATCTAGTGATGCTTCTCCATTGAGAAGTGTTGTCTAGCAATCCACCACTCCATTTTTCTCCTGGCGCTTTGTGCGGGTACCGCTAGGGCTGGCTCAGGACCAACAAGCTTGCTCGCTGATCCTGCATTCGCACGAGCGGCCATATCGTTTCCCTTTATCCCAGCATGCCCCGGTACCCACACTAACGATACCGGATGCCTCCTTGCTAGACTATCTTCCATTGTACTTAGTGGCGTCGTCCGCACTGCGCTTAAAATACTGGTACTAGCCTGAATTTTACTGAGTTTGGCCTTAGGTGTCTCGGATCCAATGCAAGGCCACCAATCCAGGGAACCATACAAAAGAGATGGACGTACTATCGTCGTATAGAACCAGTGCACCACTTTGAATTTAAACGCCACCTCACACCGACAACACGTCTGCAAGCTCACAATGAATTCCGAGCTTTGTTAATCTTGTACTCATCAGGCTCTCTACAACTCAGTCTACCTCGCTTCGGCGTAATAATTACTCGAAATCCGACCGGTACTCTACAAGTTATAGACGGGCCAAGGAGTAGCAGACAAACATACCGATTGAAAGGAGTGACATGGTTTTTCGTGATGTACATCTCATACACCACATCCAAAAACATGTCTCATTTTCGCAATTTTGCGCGGTTACAATTCGTTCTAGTCGGTAGACGCGGGTAGTCGAAAATAGCGGGCTGAATGTAATACTCAAAATCTGTTTATGGATCAAATCCCTAGATTGCATGTCCTAGAAGCATTGGACACGTTTTCTATTTGCCGATGCGGTGAGATAAACAGTAAGAAACATAATGTATTCCTTACTTGTCAATATACGAGTCATTTTTTTATACTCCAGCTACGACGAAGGCCTAAGGCCTAAACACCCAAGGGGTACTGTCGGGCTATAGGGGGATACATACAGGGGAAAGGGGGGTGCATGCAGTATGCACACATTCTGGCCCCGCTTACGAGATCCGCCGGGTGGTACCTCCGCGTACGACAGTCAGAGACCGTCTACCACATACGGACAATCACAACATCCATAGCTAAGAAAAAAATTTCTCTTGGGACGGGATTCGAACCTTCGCAGTGCACAGAGACTGATCAGGAGACTACCACTGCGGCCACTGTTGCTGCCCTAAGGAAAACTATTGTGCTGTTATTCAGGTCAGCAAATGGGAAGGGTGCCTTAATAAGGGTTCCAAAAGGCTAATATAATAATATTAATGATAGCGTTTATTTGCAGTTGATCATAAGCGTATCTCAAGTCAGTGAAAAGCTAGAACGATTTAATTCTAAATTTGCACGCATAGTATCCGTATCACTAACAATGGAGCATTTCCCAGTCAGAAATGGTTGAAACGCACCAAATCTTTCACCAGCTTCACGTGGAGGCCGTCTGTATAAGATGAAGGCTGTCCACTTCGTGAGTATAGAGGCTGAGTGCAATCGTTTCTTGATACCTCCTTATTGTGAGGAGGCTTATTTGCCTTACCAGTTCTGAGAGACGAGACAATTGTTAACTATCAAATAAGCTGGTATTTTTTTGATTTGAGAACTCTTTTTCGTTGTTTCCTGGTAATATTTAGCTAATCATTTATGTGTGACATTGTTTACCTGAGATGAAAAATCCCTGTCTTGGAGTTTATGCAATAGATTGATCGCCTTACAGTCACTATGTCCACAAACGACAATGTGCCTTATGTCATTCACTACACATCCTAACTCCAAGGCCGCTGGTTCGTTCATGGTGATTTCGTCCAAAAAGTGTTGAGAGTGTGGAATGATGTTCCCTGCATTTCTAACTGGAAATGAATATGTGCAATATAACTAAACATTTGCAGAAACGAAAATTTGATCAAGAATTGAGGGTGTACTGTGTTTCAACTCATCCTGCATATGGATATTAATAAAGGCCTTACCAATAAACATATCTCCAACATTCATTTGCGTGAATCTAGTCGGTATCATTCTACTGTCAATGCAACTGAAGAAAACCGCTTTTGGCTAAAACAAAATTGTTACAAAGAAGGTTAAGGAGAGCTTGTTGATTCGAGTTGATAAGCTACACGTTTACCGAGACGAGCTAAAGGTTTACAAAACCGACCGGAATTTCCTAGTAGATCTCACTAGGATTGAAAGAAGTACCGGTCATTTTTGATCCAGAGAGACGCAGATCATTGGTTTTTGTACATCATATAACAAATACTTAAAAGTACTTTCTGGCAATCAACAGATATATACCAAAAACTTTTTTTCGGATGTTATATTTGAACAAAATAGCATGTTTAATATCCGAAATTTGCATTCATATTTTGTAGATAATGTTTTTTGTTTTTATCGCTCAAGTGTTGTAAAAAACTTATTTTGAAGCTCCTCCAACGAAAGAGAGCTCATTCCAGTCTTCTGTAATCTCCGCGGAAGGAATAAATTAACAGAATTCTATTTTTATGATAAAATATATGTTTCTCGAATTTGATGGAAACCCAGTCCCTATATCATAGCATCAGATTCTAAGAAAAGGGAGCGGAACCACATTACATGCTAGAAATTATTACTCCACAACTTTGTCGCGACATTTTACCTTTAAATAGTGCTTCTTAATGAACCTTTAAGCAAACCAGATATTTGTGGAGCTCCCTCGTACTTTGTTAAATAATTACTTCGACTATCCACAAACAGATACCGTAAATTATTGCTGTAATTATCCCGATTATTTAATTAAACCTGGGATTTCGACCATAAAACGGATAAATGCTTTACGTGGTACAAGGCAAAAACAAAAATAAACGATAAAAACGGCGATAAAAAATAATAAAGATAACGTAGATCGGTGAACAACTAAAAACAGTGCGCACGCAACACGTGTTTTATTGGAAAGTGAAAGCGCCGATTTGCTATTGACATCATTACCAGTCGCTAATTGGTGGATCGGTACTAACCTTTGGATTATTTTTCACCTCCAGGAATTGTTTGACCATCAATTCTTTCTTGTCTGCCCTATACCTCAATATACCTTTCAATATTTTATCCATGACCGGGCTTCATCAGCTAACGTTATCGAGTACAAAGGTCGGCTGAGAGTTCACGATAAATAAGCAAGTGAATTACATTGGCAGTTTTGGTAATGCATACAATGCTGGACTAGCTATTGGGTAATGCAAAGAGTATCTTGTAATATTTCAGTTTTTATTAGAAACGTTATAATTATCTGGGGTATAATTACTATATATACATAAAAGGTATTTACACATAGATGTATAATAATTTTCAAAATAAACTGTAACATATTCATAGCATAGCAACACTTTGATAACCTATAGAAGATATAAATGTAAACAATTTGCCATATGAGAATCTTATTTTTTATGGTCGGGTTTCCATTCTCCAATGTGAATCTCTCATTTTTTACCTGATGCAAATTATATAATTCATAAATACTTATTAGGATAAGGTGACAAGTACCAATAGACATTAGTCCGAACCTCTTCTATGATGTGGTTCTTTCAATGTTAGGGGTAAGACTGACCACACAAATTGGCTGCAAATCTCGTAATATGATAATGTATGCAGTATGCTACCACAAGTAGAATACCTGAAGCATCATATCTGGACAGCACCCGAGGGGTATTTCATCCCGCAAAAGGCATACGATTTTGGTGTGAACTACTACAACCTGATTTGTAAATCTAAGGCCAGGCGCGCACATGCAGTTTTCCGTCGCACGACTATACATGAAACTTGGCCCTACAGTTTTCTCTTCAAATACCGTTCACTGGAAGATTGCTATTAAATTGTCGCAGATGTGTGCACGTTCATTCGTGTCTATGTGACTTATTTTGTTTTGCGATAATCGCGTCGCTCTTGAATAGAACTGGTTGCATCTTTTTAGCCGCGGCGATTATGTAGTCGCATATGCGCGCATTTGTATTAAAAAAACTGTATGTTTTGCGACTAAACGATCGTGCGACCGAAAATCGCATATGCGCGACTGACCTAAAACATGTTCTAAATGAACGAACGTTAATACTTGAAGAGATAGCCATAAGGTCAGTAAGTCTACGGAATATACAAAGTTATGCTAATCGCCGGTAGAACCATCTCTTTAGGCTTCCCTCGACATGGCTATTAGCTAACAAACGTAAAAAAAACGATGAAATGTCATTTTGCAGACTATGTAGTTTTTAGTGTGCAAATAGTTAATTCCACATTTGCTTGCTATGTTCGCTGACGTTTAAGCAAACATCTTGTAGAAAAACCTACGAAGTGTCAAAAAATCCTAAGAAACGTCAGAAAAAGCCGACTTTTCAAGATACGTAACACCCGTGCGGTTATGTTTGAAAAGACTAGCATGTCTGTGGTGAAACCGTCTGACTGGAAGCGAGTTTCGATGTAGCTGCATCAAAATTCTAGCCATGAAAAGGTTGCCGCAAGTTCATTTTTTCAACAAAATGTGGCTTATGTATTAGCCAGCAACAGGTTAATAATCACAAAATACGCCAACGAAAGTATAAACAATAATTTAATGCGAAAAATAAAATGTTATCCTGAAAAATACAAGTTGATTATTTGGAATAGTATTAGGATTTGCAGTTTAATTGTTACAAATTTTGCAATGAGCATGGAATCCCAGATGTTATTAATAACCAAAATATAAATTGTAGTTGTCTGATCTGTCTTCCATATCCAATAAGTTACATTTATTCAACAAAATGTTACTGTTTCAGCCACGGCCGTAGAGGAAGTAGAAAAAAAAATTTATATGAAACTGATGATGTGAACCTAGTATTAGAAATATTTGTAAGATGTTGGTTTTGTAACTTGAACAAATTTATTGGTAGCTTGTGAGATGTCTTTTATGAATGTAGTTTTAATTATTAAACATGGGTAACATACAAAAAACAATAATGGCACAAATATACATAAAAATCTTGAAATAAAGGGGGTAGACACAACTTTGAAACACGATATAACTGATATTATTTTTGGCTCAATCAGAGAACAGCTGATTGAAATACCAGTAATATTATATTGCTATATCTGTAAATTTTGTTATCAAGCCACAATACAGTCCAATTCAATGTACAAAAAGTTTTTATTTACTATATTTTGTTTAGTTATACTAAAGCACATAAAATTCTGATTCTGATCTGCCAGCTGTTTTTCAGCAACCTTAAAAAAGTTATCCAAATGCATAGAAGCAATCTAATCTTTTAAGTGGTTTTTTGTTTTCAACAATAACTGACAGGTATTGGAGCAGGAATAGATGTCAATCAAGTAACCCAAAAAGCAGCAGAGGTTTGTATTTTGAACATGGTGCCATTTATATATCCAGTCTTATGAAAATGTCCATGTAATAAGTATGATTCATTCATACTCAGGAACACACCTGATGCCTCCTCATCTGAATATAACCTTTCAGTAGTGGCCACCATAAGGTGATGCAGAACCAAAAGGGCACCAGGCGGTGGTTTATGGGGCCCCGGAGTAGATAAAATCTATCCGTTTAAAGTTGTGGTGATCCAGCACCAGAACTATTTTTAATATTTATTTCTGGAGTTTTTTTCCTATGAACTGATAAAAACAAATATAACTCCTGTCTTGTGCAAAAATAGAAGCATCTCTAAAAATTCAACTTTATCAAATTGCTATCAAAGTTGTTATCACATCAAGGTGTGTTGAGGTATAATAAATAATAATTCATGTTTTAAACTTAATTATATAAATCAAATGTTGATATTAATACGTATTTTTTAGTGAAAAAACATTTGGCACAAATAAAAATAGCTGTAGCTTAAAATAATTTGGTACCTATTGCCTCATGGATGAGCTTGATACTTTTTCTAATTTCTCAAAATGTTTTCTTGCATTTCTAATATTTATCAATGTAACCTCTGAAGGAATCAGTGGGTCTGACATGCACACCATTACATAGGTATTACTAGTAAACATATCAATATAAGCAGCAAATGCTGAATTTCTGACTTCCATACTTTGGAACTGTGCAGCTAATTTGGAACAAGATAATTTAAATTGCTTGATGATGTTTGATACTTTTTCAAACCTATGCACATCCCTGTGATGCTTTCTTTGACAATGGGATATTACTAAAAATGTTGCTTTTTCAAATAATAGTACTTCATCAGCATCTACAATGTTAGCGAATTTCTGTAAGCTACTTTCTAATTCTTTAACATTAGGAATTAACATATAAACTATGCTAGACCAAGCACGATACAAGGTTTCATCCCATATTGAAGTCCTAAAACAAGTACATTCTAAAGGTAGAGAAAGCCTTTTCAGATCTGCTTCCCTTTCTTTGAAAATAATGTCTCTCTGTTCCTCAGCCACAAGATCCATTTTGTGAACAAGACAGAATATCCTCGCTTCTGGTGAGTTTTGTAGGAGTGCTTCTAAACAAGACTGATAATAATGCATATCTCTTTCTAACTCTCTACTTTCGACATCGAACACGTAGATCAGCACCTCAACATTGCGAAATATGTTGTCCCTTTGGGAAGCAAAATAGTTCTCCATGAATGCCTCTTGCCCTCCACAGTCCCACAAGTTCAGGACAAGATTACCCAAAAACCGAACATGAGAATGCTCCACATCAACTGAAAAATAAGCAGTAAGTAAAAGTACATTATTTTTATTATTCAAGCAATACTTGTCGCCCCCAATCGTCTTGTGTCTCTGGCGATGTAGTTTGCAAAAATTATGGATCTCATGCTGGTCTTGCCAGATCCACTTTTACCCATTAAAAGCACCTGAAATCAATTTAGTTAGGATTCAAGAATTCGGAATGTGAATTAATCACCTTTTTCTTCATGTTTAATAATTTGGGAAATCAAATACCAGAGTATGACATCTATCACAATCACAATTATCACAAACAAAGCTGTTATGTCAAATGTCAACCCCAGCCTGTGTCAACGTCAATCAGTGATTTTTGCCCATTATTGACAAGTTGTCAAACAACTTGTAGAGCTGGGTATACTAGATGAATACTCCGTGTGTTCAGTAGTCGCCTTTATAGCTATATTCCAAGGTTTTGGTTTCTAGCTTCTCTAATCAGTTTTGCTACATGATTCTGTTTGCATTTATCACATACACTGAGAACCAAACTTGTCTGATGTGTACGAGAGAAAAGTGTGTATACACTAAAAGCCATATACCGCTGACGTCGTAATGTGTAGAAGAGAGAAGGGCGAGAAGCATGCAATACGTGCGATAGAAAGAGACCGAAGCACCTCGTTGCCTAGCACTCCTAGTTCGAGGCCACGGACGCCATCGGCTCACTCTTTCTAACATACATATTGCACGCTTCTCTCTCGTACATATTAGGACGTCAGACAAATTTGACCTGCGCTGTAGACACATTATGTTAGAAAGAGGCAGAAGCCGGCTGGATAGCGAAGCTTATCAACGTGTTACCTAGCAACGCTAACGCGTTGCCTATATGTTACATCAGTTATTTGAATTAAGATCCATGCTGAAAATATGCGTTAGATTATTCTCTACGCGCAAATAATTGTTTTATTTTGAGCGTACACATTTTTGAATTGTGTCGAATCTGTTTAGGATAGATTGCGAGTCGGTCCTAACGGCGCTCCATTTTAGGTCGGAATGAAAGGTCATGGAATATTGCATCATTGGTTCGCTTGGCAACACCTCATCTCGTACATTCCAAGGCAAGGTTTAAACCTCCATGATCGTAGATGAGCAATTTTGGTCAGTACAGTACCCATCTAGCGCTCATTGGGGAATGTCGTCCTGCTTCGAAATGGTTTTCACCTGCGCACATGCATACAGTAATAACTCATGATGTGTTGATTTTATCACCATCGGTGGAAATCAAAGATAATTCTAAAATAAATTAAAACATGTCGTCTCATCAAAATTGAAATAAATACTTCTGATCTAAATGAAAACAACATATTAACTTAAATGTTCGAATAGACTTCCTTCTTGGGTTCGACAGTAACCTAACCTATTGTAGAGGTTTGTGCGGAGATTTTCTGGTGTAACATATTGGCAACGGGGTAGATTGCACGACCTTTTGCGTCACCGTTGCTAGGCGATGTAGTGATGACCTTCGCTCTTCAGCCGGCTCCTATCTCTGTCTAACATGTGTTGATACACACTTTTCGCGCTTCTCTCTCGTACACATTGAACTCGAGCTATCAGACATATTTGGTTTTCCCTGTATGTGATTTTTGTATGACCGATGATAAATCCCATCTCTTTAATAATGTGTGTAGAACTTGATTGTTAATTTGGCACCTAAAAAATAAAGTAGGTCCGAGTATTCGAGGAATAAAATATATGGAAATCATTTTGTCTGACTGAATATTTTCAATTAATTTGGTTACAAAAATCAGTTACTTTGGAGTTGTTGGATTGCATCCTTGAAATTTCTTTAAGCTTGTCAAATGTCACATGCGATCTAATCACCGACAAACTGTTTCAAGGCTTTCTGTTCGATTGCATAGCTATAGGGCAGAACCAGCTTGTCGACGTATGTCGTGTCGTGTATGGAAACTTCAAAATGGTGGTCATCATAAAAGTAGTTGATTTTCAGTAATGAATTTTCCTTACATCTTCCAGTATATGCATTCATTTTAGACGATTTTTATCATTTCGAAAGCAACCCACCGCGAATAACGCGTTCTAATAAACCAGTGCCTGTTATACAAAAGTAAGTGTTGGCATTTGTTGTGTCTGACGCATAGCCGGCGCGCCCATGTAAAAACATTTTTTTCTTCCGTATAAAAGCTCCAGTGTATAATTTGAGACCGTGATCGTTACAGGAAGAATGTCTTCTGACGATGAAAAACCCCCAGCACCCCCTGTGCGGTTGACGTCGAACAGAGGAACGGATTTAGTGAACAGTTCCATTGCTGTGGACAGACCCCTTCCCAAAGAGCCAGACGATGCTGATAGGAAAAAGAAAAATCTAAAGTTGAAAAAAACAAACAAATTGTCTACGTATGCCTCTGACAAACCAAATATATCCTATCCTACTAATTTTGAACATACAGTACATGTTGGATTTGATCCTGTGTCTGGGGAATTCACGGTAAGTCTACAGAGTGTTTGATACATCAGGGGGAATATTTCAGGAGCTGATGATGGTATTTAACATTTATATTTTTCCTTTGGTATATAATTGGGTGATTCTGATAAGTGCAAAATGATTATTGTAAGGGAGCTATTCAAAATAAAAGGTTAAACAGATGTTTTGGGGATCAGGTATAATTTTTCTGGATTTGTTTTCATCCCTTGTTCACCTTTTAAGTATTCTAATAACCAACCATTTATCAAATTTTATAATCAATATATTTTTAAGTTACCAATAATTCTAGGCAGATATTTATAAAATAGTGATTTCATCATGATAACTATATAGATTAGTAGAATAGTCAAAAATACTTTTATATTTGATAGAAGTTTCACATATTTTTGATATGAAACAAATCTCATAAGAAACTTAAATTTAGTATAAGTAGTCTTATCTTTTAGCCACTAAGAGAGGGGTAATTGGTCAAATGTTATAATTATGATATTTGAAGTAGAAAAGCTAATTGATTTTTATTTTCAATTGTTTCTATACTATGGTGGCCAGTTGTATATGAAGTCATAGATCATAATTATCGAATTGAAATTGAATAATGTATGTTAATCAGCTATATTCTTACACAGAAATAATTATTCATTCTCACTTATAGCATTAAGTAGTGAATTGATGAGAGTAATTTAATGTCATCCATGTAGTAACTGTTAAATTTTTTAATATGATTAGAAGTTCCGAATATTACTTATCAGAGTGATTAATGTACAATAAACAAAAGATTTTTTTAATCTTATTCAGACAAGTGCAGGTTTAGAAACCTGTATTGGGAGCAGAGTGGAGGTCACAGTAGTTGTGTTGAGGAAGATGTTCACTTCTGAGAGCAAATACTTTTGTAAATTTTTCACTTGTATTCAGATCTATTTTCATTTTAAATTACCTTTGTGCCTTAATCATTCTTCACAGGTTTTAACTACAACTAGTTCATTTACTATTATCTAACTGGTAAAAAGAGCAGCATGTGTATGACTATTAAAATTATGTCATAACTACCATAGAAAACCCTTTTGTGTCAGCTTTTGCAACAGTGGCTCTGATAGCAATCTATAGAGGTTCAGTACCATGTGACCAATCCTTATAGGTGCTAATCTAGGTTAAATATTTTATTCAGTAAAAACAAAACCTATGTAACCCATAACACATACTATTATACATATAAACTTTTGGTGCAAAATATCATATGTGCATAAAATCATCCAGTACTAACATACCTATATATAATGGTTCCTGGAAAAACCTATGTGATAAAATAGTGACAGCCCTGAAAGAACTTCTTTCTGTGTCTCTTGAAAATTTATTTATTTGTTACAAAAAATGGCAATGACATTGTGTGACTAAAATCTTCAATACAAAAGTAGATTGCGAAAGTAGTGTATAATTCTGACATGAAACATCAGCATTCTTTCCATTTTTTATCCTCCTCCTAAACATTTTGCTTTGTTGTAACAGACACTCTATTTTGTTATATAATTACATGTATATTCCATGTTTTGTAGAGTAGGGGCTTATTTATGTGTTACTTTATATTAATAATTAATGTTCTGTTACAAGCTGCCATTGAAAGTAAGTAAAGTGTTGATTCCCCTGGGTTTTTTGTTTAGTTGCATTTAGATGTTAGGATACATGTATTTATTTTCAGTAATAGTCCTCTCTATTTACAAAACTTGCTATAAAATCTTCCCACCTTCCATTTGCCATTAGTCCAGTAGAATAAGGCACAAAATGAGAAGTTATGACAACCATATTATCCAACCTAATTTAGTGAAATACTTGCAATTTGTTACACAAAGATTGGTATAATGTATCATAGTTTTTTAATGTAGTAAGTTTCATTACGTAAGTTTTTGATTATTAGGGACTATCAAATATTGTGATATAGTGATAGTGGATGCTACATCTTCAGTGTTTACTGTGTTTTGTGCCATCAGTAATTACTGATGGATGTGTCAGTGGATTACTATATAACCTTATAGATCAATAAATATTGAATTATATAAATATACTGTGCTGCAATATGCAATATTTTATGCTTCATGATAAATACTGATTGATCACAGTAAGTGTACACCATCTAGCATTCACCTCAATGGCACTATTCATAACTGTCAGAATTATATTGTTGGAAAGAACTTTTTGTACAGTTTTATTTGGTTTGTTGACACCATTATGTTGCTTATTAAACATATTTAACTTAAGTATGCTAAATCTCAGCTTGTTTAGATATGTTTTAAAAATCACCAAATCTGTTTGATATTATGCATTAGATATAGTAGGCAATACTTTTTAGCTTTCATTGCCTTTTGTCAAGTGTGAATACATGTTTATGCTTGGTTTTTATAGTAAAAATGGTTAATAGCATTATCCATGAATACATATGCTATTATTGTTATAACAAAACCTAATTCAACTGGACTATGCAATATCTTGACATGCCTCTAAATTCTATGAATTGAATCTTTTAGCTGATAAGCATGAATCTATGTTTTAGATGACTCAGACAAGTGCTAGTTCTCAGCTATCTTTCTCTGAATGTCTATAGGATACCCCAAAATAGCTAGTACTGATAAACACATTTTTTCTTGATTATATCAAATTCCAACTCTGCCTTATTAGCTGGATTAGGATTAAATATTCTTATCTTTTCATTTGAACGTTTGCTTTGGCTGCTGTTTACCATCTAAAAATGCATATTTTTGGTTTTCCTTATCCACATTCCATGTGTTTTTACAAAATATGTGAAAGTGATAAAATATGTTTTGTTTATTATTTGATCATTTCAGCGAATTGCTGGCTTTGTTCTCATCTGGATTTTGCAGAATACTATTTAAAAAAATATAACCAACTTGTTACAGTTAATTATAATAAAGTTGATTCATTTCCTTCCTAACATTCATATTTCATACATTCGATCAGGAAACAAAGTCTGGTCATATGACTGTCTATGGTAGAAATAGTTATGTTTTAGCCATCATGGTACATATTACATTCTTCTGGTCAATACTACCAAAATTGATCTTTCATATAGAAAGTAGTAACTAAAGCTGCCAGCACTGCACTACTTTTTAATGGCTCTGTAGACATGTCAATCATCCAGTATTGTTCCTAGTTGGTTATTCTGCTAAACTGCTTGGTGTAACTAAAATTTACTACATCTAATATTTATTCTTTAAGACCTGTATTTCCATTCAAAAACAAAATAAAACTTTTAAAATTGTACTTCAGATTCTCAGAGTCAGCTATCTTCATAAAAATTTATTTTGCACTATTCTTGTTTAACTATTAAGTTTTGGTGCACAAAAACATATTAAACTAACTCTGAGGATCTGAAGTACTTATCACATTTTTGGTACCCATGCTGTACAAATTGAAAATCTATGATCACGAAGGAGGGTTTCAGTACTTCTCCATAATATTATGATTCCAAATGGTCAGTTATTTAGCCGAAGCTGATATCCAACTTTTAACACAACCTTCAGCCGAAGGTTGGCTTTGTCATAAATAATGCACATTTGTTATAATGTTACTGTTATAATGTGTAGTGGTGGATCGAAACTTGTTAAAATTAGGTAAACAATGAAAATAATTTGATAGTATGAATACTTAAATCTAAATAATTTATGTAAAATTATAAAACTCTAGATATCCAATATACTGGTAAGAAATACCGAATTAGTTAAAGTATTTCAAACAACGACAGGAAGTTTTAGAATTCAGATAATTTTCGCTAATGAAAAGAAAATTCTGAAATGGTACTCTCATGTCATTCTGGAAGTGAAATCATCATCATATCTTCATAGATATTGTTTACATCATTCAAATTAAAAACTAGCTATACATTCACAGAGCTACATTGGAGACCCAATTTGCTGCTGTAATTTGATCATATTTAACATGTAAAATAATTGTCGCGTCAAACATCCCAGTAAAAGTCAGTTTAAAAAACAAGGTAGCGAAAGTCGACTCCAACGCATAATTATGAAGTGAATTTTTGCCAAAACAAAAACCAGTAAGTCAGCATAAACTTATTATGAAACATGTTTCAATACAATCAATAATTCAAGATCAGGACCAAAAAGTAGCAAATCAACACCACATATTAAACTGGTTTGTCATACAGCATTTTATATTTGACAATATGGCTACAAGTAGTATCTGTCATGCTAACACATAATTCTAAGTACATAATTAATGCCAGCAAAGAGGTATGGACTAAACCAAATACCACAGTCATACACATATGTATGCTAATACCCTTTAACACCTTCTGAAAGATGTTTCAACTGTTCATAAACTCAGTGACCATGAAATAATAGTAAAATGCAGTATGATCTTACGATCATATGAGTATTTATAATTTTACGCTCTGTCTGAAAAGATTTTTCTATCTTTCATTAAATAGATGGGAATTATGTATGACATGAATGGTTGCTGACCATAACAGCTACTTCTGATGAATGCTCCAATAACCTTAAAAACCTAGATGTTCAACCATTTATACATTTATATTTTTTCTTTTTTGCGCACTGACATGTTGCTAACACAAATCTTAGATTGTCTATAATATTTGTTTATAAAAGAATATAAAAAGAGGTTGTTTCTTTTCAGGGTATGCCAGAAGCATGGTCGCGTCTACTACAGAATTCTAACATAAGCAAACAGGAGCAAAAGAAAAACCCACAGGCTGTATTGGATGTTCTGAACTGGTTCGATAACAGCTCCAAGGAACCGCCAAACACCAAGTATATGACCAAAACTACTACAACCACCCATTCAGGTGAGTTACTGGAAAACTTGAATTTGAAAGACGAAAATATGATCCAGCTGAAACCCACTAAAAACAACATCCATATAGTGTATAGGTCTGACTGCTCAGTTTTCTTGTTAGATTAATAACTTTGAGACTTTCCTTTTTTATGGTATGGCGCCTTTCTCAGCTAAAGTGATGTTCTCACTAAACAAAATACAAAACTTGGTTTTGACTTTGGTTGCATTGCTTTTGTCTTCCCACTAATGCAATTAGCAGTCTTGGCTTGAGGTTGTGGAAAAAGCCACTGACTATACACTATACTATAGACTATTTTGTCCCTTTAATGCATCAAATGAAAGGAAATCGTATGCACGGTGTTTGGAAAGTCGATATAAACTTTCAGGGGTGATAGGACAACCCATTTGGAACAGATACCATATTACAAAGTCAAACCACTTATACATCTAGCGTATTTTTGTAAAAATCTCGCACCAGTTGTTATCAAATATTTATTAGTTCATGAAAACTCGTGTTATGTATGTTATCAGCTTTTACATTGGAGGTTTGTATCTGTATAGGTTCATCGCTTAGTCGAGTATCGAGTTCAAGTCCGAGCAGTACAACCCCAACTGATGCAGAAGGTGGACCTCAATCGTACCATAGTCCTACGCATGCGACTAGCTCAGAAATTGAAGATGAAGCACCACCGCCTCCGATCGCTAGTAGGCCAGAGCGCACTAAGAGTATCGTGAGTATTTTTTACTTTACACATACAGAATTTCCAGCAAAAAAAAATGCTGAGTACCTGTTGCGTATCAGCCTTTCTCAAATTCAAAACTATTGGAAATATTTCTCATTCTGCTTTGTACCTTGTTTACCTGATGTTCTGGGTACACTAGTTTCTTTCAAGTGCTCCAGCTTTTATATTTAATTAAATTTTTAACCTTTATTTTTGTTCCACAGTACACTAAACCCGTGGAAGACATTCATCCGGCTTCGTCGGCGGCCGCTTCTCACCCGTCTGCAATCGCTCCGCCCACAACAACACTGACCCCTCCTTCGAGCGTAAGCCCCTCCCATCACGCGGCAGCCAATGGCAGCGGAGGAGGCGGGACGTCGCAAGCGCCCGCCCCCTTGGATCGCAACAAGAACCAGCAGGCGCAGGCCGGTTCGGAGCCGATGTCCAGGGCGGCGTCGGAAAAGCGCAAAAAGAAGATGACCGACGAGGAGATACTGGAGAAGTTGAGAAGTATCGTGTCGGTCGGAGATCCGAACAGGAAGTATACGAAATTGGAGAAAATTGGACAGGGGTGAGTATACTTTAAAACGTCATAGGAATTGTAATTGACGTGATCTGTGACAAAAGGGTCATGGTCATGGGTTAGATTTTGTCCAGTTTGTAGTGACTTCCCAATCAGTCCAGGTAGTATTCGCATCTGTTGGGAAAAATATTTTGATTAGGATTTTTTTCCATAATTGCATTCGAAAAGGGCCCCTTTTAACTCATCTGCATGTTGTCAGTCCCAAAATTGTGTCGGAGTTTATTAAACGTATTCCAAAAAGTGTTAGTTTTTTTAAAACATTCTGAACAAAAAGGATGCTTTAGAACTTTTCTCTTGATTGGCAATTAAAAAACAGACTTACAATAACAATAGCCACTAAAGTGCTTCGAGACTTTTTTAATAGACGTTTGAAGAATATTTAGGTATATTGACAACATTAAAGTATTCGATTTTTCGGGGTCGAAAATCGCATATTTTGCACTAACTGTCTAGACAAGAGGTCTAAAGCACCTGTTTTGTTCAGAATGTCCTAAAAAACAAAAGTACTTTGACCGGGGAGGAAAAACAATTGTTTTTGGAATTTTTTAACAAAAAATCATTTATAGGATTTTGGAAGTAATTTTGGGCCTGACAACATACAAATTTGTTGAAAGGCATCCTTTTCGAATAAGATTATGCAAAATACAAGAATCAGATTATTTTTTTGAACTACACTACCTGGACTGAATCAGAAAATATAGCATCTATGTACATGTACAAAAAACGTTCCTTGCGTAAAAATTTTTGGCTAAAAAACCTGAAATCTAGAAACTTGAAGATTCAAAATGCCTTTTATATAGTCTAAATACGACCATTTTTCACCGAAACACAGCCTTGTCATAAATCACAGAAAAATTAGATTTTTTTCTTGCTCCCTTAATTTTTTTGAGTACTGTATAAATATGACTTCTATTAGTTTTCATGAAAAATATAGTTCAGTCCTTAGGCCTTCGCGGTGCCTCTTCTCCAACTGTTGCCGTAGTGATGGGATTTCCTTTTCTGTTGTTGAGAAATTCTGAGAAAACGAAACCTTATAGTTATGCGAGATATTGATTGGTGATCTTTCCTTGCAAGGTTGATATTATGTTTTATAATGAACAATTTTCTTTGAACATTAAAATAGTGTTTTTATAACCCCCAAGGGAATTACTGCAATCATACTTGGTAACATGCTGTGAGATGGAAATTGGAACGTCCATATACAGCATATGACTGGATATCGCCTTATACAGGGTGTTCAGTGGGAAAGTTCACTTTTTGATACAATAAAAAAATACATGTGTATTACTATCAACTATCAACATATTCGTAAATTCGGCGGGCTTTATTTCTTAAATATCATTGTGTCCAAATGTTTGCCATCTCTTCGGACACACTCTTCTAATCGCGCGCGCAACTTTTGAAACACTCTCTTGCAGAGCTCCGGACTCATGTTTATTTCTCGTCGAATGTTGTCTTGAAGCTCCTCCAATGTTTTTACTTTGACTTTAGATAACCCCGAAAAAAACAATTGCATGGCGTGAGGTCGGGTGACCTAGGAGGCCAGTGAATGTCTCCAGACTTCGATATAACTTGTTGATGTCGATTCTCGGAAAGTATAGTATAGTATAGGAAAAAGCTTCAACATCCGTTCGACACAAGATTTCCGTAATACGTAATCACTTTCCTTTAAAGCATGTGCTGATTGGATCTTATAAGGATGTACATATAAACTAAATTGGTGTATTTTTTTCAGTGCATCTGGAACAGTGTACACAGCATTAGAAACAGCGACTGGAGTAGAAGTAGCTATAAAGCAAATGAATTTATCAATGCAGCCTAAGAAAGAACTGATTATTAATGAAATTCTAGTCATGCGAGAAAATAAGCATAGTAATGTCGTGAATTATTTAGACAGTTATTTAGTTAATGAGGTGAGTACGTGTTTGTAATTTCATATTTAAGAATGCGTGAAGCTTACTTTTATGGTGAGAACACGTCAGTCATTATTCATATTTCCTTCCTGTTTAGTTATTTGGCGTTAGATTGGCGGTTTAAATATGTTGCAGATATTACAGGAGAATACTGTAAAAAATGAATTTAGTGTATGAATCATGGTCACTTTACTCTTCATATAAACAGGCGATTCGAATATAAAAAGGCATGTTTATTCATTTATAATCTTAGAAGGTAATTGTTTGTCATTTTGTTAAAAAAAAAATATAAAACACCCCAATTTCTGATTATTGATCAAGTTCGCATTTAGCTTTATCATTAGGTGAAAAACTAAAAAAAATGTAATTCATAGAAGTTGCAGTTACTGAATACCTAATAATCATCAGATTAAAGTGTTAAAGTTGTAGTTTTCTGTCTATACTCGTAGGCTTAGATTTCATTATCAAACATAAAAACAGTGTTTATACAACGTATACATTAAGATTCGACAAAATATCAAACCAAATAACACCTTTCAAAATCTTAAAGGGGTCGTAATAATCCGATTTTCAATTATACTTAGGAAATGCTTTATTTGAGCAATAAACATTGTTATTGTTCTTTCCATATTATAGAAAACTGAAGAAAGTTTGCCTGATAAAAAGGATCTGCGTTCAGCCTATCTTTCAGCATCTTTGAGAAAGATTTGAAAGCACATCTGCAATTATTTTTGATCTCGACTTGAACGATCTATGTACTGATTTGCAAAAAAAAACGAACACCCAGTTGTTTATTTTTATTCATGGGAACTCAAGAAACAATTACATTTTCAATGTGGGATGTTAGGAAATAGTAGTCATTTAGTAATGAGTGAGTCTACTCCAATGGTGTGTTATGCAATTCACTTACTCTCTCTCTACATCCAAAAAATGAAATGAGTTATGGTCACTTGCGAGATGTCATCCCAGGCTTCCTGAATTTGGTGATGGAGATCAACTAGGTTGTTTGGTCGTTGGGGTAAATTACTTAACTAGGTGCCGACCACATCTCACACAACTTTGATTGGTGATAAGTCTGGAGAGCGTTTAGGCCATGGTAGCAGGTTTACGTTATTTTCTGGTATGAAACTTGTTGTAATCCTTACTGTGTCGGGATGCAAATTGTCTTGTTAGAAAACCGGTTGAATTAGCCATCATCAGGAAGGTAGTCAAATAGGCATGTATGTAATTATCTGCATCTAAATTTCTTTCAATAAAAACTAAAGGTGACTTACTACCATTATGTTATTGCACCACATACTACAGCAAATTCTAATTGTCGGTGTTATCCGCAGAATCGTCTTACTCGATGTCTTGATTTGACCTTGAAATGGCTTTGCGCACAGTGTTTAAGGTAATGAGATATTCTTGAAATTTTGAAATGTCCTTGAAGGTCGTAGTCAAGGTCACCAACATTTTGCGCTCTCGAAACCATAAAACTTTCGTTTGACACTTTTTTTTTAGGACGCGCAACGTTATATGTTTAGGTGGGACACCATATATAGCAAATTTCGTTTCAATTGAGCGTCTTCTTCTGGGTGTTCGGATTTTTTTGCAAATCAATATATTTTGTAAAATACCGTTTGCTTGTAGGAACTCTGGGTTGTGATGGAATATTTACCAGGTGGTTCCCTGACTGATGTAGTTACAGAAACGTGTATGGACGAGGGACAGATAGCCGCCGTCTGTAGGGAAGTCTTACAGGCGTTGGACTTTTTGCACTCGAATCAAGTCATACACAGAGATATCAAATCGGACAATATTTTGTTGGGGTTAGATGGTTCAGTTAAATTAAGTAAGTGTGATTTTCATGACATACCCGTTTGACCAAGAAAATGTCTATAATGTGATTCTTTGATTAGTGTTTCAGTTACTCGTTTTCTCAATATCTTGTACCGTTTTTGAGGATTTACATGTCAATTTCATGAAGTGATTTCATTAGTTGTTTATGAATGTTGCGTCGTTTAAATACAAACTTTGGTATGGTTAAGTCACAAAATGTGCAAGTAGGATTTTCAAATAGCTGATGACTAGTTGACACTATTGTTAATACGTTACTTGTGTGACATGTAAATCCTATTTAAACTGAGCTAAATCATATATTCAAATAATAGATCAGTTCAGCCGTTTTTCGCTATTACTAGGCGCTGATGCTTATTACACATCCTTGAGCACATCTTATATGAGTATGTTAGTATAATGTATAAGGATAGGATATAATTTACTGGATGTTTTTCTTGCATGTACAGGATGCGGCAGTCAAACCTGCATTTTTGAAATAACTGTAAAAAATACGGTTGCATTCTTGAAGGCGATCTCTAAAATTGTTCATTACATCACGGAGCATCTGTTGAGGGATTATTTCGATTTGACTTCGTTGCGGGCCGTCACCTAACTTCAAGATCCTTCGGAGTCTCGCCCAGTACGGTGTCGACGCGCTGATGTCCGAGGACTTCTTGTCATAACTATTCTTACACGTTCAATACTCGCAGGAGTTCTGACTGATCTCGTACCGCCACATCTTCTGTCTCTCGGTTCACCGAAGTTTTCAAAGTTTTTTACCTATAACTTTATTGAGTTAAGAGAACGCACGGTCCGATTAAGATTAATTTGGAAATGAACACTGAAATGCTTTTAACGGCGAATACAACGGTAATCTAGTCAACTCGCCCCACCCACTTTCTTAACTCACGCGCTTTTTTCAAGATTGTAGGTATGACTTGTGCATTCTGTAATATCTTTTTTGTTTTACAGCTGATTTTGGTTTTTGTGCTCAAATAAGTCCGGAACAGTCAAAACGAACGACGATGGTGGGTACACCATACTGGATGGCACCAGAAGTCGTTACGAGGAAACAATATGGGCCTAAGGTTAGTACTCTAAATGGCATTTGAAGGTCTTGATACAAAAAGAAAACAAAAATAATTGGTACCGTTATTGAGGGCTCTATGGAAATAATCGTCCAGCGGAGCGAATAATTCAACGAATTATCGCCAAATTCAAGCAAGACGGTTCGGTCGCTGATCGAGCAGTTACTGTAAGAGGCAATAACGTGCGGTCAAACCTTTCGATTCCGCGTCGTGCACAAGCAATTGGCCTTTCTGCGACCTCGACTTGGAGAATTTTACGAAAAGACTTGGGCAGGTATACATATAAGATCCAGTTATCGCAAGAACTGAACCCTCAAGACCACCAAGCGCATCGTACTTTCGCTGATTGGGCTCTGGAACAGTTGAGAGCGGATCCAAATTTTGGCAAAAAAATCGTTTTCAGTGATGAAGCACATTTTTGGTTAAACGGCTTCGTGGATAAACAAAATTGTCGTATTTAGGAGAGACAGTAATCCACAACAGTATCAAGAGTCTCCATTGCATCCGGAAAAACTCTGCTTGGTGTAGGTTTTTGCCAGACGGCGTCATTGCACTGTATATCTTCTGAAACGAAAATGGCGAGACGGTGACTATCAACGGCGCTCGGTATAATAACCGACTTTTTATGGCCTAAATCGGATGATATGGATCTGAACGACTTATGGTTCCAACAAGACGGCGCAACGGCCATTACACTTCAGTTGTTGCAAAAAAGTTTCCAGGACACGTTATTTCCAGAAAAGGCGATGTGGAATGGCCGCCAAGATCGTGCGACTTAAGGCCCTTAGACTTTTTTCTCTGGGGTTACGTTAAATCGCTGGCTTCTGGCAACAAATCAACAACAATTCACTAATAGGAGAACAGCATCAAACCATTTGTGAGATCTAGCACGACTTATGCAGCAGAGTTTTACAAATATTGACCTCTCGCACCAGTCCTGTAAACGAGGCCACGGAGGCCATTTGAATGATGTAATTTTTACAACGTAATGGTATTGAATGAACCTACTTTAATACGCAAAAGTTTCCACCATATGCCACACACAACTCGTTTTATTCAATTTTAAATTTCAGACACACTTGTTGAAAAACCCTTTACAACTGTCAAAAGTGACAATGTGTTGACAGTCGTACCCCACAGCTGTTTACATCTAACATGTCAGTATGCAGGTTTTCCAAATGCTATATAGCTCAACTAGTCATGGTAATTTCACGTTTTGACGTTTCTTGAAGCGATGATACATCTTTGTATTAAAGTCTGTACTGGCAACAATAATGAATCTGGTGAAACTCAATTTCAGAACTATTTAGACTATTGTCTATATTTTCATGCTCGTTATCAGCCATGTTGGTTGTACCGTTTTTTGGTGCATCAAAACTATTCTGAAAAGTGTTCCTATAAAGTACGAATCCATAAGTTACAAAAAAAAAACACAAGGAAATACGTACGAGTATCTTTCTGCAACATGCAATTATATACAGGACACAAGTAAGAACAGGATTGCTACTACGCATCTATTTTGTGGTCCAACGTCAACGATTATAAATATAATTCACAATACTTTACTCTGACATGAACAACGTACTTTTCAAAGTCTGCTAAAGAAACAGGTAGCCAGTTTGCCGTAAAAAAATTTGATCACTAGTTTTATGTGGTAGCAGTGCGTGAAATAAGACGTAAAGCTGGCTTGTTCTGCAGGCAGTGTTAAAAACTTGTGCATCTTTTTCAGGTTGATGTTTGGTCTTTAGGAATAATGGCTATAGAGATGATTGAAGGTGAACCACCCTACTTGAATGAAAATCCTCTCAGAGCTCTGTACCTTATAGCTACGAACGGAAAGCCGGATATCAAAGAAAAGGAGAAGCTGTCACTAACTTTCCAAGATTTTCTCGACAACTGTTTAGCGGTCGAAGTTGACAAACGATTGTCTGCTCGGGAACTACTCAAGGTATGTCATTTTTTATATGTAGTGAGTTAATAAAATTCCTAAGACTGAGTATGAGTACATGTGAAAAAACTTGATATTCATAAGGAAAAAAGTTTGCACACAGCAAAATAGTTTCTGGATGTTTTTCGTACAGTACTGTATTCTGCAGAATAAAATGAATCGGTCACAATCACCAACTCCAGAGGGGAGTGCGGATGTAAACAAAGCATGAAAATTGCCGACTTTGGTGAACATATGTTTTGAAGGTCACATGTTCAAAGCGCGATCCAGTGGCGACGCATAGGATTGTTATTCTAGTGGTCGGATTCGACAGGAATACTGTTCAGTGACGGATTTAAGAAAAAGAGCCCAGTCGGCAATTTTTCAAGAGGGCCTGCTTGTACGGTACATTATATAAATCAAGTGATAAAATGTTAGGTTAATTTGTTTTATTTTATACAGTAAAACTTCCTCATCTTGTTTTTCGTTCTCCAAAAACATCAATCGCAGAAACTACATTGAGTGAATTCGCAACCGATCTTGTGACGTACGAGTAGATGATACAAAACTTGTTTAGTTTCTTCATCCAAAGAAGCTCGACGATATATTTTAACAATTTCAAAGAGCTCCATAACTCGATCAGTACTGAGTGAGCGAATTGGCAGTCAGAAACAATCTAAATAAACTGCAGCTCTCGGGAAAACTCTCCGAAATATTGTTTGCAATAATAAACTCTAAATAATATAACAGACCAACATTTGTGAAATCACGGTTTTCCGAAAAATGCTTGCCTGTGAAACTGGCTACTTCATATTTCAGATCTGTCGTCAAAAATTTTGAATGTTTCTTCATCAAAGTGATCACCAGTGTCGCACTGATTTTCAATTCACCATCTTTTGAATTTCTTCAATCCTGTCATCAAAAAAAAAAAAAAACTGAAAACTTAGTTGAAAATTCTGTCGTCACCAAAAAAAAAACCCATTTGTACTATGTGATCAAATGTGAGCGGCAATGTCTATTCTGCCACTGATACTACAAGTATTAATACGATTATAAAATAACACTATTAAATGAAAAAGGTATATTGCTCACACAAATAAATACATATACATACATGCATATATCAAAAAGTTAACGAATCATCACTTGGAATAACACAACAAAAATTTAACGTCACACACATTACATTAAAACTTCTATTTGGGGTTAGAGAAGAACAACCACACCACTGGGAACCGAAAATAAAACATAAAGATAACCTATACTTACCCATGTGACAAAACATTTTGTTTTGCCTTTTGGGCTATTATTTTACATATGTAGCAGTGCCGTATCATTAATCTCACAAACACGCAAAAAAAAAATCACTGCGAATTGAAACAAAAAAAATTTGAATGACAAATTGCTCCGTCAACACGAAAACTCACAATGACACATTCGAATGATGAATGAAGCGTTTACGGATCTTATGCCATAACTACGTATGCGACGTTGTCATTTGTTGTGGCTTCAGAATCATTCGACTAGTTGTCGTATTGCATTTTCGCTAAAAATAACGTAACAACAAATAATTTCTCATCACGTGATAGAAGCATTCTCGGAGATTGAGGGAAATGTCTGAAAAAATCCGAATGTAAATAGATAGGTCTATATTTTTTAGTAGTCAGTGGGTACAATCATTGCACGCTTTGCCTATTACAAAAAAAGTCATTGTAGTTTTTCAGAAATTGAGCATATTATTTTCATCAGATTAATAAAATTGTTCCATTGCTCATGTTATCTTTTCACTGATAAAATGTACTTGCACTACGCTGTGTACAGAGGGTTTTAGAAAAGTTATTTATTGTAGACCTCGTATTGTAATACCTATTTTCAAAGTACCAATAATTTTCAGCATCCTTTCTTGAAGCTAGCTCGTCCATTGGCCAGTCTTACACCTCTGATTTTGGCCGCGAAAGATGCCGCTAAGCAACACTAGCGGTAGGGTCGGTATATTACCCCTATTACCCCTAAAGACACCATACGAGAGTTCCTTTAGTAGCAGTATGCTTAGCGTCAATATATGGCCGTTCGATCGTCTAATTCAGACATGTTTAATAATATTTTTTTCACTGAAAAAGTCAGTGAAGTTATATATTAATTTGCAATTACTAAGAGGGAAGAGGAAGTTCCACAATTTCAAGCATGTATTTGAGTGAGACACGCTTTTTTATTGCAATCACATGTTAAAACTGTCTCGGTTAAACAATCACACAATATTGCAGACTAATGTAACTCGCGTATGGTGTCAACAGTATGGAATATGAAACTTTCGTACATTGTGACAGACTATATGCCATGTTACTAGAAGTGCATTGATCTATAAAGGGTACTAGTTTTACCGACATATAGCGTAAGGTGAGGAGATAGACAAACATATTATGCGGTATGCTGAAATGGTACAATCAATTCAAGCTTAGGCTCTCCCCTTGTATTTTGGAAACTATCATTTACTGTGGTGCTATTAAATAAAAGAAGCTAACATGTACAAAGGGTACTATAAAAGTTTTGCAATACAGCTTTATTTATTGACTTCGTTCAAAATAATTTCCAACACATTCAATACACTACTTAGCTGTGACTGTCTTATGTATGTCCACAATCCCGCTCGATTTGAAAGATACAGCTATATTTTTTTTATTCAAAGATAGTGATTTTCTGACAGCTACGGGTGTGTCCTCATCATCAAAGACCCAAACTTTGTTTTGAGCCTTGCTCGGCACATCGTAATTATAGAGAAATGCTGTTCACATACCGAGATTGCCCCTTATCATACATTTTCAGCATCTTTCGGCACCAAGTCGTACGACGAGTATTCTGCTCTTCAGTCGGACTATGCTGTTCCCAGAGAGAACAAAGTTTCCTTACGTGTAAATGCTCATGCAGAATTGAATGAATTGCTGGTGGATGAAGGTGTAAGGTCTCCTCTGTCTGTTGGTGTGTCTCTCTCTGGTCTTCGTCAAGCATTTTCCTCACAGCAGTAATGTTTTCCTCTGTTACTGACGTTCGCGGCCTTCCTTCCCTCTCAGCGTCCTCCAGAGTTAAATTCCCCCTTTTGAATTATCTGTACCATCTAAATATAATCGTACGATCAGGACACTCACTCTATAATGTAAGCGTCATTTCTTATAAGCTCTGGTCTATGCTCAAACCACGCGTAAAGTTATACCGTAAAACTGCCCTTATCTCACTACGTGACCATGATGCCATAGAGTCGTTTTACACACAAGAGAATTACTCCGAAAATTATGGTCATAATTATGCCGAAAATTTGTATGAAAAAAATATTGAAGATATTCTCTACAACCTGTATGACACAAGCAAACAAAATTTCCGAGTAATTCATATGATACGCCTGGGATTATTAGAATTCTACATCTGGTTCTGTGCCATGGCAAGACACAGCTGTACAAAAAAACATTTAATGAAATATTGAGTCAAATAATTATTTCTATTATTGTACCGTATTGTATACAGAAATAAAATAATGAAGTATCCATTTAATGCTCTTTATTTAAAAAACATCATTTCCTGCACCTTCGCAGGGCAGTATTTAATACTTCTACAATTTGAGCTTCAACCTCATCTCGTATCTCACTGTCCGTTATTCGGTCAAGCTTTGAGGCGACACATTCCCCAAAGATCAGGTTAGAGGATTCCTCCCTGGTTTGTCCCAGTCTTTGGGAAATATTTTGCAAGGTACTTTTGACCTCCCCCATAAGATCCGTATCATATTATTTCCTTTTTCTTTTTTGGGGAGTATTTCTTATGCTCACCTTGAAGAGCTTCTAGAGTGGCTTGTCGAGGTGATATCCTCCAAAACCCCTGACGGTGATACTGCCGCCGAGAGCACCTCCTCTGCGAAGGCATCCGCATCATCTGCTTGTTCCATCTGATAGAATAAAGTTTTCTGGTCTTAGCGAAAGTGGTATAAATAAATATTTACATTAAATTAATGCTTGTTCCATGACAATGTAACACCAGCTTGTGATTGGAATGTTATTTGTTACATAAATAATATGGAGCACATGGTCATAGGTCCATTCTGTTATCATAAATGCAAAAGTATCGATGACTGTCCATCAAAGGTCAAGTGTACTTAGGTTTAGACAAAATCACTGTTGAATTCAGATTTAAGTGAAATTTGGGCTTTAGCCATAGCGAAATACGCAACACAACATCGGCACTTGCCAATGTTATATCTTGTTCTTGAACATCTTCGCTTTCCATAGAATCAAATGCTCCTCTTTGTTTGCTATTGTCGAACACTTACCCAATCAAATTATGATACCACAGTGATGGCTCCGTGATCTGTGAAAAATATTATTTCTAACACTCAATCAAATACTGTAATGAAATATGCAATCACATAGAAAAAACTTACATCATCTGAACCAGCGCCACTTCTTTGCGATTCCAAACATTTTCACCTCTCCTTGCTGGCATTTTGTTTCAAAGCTTGAAACTTTGCTTGTACAGGGTATCCGCAAAGTTGGGGTTTTCCTTTTCAGAAACAACTACCCTTGAAATAACAAAGGTAATGTGTAGTGAATCGAGGGCGACCAAGTAAAAAAAATAAAGGAAAAAGTACTCACTCTCCAGTTGACGAGAAGGGCTAAGTACGTCTCTGCCTGAAATCTAAAGTTATTCACCCCATTACGCGTGAACGTAGATTCGTCTGTCACCAATATGCACTTCAAAAAGTCCGGATTATTGTCATGTTGATGCAACAACCACTCACAAAACCGCACTCATGCTGAAAAATCGTCAGGTTGAAGGGCTTGTACACGTTGGACGTTTGCCACATTTTAGTTTTTGATACTTGCACGTCTCTAGCCACGTCTCTTGTGCTTGTTGAGGGATTCTCGTCTACGCGATTCAGTAGTTCTTCCTCAACTTGCACCATTCGTGGTTGTCTAGGCCTCCCACTGTGCCCACCTCGAAATTCCTCCAAATGGCCCGTATCCCTGACTCTCTGGACCAGGTACACAAATCTACGGGCCTTGGATGATGTCGTCTAGGGAAACGATCTGCATACACTCGCGACGATTCTGTATCATTTTGAAGATATTCGCCATAAATTAACAACATATCAACGAGTTCATTATTGGTGTATGAGTGTGCCATTATTATTTTTTTTTTTTTTGAAACGCAATCGATTATACGGGTTCGTTACCTCTATACGCGTGACCCTTTACCGTCGGTTGAAGGTTGCATACTGACCTGACACACTGACCCCGACCCCCGACCCAGTTCTGTCGTCGGGTTCAGCTAGTAGCCGGTACCAGTGTGAGATATCGCGGGTCGCGGCTACAGGACGGTATTCAGATATTTTTGATGTTGCAGTGTTGCAGAGCCCTTCATCTCGGTTCCCTCAAGACATTGGTGTATATGGTACTAAGAAAAATTGCTTATGTTTTCAAGATCTACACGTCGTGTAAAGGAAAACCCCAACTTTGCGGACACCCTTTATATCCTGTGCTGTCACGTTAGGTTTCAAACTTCTCAATGCTTCCAGCATTGACGCCGCAAATTTCTGTTTTTGGTGACTTCACCTTGTACAGGTTTGGCCATTTTTGGTACTCCTCCAACAACAGTGTAACTTCTTCCCGATTCCACGACATTATCAATAAACAATAACAACAAACGCTTCTTCGTACGACTTGAACAGGACCACACCCACAAATGTTAAGTGAGGAAATAACCCTCTGCGCCAATTCTCGCGCATATTCTATAGAACGGGTTTTATATTTTTACCATGAAAATTTTTACAAGAATTCTTTTACGTGTAATACGACAGCAAAAATTTTCGGCATAATTCGGTGGTGTCGGAGAAAAACGGGATAAGTCGCATATATAAAATTTTCAGTAGATTGGTCTATAGTTCAAAATCTTACAACAAATCAGGCGTTTTACTGAGTGATATTTTTTTCACATGGAAATATATAAAAAATCAAGTCATTTTGATGGTACCATAGAATATATGTATATATTTGACGTTTTAAAAAAAAATCGACTTATCCCTTTTCGAACTACCTGAAAATCTACTTATCTCATATGTCACGTTTTACTAAACAAAGAAAATAAAAACTAACGCAGAAATAATGCCCTTTATTAATTTTCTATTCGATTTTTACAAAATAAGCCATGACTAATATATTCCAGCAAAAAAAAAACAAAGTTAAAGGTTTCAAAACTTAAAAAAAACACATAGTAGGATAGGTAAACCCATTATTATTCATCTTCGTCAGAAGACTCCAAATCTGGATGTATGTCATCTGCCTGGTTCGTTGGAAGATTTGTATAAAAATCCCAGAATACGTCAGAAATATACGGCAGCAACTTCATTAGATTGTCTTTCTTCTTCGCGGTAATAGGCACTAATCCTTTGTACTGCAATTCTGGAATTAACTTTGCTAATGAGCCCCGCTTCCTGAATGAAAGGCACCTATAACTTTCATTGATGCCCGTTTTAAAATACATTACCCCAAGATTATTTTTGTCGATCATTATTTCTCGAATATCACGCCAGTAAAAGAGGTTTCCCGTTTCGTCTTTTTTCTTCACTTGAAGCTCTGTTTTTAGCAGTTTTGCATAATTAAAAAATTTTGACTGGTCCATCTCCACAACTTTGAAAGGATGTTTTTTTCCAGTGCATCGAACCAACTGATGCCAATCGCGAGGGTGATCGATTTGTGTCTCTGTTTTTTTCTGTTTCTTTTCAATAAGAGCGTGATCGGAGTCAGACTCCATGTGTGTATGGCCGGGCACTAAAAATTTGTGTTGTATTATTTTCAAAGTTGGGTGATATTTCAAGCAGGCAAAATACATCGCTACAATGTGTGCATTTTTGTTTTGCCCAGTGCAAGAATCTGAGTAAAGCGTAATTTTTTCAATATCTGATGGAATGCTATTTAAAAACTGATCCGACTTGGTTAGCGCTCCTGCCCGCTATAGCTTCATGCCACATGAAACAATAAGCCTGATCATTGTCACAGTCATGGACAGTTAGGTTAAAGGTCCATAGCTGTCTTAAGTAGAAAGAAATGCCTGTAGAAACCTTTGGAGTTGGCAGGCATTGTTGTAAATCAAACGTGACTGTTTTTGTCGTTGGATCAATTTTTGATAATCGTTTATCTTCTGCCTTCAATTTATAATAGTCGTCAGCTTGTTTCTGATGGGTGTCTAATTCGTGCTGATACTTCAACTTTTCTTCAACGTTACTAGTCAACGTTATCTTCATTCTCAGACAGTCGCATTTCCCACAAGTGTCTTTGCTTGGTTTCTTAATTCCGATATTCAACGTGTGGAAAATCTCTTCGAACTTTGTACGGCTAATAACAACATGATCAGGTTCACTTAAGTATTGACTGTATACCATAGCAAGTGTGTAGTGCGGTGGCAGATATTTTTTATTGCTATCTCGTCTACTATAATTGCTGCGGTAGAGTGGAATTTTAAAAAAAAAAGATGTGACGTTTTTTATGTCGGCTTCCATGTATTTATTTTTTGGTGGCTGTCTGCCTCGGCGATCGCTTTCGTATATCCCACTATGATTTGTGTTTAATTTTAGACTGGATAACTCCAAAAACTTATTCGTTTCTCCCAAAGTTTTCCGAAAGCAGACTTTGCAAATTTGATTTTCAATTCCGTTCAATCTTAAAAAATATTTTAGGGAATATTGACGATTTTTGTTGTTCCCAGTTAATTTCTTTTCTTTGGCAGATGCTTTTTTCAGTTTTTTTATCATACTTGTGACATAAGTGACACGTTTTAAATGGGAACCGGCACCCCAATATTCATTGAAGATGATCTGCCTATCAGCATCTGTGAATCGTTCTCTGCATTTCATTCGGCAATCAAGTAATGGTTGGCATACTCTTGCTTGTTTCGCTTTTCCTGACTCGGTAATATATGCCACACCAAAGTTTCTTCTAGATCTCCTCTCTAGTTTGGCAAATCTTGTTTTTCCTTTAATAGATTTTCTCGTCTTATGCTTTTCATTTGACCTTGTCTGTTTGTTAGCTTCTTCAACTCCTGATCTTCGGATATACTGAATAAGAGGTGCATCACTATCGCTGGAATCTGGACTGGAAGGCACATAATCATCTTCGCTCATTCCATCAAAAATTTGCTTGTATTCGTCTGGTAAAGATGGAGGAACACTTGAATCATCGGAATCTAAAAAACAAAAAATCCGTGATCTACATGTCATGTAACATTGAAAAAATATATTTCAATTTCCGAATTTTTCGTGATTATATTACTTCCCCGCTAATTCTCGTATGAAATGAAAACAGAAACATATTAGGATTATTGTTCTTTTAGTAGCTTTGCCGAACAAACTCATTCTACAAAAAATTAAATTTATTAATTTTACTCCTCATTTTATACCGTAAGTATATCACCTGTTGATAAACAACTAATACGTAACAAATAAATACAGTAAGATCTAATCTGTTTGATATTAAAAATTTGAGGTTAGGTTTCTTTCAGAAACTCAATACTCCGGATTTTACTTACCAACTGCAACTGCCTGATGAGGTTTACACATAGACACAATTCGCAATCCCCTTGAGACACATTTTTGCTCACCTAAGCTCATTTTTTTAATCGATTAAAGCGAAACTTTCACGACTAGAACCAATCATGCTACGACAATGCAACAGTAACTGAGAACAAAAAGGAATATGTCTATTGTAAACAATGAAAAGGTATTTGGGCGAAATGGGATATGTCAACTTATCTCCCTTAGCCCACAGTGAAATGCGCGATCGTCTTGTACGTAAGGAAATAAGTTGACTTATCTCGTATTGAACAATTTTAAGACCAGTTTTGGACTTGACTCCAAAAGAACATCAATTTGGCTCCGTTGTTTGCGTTGATATGACTTATCTCATTTCATCCGAAAGAAGATATGATATTTTAAAGTCTAGGCATGGACATATCTCATTTTGACCCAAAAACGACTTATCCCCTTTTTCTCCGACACCACCGAATTATGACCATCATTTTCGGAGTAATTCTCTTTTGTGTAAAACGGCTCATTGTCAGCACTTTACACTGTCAATACCCATAGTCCGCACTTTACGCTGTCAATACGAATGAACAACTGAATCAACAGACGTACTCCTGGCGGCTACTATGCACTCATGGACATGTCTCAACATGCAGCGTCCTGCCTCCGTTTGTTAAGTCATATTGCAAAACTTTTATACTTGTATTACTGTTACGTCAAACTCCAGCTTTATATCCCGTTGAAATGAGATGTGTAGAGGCGGAGACATCGTGACAATTAATTTAGAATATCATGCTGTTGTGGCTGCCGAAACGAAAGTCGACCTCTTCCTTGAGCACCTGTGCTTTTAGTTTTTAATTATTAGTTAATTTCAACTAGGACGAATCCGAAAGATAACCACAGTACAAGTTTTAAATCGTACATTAGGCTACGATAATATTTTTGTTATTCTAGTCCCTTTATAAATGAGATTCTATAACTTTCAACTATGCGTGGATAACAAAGGTCTCTAAATATAATTCTTACATATAAATAGTGATTAGTAAGTTTTTATTGAAGACTTTTTCCAGTTGTGTAACCGCTTTGCAGTTCTAGTAATATAGGTTGTAATATCTTAGGGACGTATGCATTTAGTTGTGAAGTCGTTCGGATAAGTGAAAGTAAGTAAGTAAGATATAAATTATTTTAAAATGCTGCTGTCATATTCTGCGAAATTGTTATTGTCTAAAGCTTACCATTAAATCTTACCCTAGTGGCAAAGCTTTTATTTGGTTTTGTTGCCACGTGCACAGACTGTGAAGTGGCGACATGCAACTCATATATTTTATATGGACCAGTAGGAAATTGAGATCACATTGAGATTGCCATTTTCTGCACATCTAACTCACATTTTGGAGAAGGTAACTAAATCAACTTGCGGGATTTGAACCTACAACTGCTGTAATCTGTACCAACATATCTGTTTGATATACTTCAGTCGTATACAGAGCCCTGTCGTTTCTCTTTGGAAGTTTGATGTATTTGCATCCCGTCGGACCTCTAGTAGCTGTTGTACAGCCATGAACTTCAGTTATAGGATATACGACACAGTACCGCCAGGTGTTGGTACAAAAATGCATCATGTGGTCTCAATTTTTTGTTTTGTGTTCATTTCAACAATTTAATATATCCACTAAGATTTATTTGTCCTAAGTGATACAAAGGCATAGGCTTCATGCATTAAACTGTTTAAGCAGCATCCGATCTCAAGGTATATAATGTGGACTTTTGCTTAACCGAATACTTATTTGAAGTGACAGGAGATGGTGCCTAATTTCACAATAATCGCATTTTCAAGTTGTTCGTGACGAATCATTTTTTTTTGTCTAGCCGTGTCTTAGATGGTGACTTTTGGGAGAAATTTCTAATGTAAAGTGTATTTTCGTAAATATAAATGAATGTAACTTGTGATATCTGAAAATATTCAATATTGATCGACTAATACATTGACACGTTACACTTATTTAGCATATAAAAATCTTGTAGATATGTTTTTATAACAGTGTAGGCTAAAATGCATATATTACTTATATACATTGTATTTCTTAAAAAGATTGCAGCCACAGAAATACATCACTATAATCTGCCAGCTAGATATTCATAATTAATCATAATCTTAGCTAAGTGCGAAAAAACAACAAATTTTTCTGTGGGAAGTTGCCCTTCTCGTGTGTGTTACCTATTGTATTTATCAATTCAAGCTGGATAGAATTGTTGTAACTGTGGCTGGATTTTTACAGATTTATTAGCTTACTTTTCGAGAGTCACCATTGAATTAATTTTTCTTTTAAATACCCTGCTTTCGCTTTTTTATCCATTTTTTTGTCATTTTATTTATACAATTAGTTTATAAAACGCTCCCAGTGTGCCAACTTTCGGTTTTTAAAAAAATGTATTTCTAGACTATGTTTCAATGAATATGCACTGGTGGACAATCGACATTAAATGATATTAAAAGTTACTTCATTGAGAGCATCTGAACTATTTTTTTTTTCTGGAGGTTCTGTAGATGAGAGGTAAGCAATCGTAATTTCGAAGATTGGAGTCTCGACTAATGAGCAAAACAATATAAAGTTTTAACACAAACATGGCCATTTTCAAAATAAAAAACAAATCTTTTGTTGAATGTTTTTTGCACCGATATCATTAAAAAGTAATATTGATTGTGCGCAAGTAGGCGAAAAATTTGATGAGCTTTTGCTTTCTGTTTCATCTGTCTTCAAGACTAGACGTTAGACATATACCACACTGATGAGTTGGTTAGTGAGCACGAAACAGTGCTGTCTGCAGTTGGTCATGGTTACAGGAGATGGAAAACAAACATGAACAAACTGGAACCATTTTTTTACAACTGTTTTCCTCAGCTACAGTCTATTCAAAAATTATAGTGTGGAAGATATTTTCAGCAATTTCATGCCGAAATAATTTATTGTGGGTACATAACTTTTTCTGCTTGGTAGGTATATAACTTTTTCCAGATTTCTTAAATATGTAACTTCAATACCCTGTACCTAGACAAGAGAATTGGCATTTTACGACATATTGTCCGGAAAGTAATGAGCTTTATCTTTTCAAAATTTATTGATCATTTAAGTAAATAAACTCAATATTCTTCGAAGTAGCACCGTCCTGCGTCAACACACTGTTATCAGCGTGATTTCCAAGCCGACTGGGATACTGTTTAGGGACGCCGTAGCTTGAATCTTGTCTGGGGTGTCCAGATGCTGTCCCTTGAGGTCCCTTTTTAGTCGAGGAAACAAAAAGAAGTCCGCTGGGGCCAGATCGGGACTGTACGGTGGCTGGGGCACCGTAGTGACACCGATCCGGGTCAAGTAGGCGACGATAACAAAGCGGTATGGGACGGTGCGTTGTCCTGGTGCAGTTTCCATGACGACCGAATTTCTCTTCGGGCGAACGACCTTGTGGTTTAGTCTTTGAAGAACATCTTTGTAAAATTGAGCATTGACGGTCTGGCCAGGGGGTACAAACTCGTGGTTCACAATTCCCTTAGCAACGAAGAAGACAACGCGTTTCGTCATCGACCTCCGCCCGCCCTTTCCGGAACGACTTGTGCCACTTTTTTACTTGTGAATATGACAGGTAGGCATCCCCAAACTCTGTTTGAAGCAAATCCGATGTATCTTTTCTTTCTAAATGACGCTCATTACTTTCCGGACACACCCTGTACTTCCACCAATCGGTGAATCACATTGTCGATTTCTTGATAAAGTCTCAATGGAAGACAAAATTGTCCATCTTTGTATTTTATCAATCATGGTAGTATAAATATTCGTACTGAATTTATTTGATTTTTATGTATATATGATTATTTCATTCAGCTTTATTAAAATAATGGACGTGTTGTGTATATTTATTTTTATAATTATTAGCCATATCATATATGTATGTTCGTTTTTATTATATTTTTTAATAAATCTAGACGATAGTATATTATTAAATGAAGTAAAAGAGCAGAATTTATAGAGTGAATGGGGATAGTGTGATTGTACATTTAGTAATAGTATTTTTGCACTAGTATTTATGGAAAAATATATTGTGATTGCGTAGATATATTGTTGCCAATGAAAGATGATAGCGAGTGAAAATATTAAATAAATCCTTTTATAAAGTAAACAGCATACTTTTATTTAAACCAGCTTTATTAATAAAAATTACTATATACAGAATAGTATTTTATCACATGTTTCATTTCATTCAAATATTATAAACTTCAGACATGGTGATAGTGCAATTTTATTCACAAATAGCATTTTTTACGCCATAAAAAGATAAATTACATATTTTATATTAGTATACACCTGAAATTAATCTGCAGTACAATTCTATAATTTTAAAGCAGCATCAACATATTATTCAGTTGTTTACAATATGCGTAAATCCGGTAATATTTTTACAAACCAGTTCACACTTTCTTAGCAAAAATAAATTATTTCCACTATAAACGTTTCTCTTAAACTACATTATCAAGCTGCCTTTGCGATATTAAACTATTGGGTGGCTATTAACAAACAGAAAACTGTGGTTTGAGCCCTATTTCATCAGTATTTCAGATTAACACAAGCAAGAAACAAAGGTTACTGCATATTTTTGTATTATTCTATTATTTTGTACGTTAAGATTCCTATGATTGTTCAGGGAACAAATAAGCGCGTAAGTACGAGGAATATAAGTTCCTCTGTAATCTTATAACTTTGGCTGTCATGAACGGAGACTTTATATGATTTTAAGTATTAACCTAAATGTAAAGTTCTTGTTTGTTCTATCCCGTTTTCAAAACATGAGAACATTATTTTTCTGATCTTCATGACAGTACATGATGTCATTGTTAGAAGAATAACCAGTATCAACAGGTAGGTCATGGCGATCCTACACGATTGCCCCATAAAGACTAAATTGTGCTTCCGTGTAAATCGAAGCAAACTACCCATGGAATAACTAATGAAAACTGCTTTTGATATAAAGCAACTACTAGGCCTGATGTGAGATTTACAATTCACAGTTCAATTAGAAGTAGACAATTATATCACCAGGTAAGCAAACAATTCAGGGTTCAAAACTAACACAAGTGCTTCTATCCTCAACGAAATTGCGACATTTATATCTTATCGTCAATATGAACTGTATATCCCTTCATCTGATCACTTTGTAGAGTAGTTACCAAATCAATGAGAACATTCAGCCAATGTAAAGCGGTCCAGCAGTGCAGCAATGGCATATAGCTTTATCAGTTTGAGAGCAGTTTTCACTTGACTGTCAGATGGCGGCTCAGGCAGCAGCGGTGGCATAGTGGTAGACGTTACGGTCTCCTAATCAGTCGCCGTGCGCTGCACGGGTTCGAATCCCGCCCAAGAGAACTTTTTCTCTTGGCTCTGGATGTTGTGATTGTCCGGAGGTGGTAGCCTATGTCAGACTGTCTTACGCGGAGGTACCACCCGGCGGATCTCTAAGGCGGGGCCAGAATGTGTGCATGTTCCCTCGCTAGAGTCCGTGTGGCGTCCCCCTATAGCCCCACGATACCCCATGGGTGTTAGGCCTTGGACCTTCGTGGTAACTGGTGTATATATAAAAAAAGATTCATAATGCAAATCGTCACGGCTACTGCTATTAAGCATAAAAGTGCTGCACTGTTGGACCTCTTCAGGTTTGCTAAACGCTCCCAATGCATATTTTTAGTAATGTAGTATTTATAGTAGGCCCATTATTTTACCAGAATCAATAATAAATGATAATATCATCTGCGCTTTAGGCGGTTTTATAATTTTCGAGCACAATAAAAACAAGAATTATAATTTCAATTATTTAGGCATAACTGAACATTTTGCTGTATTTTTTATAGCAAAAATCTGAAATCGTTTAAGTGGCATATGCTTAACTTTCTAACCAAATTGATCAATGAAACAATAAGTCGTTTCACTAGCAAGTCATTTCGACAACACAAATTGATGGGGAACTAACTTAAGACAAATGCAGTAATTTATCTATGCTCATACCATAGCTTTTAGAGCCTTTATGTTGTTCACTCATACATGTTATCTAATGTGTGACGTAATCCTCTCTAATGAAACGACCATTACATTCGAGAACACAAAAACTGACATGAAAAGAAAATACAAAAATATCCTAGCTATCTCCTGCTTTCCCATCCTTTTTCGGTATGAAATTCATTGAAGCAGAGTTGATGCAAAACCTCTTCCTCGTTGGCGGTGGTCCATCGTCGAACACATGTCCAAGATGGGCGCCACACTGGGCGCAGGTCACCTCGGTCCGTACCCTACCTGGTTGGGATATTAGGAGTAAAAGGTTTGCACCCACTATTTGGAGGAGGGAAGGAACAGGAGGTAGGTGTGAACCCATACATGTGGAGACCGATAGCGTGTGTATGTGATGGTGTGAAACGGAATAAAATAAAAATAAACGAAACGTAAAACATTATGGATTGATGTGTGCACCCGGGGAACGATAGAGGATAAACAGGGAAGAGGAAGGAGAAGAAAACAGTCACATATTAGCTAACCCGAAATGTTGATGTACACCAACACACAATGTGGAAGCGCAGTGTGTTAGTTGCGATGTAACAGTACACTCACACGCACAAAACGTCACTCAGGTTACGGGATGTTAGGAGAGCTTTGGGAGTGCAGTGCTTGGCAATTGTCATTATCAAGTGTGGCGTCATGAAAAATTGTATGAAAATACTTTCAATATGCTTCAATTCTGTATCAGCAGTAAGATAAATAATACTGGTGTAATAATTGACAAGACGAATAAGAATCCACTATGAAAGATACTATTCAATAACTCGAGAACTGAATCAGCTGATTGCCCACCAGGCAGCAGTTCAACATACGTTTTTTTTATTTTTTGAAACGTAATATATTCCTTTGCACTATACTCGACCATGTTTTAACAAAGAACCTTATTTCATACTTTTTAACAATAATAGTATGGTATAGGTATAGACATTGGAGACACAACGGAAATCAAACCAGCAATGTGGGTCTACTGAAAAACTCTGTATTGTAGTGCGCGAAGAGGTGACGCTGCCGCCTATCAGTTCTACTGAGGCTTGATTCTAAATTTGAATATAGAAGATCAATATAATCAGATGTCAAAATCATCATAGATAATCAAGTATATCGTCACAAGGCGCCTTCGAAATCAATTTCAACGGCAGAAACTCATTTAGAATCAAGCCCCTGGTACAAGTGACCAGTTATTCTACTTTGTTTTTCTTATAAAAATATAAATTTAAAAATAACCAATATTCATTATATATTATACAGGGTGACTTCGAAGTTGAGTCATTTATTTTAACAGTGAGTAGATCTGATCAAAAGAAATGTTTTTTTTCCTTTAACATTTTTGTGGTAAATTAAAGTAACAAAGTTATAGCCCTTTAGAAGTTTGAGTACTGCCCTGTCTCAATAATAATATTATGTGCTCGTGTTTCGCAACAACGGATATAATCCGCCTTATCGGTTCATCGCATCGGAAAGAAAAAAAGCGAAAGAATCTGAAACGCTGATCACGATGTTTTTATTCAGTCAATGTGTCAGCCGGTAACGCGTGAGTGAATAGTGGTGTTTGCTGCGTGGCTCAAACGAAATAAAAAATGGCACATGTTTATGCGGATCGGTTTCCCAATCGAGTCCAACCAACCCCTCGTGCCTTTGTTAATGTAGTACAATGGGCTCGTGAATCAGGTGATCTAAGACCTCACAGGGTGGGCATGCCGGTGCTCCAAGACCTCACGATCAAATACAGGTCCGCACTGAAATACTTGTCGGGAGGATACTTTATAAAACAAGGTAACATTTTTTTTTATTTTTACACACATATTTTGGTTTATCTTCCTTCTACAATCATTATCTGAAAATTAATGACTCAACTTCAAAGTCACCCTGTATATATGACTGTAAGTATTTTGATCATATAAACCCATGCAGCAGTGGTGAGATTACGCGATAACAAAAAGGAGACTAACAATGCATTTTTATGATCGTAACAGGAAAAAACTATTATCTCTCCGAGAATTACGAAAAAAAAGCGCAGAAACGAGTATTCCAGAAAATCAAGAGTATTCGCAAGTGACGTGCGTTAGACGTACATCAAGATCTACAAAAATGTGGAAAAAGCTTCTCAAAAGAAACAAATGGATTGACAGTAGCTATGCATTTCGATAGTCGCTACGGGTAGTTCCAACTGACTCGGTGATACTTTGGGCGCTTTGTTGGAGATTTTTGTGGCTTTTTCGTGGAAAAACAGTACTGTTCTTTCATTTATGGTAATTTCAATCTCGGGAATTTTCGAGAGAGTATGTGTTTCGGGCGTTCAGCGGATGCTGTGACAACTTTAACTTTGATAAGTTTATTTTAAAATATTTATTAATGACACATGAGTATGTGCAAAAATTTTACGAAAATTTGCCTGGACCTCTTTGAATATTTTTAAGGGAAGACCTCAGACGATATCCTCCACATTTTTCGTTCCAACGAATTTTTTAGGATCAACATACTCTTACCAAGATAATGCTTATTTTCGTTCATGTGGAACTTTTTGTTGCACGATTTTTTTTATTCACTCACACATTATCAAAAATGTGTATTAATTACACTGGGAGTAAAGCCAGGCGCGGAACCCGGATCTTGAGGGGGCAAGAAGTGTGGGTTGCATAGTTTCAGGGTTTATTGTCAAGTGGTTTGCGCTTACTATAATGTAATTAAGAAGAGAAATAATAAACAGCAGTGTAAGAACAGAACGCACATTTATTTTAAGTTTACTAACAAGAAACAATGTGGCCTCTCCTTTCCCATTTTCTAATTTTTTCTTGCAAGTTTGAGGTCGGGAGGGCAACGGTTCTGTTGCCCCTCCTGGATTCGCGCCTTGTGCAGTAGCTACTTGTGTTACGTTTCATTGAGCTTAATGGGTAGAATTTAAACTCATCGCAATAATAGTGGGCAAAATATGCATTCGATAATCTTATTAGGTAGTTGTACAAACCCTGCAAGATCTCACATAAAATTTGGAACTACGAAATTCTTAGTTCACTTAAACATAAAAAAACGCGAGTGTTCCAGAAA